GAGAAAGAAGTGATCCATAAACGACAGGTGCAAAAAATAGTAATGACTATTATAACTACAAGTATCATTAACAAGGCTATGGGAAATAAACAACTCCACCAGAATAGACCATTTTAATTTGTAAAGAGGAACTCTATTTTTCCTTGAAAGATCTATACCAAGGCAATAAAATAATCTTTCTATTACCAATCGACTGTGAAATGGTTTCGTAGAATGTAGGATAGCAAGAATTAACTATATGAACAGTAATCTCTTCAACAGTGACCTAACGGTGCCTGAGGCATCTGTTCCTCTAAAATGAATACGCTAAACCAAGAAAAAATTCGTTGATATGCATGTAATTATAAACGTTAATAAATGTAAAGCTAACACTCTCTAGCTAGATTGATTATCGTAATAAAGAAATCTTTTATTCCTTATTATTACCCACAGTTTAGTAATCCTTTTTTTACTATTATAGATTGAAAAGTGAAAAGAAAAGGGTAAATTGATTTATTTAAGATTCATATATTGAATATGCATAGCTTAGCTTATAAAATTGCATATCTAGGAGTTGGTTTTCTCAATTTTACGCGAGTTATTCCATTTAATTTTATCTTGTGATAAACATAATATGCTGCTGATCAGCTTTGTTCAATTGATTTCCATATTAGGGATTATTACTGGTTATGTTCACCATTTTACAATACTTTATGTTATGTTCAACTGATTTCCATATTATGGTATAAAAAGGAGATACGATAGAGAAAAAAGAGGAGACTTCGGCTTAAATTTGAATAAGTCATTAAGTTGCTCATTGGCTGTTTGCTATTTGTTGTTACTCGTTTAACTTGTAGTCATAACAAGCATCGCCAAGGTTTTTCTTTACTGCGGTTGTTCTATTGGCATTTATATTACTATTTCTATCAGCAACCACCGCAGTTATTGTATTTACGTAGATCTTACAAAATTTTATTCATAATTTTATTCATAATTGCTGTGATGATATTTTATACTAATAGAAATCTCTTGCCTTGTCTACATATTCTACTAAATCTTGACTGCAGGTAACGAAATAAACAAGTTCATTTTTATGCGCTTGCAATGCTTTTAACTAACTATTGATAAATATTAGGTGCAGTAAGTTCTTAACGTTAGTCTCTTTTCATGTTTACTTATCTATTTATCTATATTACTCCGATTTTGATGATCGGTCGCATGATACTACCTGCAGGAGTTCCCTTATATAGAAGATTTAAAAAATAAATAAAGTAATACCGTTTCAAATTATAATCAATTACTGGTATCACATTTTGATGACATTGAAATGAAAGTTTTAATCTCATTACCGTTAAACAAGCTTGACTTCTATCATGTTATCATGACCTTCCCGCCATTGTGACCTATTAATTTGTTTGTGGAGGCCTAAACGTCTGATTATACAACTGCTAGCTTATTCCGGTTATCTTCATTTAAATTAAATTATATCAATTCCTATTGGTAGTTGATATAGCAATAAACGGCATTACTGGCCGTGTTTAACAGAACTAATTAGTGCTAATTAAGGTTATTCCTGATTTACTGTGATGATTCAATATATATATTACATAGCGACTATCATAGTAATCAAAGAGGATGACAAACGGTCATTGATGAATTACATTTCCATTTCTCAATCTTTCAATGATGTTTATGTGACTAATACAAATGGAATCACATTTTCATTGTATCTCACAGCTATAACTATAACGTATAAGCAGGATATCTATTTATTCTTGCAATCGTCCATCTGAATTTCACAACATTATCCTACTTCATAATTTCGTAAAGATTTTACTTTAGCTACCGGCCAATTGAGTTATGAGTTCATTCAGATGATGGTCAATCACTAATACCTTTGACTAGATTCTACGTTATATATGAAAGATCAATATTGTTGATATTCCATTGAAAGTCTTGTCAATCATTAATATTAGTGCAAAAATATTATATGTATTTTAATCTGTCACCTTAATAAATTATTCTTTTCAAAAAGTAGCTTTTATTCTAGTCTGTTTCACCTAAAATTTGTTGTTGTACATTGCATCATTAAAATATCAGCGTAAAAGTAAAAATTTTTTTTATATGATAGTCAACGGCATGCTAGACCAATCTGGTATATGAAAAAAACGGTCATTTTTATCTTATTAACATATTACAGAATCTTTACTAATCCTTTTTATAGTAACAAAAATTAGTCGTAGAATTAAACTAGGCCTTTATCTTCTATTTTTCATCGTATTTGTCTTAATCATCCAAGTTTTACTTGATCTTTTTTAAATTATTTAGCAATTTTAAATTTTTACTGAGTAAGAAGGTTATGTTATAAAGATAAACAACGCTAAAGAATAGGTGGAGACAGGTGCCATAGCTAATGCTTCTAGATGCCAACTCATATTATATTATCTGTCAATTCTTATACTGCACCACTAGGGATAGATATCATTCATCATCTACAGATAGATATTCATGTGTAAGAGTACTTACATCTCGAAATCCCACCTTTATTTTCTTATCCTAAAATAGATTGAAAATAAAATCATTTAAGCAATAATTTATATTAGAGATTTTCGGTTTATTATTGATATCATTATTTCATTAGCAACAGCAAGACCATATTTCACTTGATAGCTTAATTCTTCCTTACCAGTCAATAACAGTAACCCAACTATATGTAAACATGATCAAGAATTTTTGAGTGTCATTAACTTAGTAATTGTAAACTTACATTATTTCTTCTACCACGGCTCGGCAGGTTCATTGAACAAAGAATGTACTGACGTAATGATCGATTTAGGAAGAGTCAATATTGAAGTATTTCTAAATGGTAGCCATTACCAATGAATCTCGAATACAATTTTTGATTACTATATCAATGTTATATTGAGTAGTAGAGTTCAAATTGATTACTAGTTCACTGTTTATTTCTTAAGACTAAGATTAACAAATCATTCTATTCTACTCACAATTCTATTTTCTTTCGTTTTTGTTAGGAAGGTGATCATTTGTTTGCATACATGCGGTTACAGGATTTGCGTTATAAAAAATCAATATTGATGACAAAAAGCTATCGGAGACCCTATGTTGAAGTAAAATGCAATACTGCTCATCCATATCCTGTACGAAATTACAAATGACGGTAGCGAGATTAATGCTATTACTTTTTAATATACATAAATTAATAATAATAAAAAATAAATGGATAGCGTGTTCTTACTAAATATTGTACGTGAATGATGATCATAAATTTATAGGTAGCATGTTGCTTCTGAATGTAATACGATAAGTATATCAAAGGATTCACCGAATATCTCTCCTATCTTTATAATAGTTATTTTGTCATGATCTATTTTATATAGGGTGAAAGTTTGAATCAACTTTATCACGTTAAATTATACAGTAGAAACGATTTGTTTTTTAATTCATTCTTTTGATTGAGCAACGATTTCATTGATCTTATTTTACATTAATTTAGGACAATAAATGAAAACAGTGAATTTGTGAAAGTATATAACTCCTTTCAACCGACACATATTAAGCTTAAGTTCTGTTCAGTCAAGGTGATATTTCCTATTCTAAAATAGATAATCTATTTTTACCCTTTAATCCATTGATTTCATTTTATGAATTTTTACTTGAAATAAATGGTTAAAAGTTTTTCATAGAATAGAATAGCACAGAGTAGATTCCTTATCATTTGAGTTTGCTGGGACAATATTGTCATTTCGTATTAACAACATAATGATAACATTCTCACGTTCATAATAAAAACAAGAATGTTCAGTTGTGCTGTTGATTGATTGGAATGATGGTAGACATGGTATCGATTTGACTTTGATGTCATCTATCAATGATAGTTTCATTGTATAGGCTATTGAAATTTAGAATTTGTTTTCAGGAAGAAATATGACTGGTATTTCCATGGTTTCTGTCGTCATTCCCTTCTATAATGTATACTATTTAATTCCGCTAAATGAATTAATCGAATGAATAGAGGATTGTTATTTGTGCCTTAGATACACGTATATCTATATCTGTAGTTTCATTTTGATAAATTAGATTTATCAGTGTTTCACAGGTCTCAAGTTACATGTTTTTTAATATCAGTGACAATTTCTATGTCCTTGTATGTTAGAATAAATGAATTTACGCTAAATATTAAACTTTGCTTGATAGAACTCGTCACTTTTATCGTTATTTATCATTACAACATTTCTATAGATTTATCAGTAGACCGTATTGTTTAGTAGATGGTGATCTATTTGCCTTTATTATTATTATCTATTCAAGTTATTATTTATTTTTACATCATTGGATTATTATCATTAGCATGGTGTTATTGGATCAATTTATATTTAATCGCTTTCTATTCAAACGCATTTATTCGTATCATTCCCCTCCTCTCTTTCTCTCTGTCGAAAGCTATTTATAAACTATGGTAGCACCTTGATGCAATATTTTAATCTTATCTTTCGATTCCTACCATATGAATTAAAAAAACACTTTAAGATTGATCATTCTTTCATTCATGTTGGTTGCGACAACTTCATTTCAATTCCTCTAAGTTTTTTCAATATTAACTTACCTTTTCATTTCGTCTTATTCATATCCTTAATTTGTCACGTTCTACTCTAATCCAATGGTGTTCCATTCCATTCTTTTTTAACTTAACCGTAGATTAACGATTCATAACAACGCCAAGTTTTTATTAGCAGGGCTGATTTGATTTCATCATTTCCTCATTTAATTTTAAAGTGTTGATGTTGACGTCTCTTTTTAAGAGATTTATCTACCTATTCTATATAAAATTGAATTCTTGTTAAGTACATAAAGCTACATACTGGTTGTCATTTGGCTGTTTATCAAGAACGTCGAATCTATACCTTACCAGTTTTAGTCTATCACAAGAGAAGAATTGAATATTAAAATCACTCTTTCATACCATTTAATCGCGAAAATTGAAAAAAAGACACTGTACCAAAATGAATATGAGCAACGGCTCTTCTGGTGTTAACGGTAGCACAAGTTCACCACCAATACCAGTGCCATCGCCACCGCCTATCCATATACAGTGGCTAGTTATTGGTATTATCACAGGCATTACAAATGCAAGCCTACTCCTTTTTATCATATTTAATCGAAAATTACACAGTATAACCAATTTTATTCTATGTAGTAAATTAGTCATTGGATTCTGTTTTGGTATTATTTACGTTATACCACGGCAAGCAATACCATTTATTAGTAGCGTTGCTATTCTATGCGATTTTATACCACAACTTGGAACTGGATTGATGATTAACTTAAATCTACATGTCTGTTTGATTAGTTTTCATCGTTACTTCCTAATTATTAATCCTTTCCGTTACAAGGAGCGTGCCACATCTAGAAACGTCGTTATAGTCCTTACTAGCACTTGGTTACTGTCTATTTTTATCGCAGCAATTCCCTTATTCACGTTTCGCCCTATTCATGGTATCCAATGTATTACACTGGGAGATATTAATGCCGAAACCGTTTATCTATCTTCTGTATTTATTATACTGTTCCTTGTTCCCTTGGTTGTTTTAGTCGCAACTTATGGTAAAATTTTAGTGATTGTCTTGACTCTTCACAAAAATCATGTCTATCCTGCTGGAGATAAATCAGCAAATATCAGTATAAAAACGAATCGTAAAGCGTTAATCCAAGCAGCTGTAATGATTGGTATATTTTTTTGTTTATTTGTCCCTTTTGTTGTTGGTGTGATTATCTTTTTCTTTGCGCTAAGAGCTGGCAAAGTTGGTCCACTCGTTCCTGTACTTACGGCAACTCAATACCCGGCATTCTGCTACCCGGCCTTAAGTCCAATTTTAAATATTCTGTTTATGAGCGATATTCGCGTCGAAGTTGTAAACTTCGTAAGGGCTAGTTATTCGAATATTTCTGGTGATAATAATAGCTATACGTACGAATCATCACAAGCTCAACGCCGTCGAAAAACTCTAACTTCGAATTTTTGAAAATCCTAATCAAGTTGACTATTAAACTATCATGACTAGTATCAATTGCATTGCTTAAAACAGTTAAAGTATTGATATCGGTATAATAACTATCGAATGCTCTTTAAAAACAATGTAAATGTATAGCTAGTGCATTCTGTATGGTACTTCAAAAATTATCCTCATTTGACGAGCATTTCATTAGAAGTTTATCATGCCATTTATTAATCATTAGAAGTGTATTAGAGAACTGATTTTTTATTGAAAGAATATTGTAATTTTAATGATTTCAGTATTGAATAGACAACGATGGGATTATAGACGATCGTCTCTAGTTGTTGTGTGCTAGTCCATAATAATAATATACTTGCGGTATGGAATGAAAACAAGCATATTTCTTACTTTGCAAAGGAAATGATGAAAAAAAATTGAAATAAAAATGTAGCCTTAACGACTGGTGTCATCTTTTGATGATGAAGCCCTCAAAGTATTTCTACATTAAACTATGTTAACCCTTTTACTAGAGAGTATACGCATGGGTTATAGACCAATTTGCTATAAGATAGGATGAGCGTATCGATCATGAGTGTTTACTGCAATTGTGGTAAAATTGCGGTACTTTTTCTGGTAGTAATTTATATATTGTAGCTTATAAAACTGGCAATGCTAGCGGTGATTTAAATATTTCCATAAAAGTAAGAGAATTGTTTATTATACTTCTTTGCGTATGTAAGGCTATGGTCTTCCACTATTTGTAATCTACGATAAATAATATCCATGATTATTATTATAATAATTCTCGGAAGTTGTTGGCGAAACTCATAGTACCAAGAAAATTACTTCAACCTTGAAAATCTTTCAGACAATATACATTTATTAATAAACGGTATATGACCATTCTCTCGTGGTTTTGACTAGGTATACTTAAAAAGCTATTTTGAAAATAATACGTAACATACTAAGAATAAGATAGCTAGAATCAAGAATTTCTAGGTCTTTAGTACTAACATTGTCATTTCCTAGCTTAATTGGAAATAAATGGTTTGATATTGATTTACATAAAAAATAATTTCTCATTCTACCGTAAAGTTACAGATATTAACGTAGGTTATCAAATTATTACATATACGATCTTGATCATGTTATAAATCTCCGATGTGAACGATTAAATTACAGTATGGTATACCAGTGATGACGTATGGCTACATTACGTTATCTGTTATTAATTTTATGGTATCTTATAACCAATAGCTATCATTTTTCGAAAAATAAACTTCTCTTCCAAGTCAATTTTCAACTTAGAGAAGAATCTCACTGTTCCCTTAGCGACAGTAATATACGAGTTTATTTATTTGTTGTTCAATATTTACGAACCATCGCATTTTATCTCGATTATCTGGCTTATACTTATACATGTCAGTGATTATGCACTTTGGCTACTATTTCAACGTTGTGAATTGGATGGTCTATATAGCTTTATTTTATACTGTATAATTTCTACTTACTCAGTATGGACAGCTTATCTAGTGTAATATCCGCAATTACTGTAAATTGAATACTGAATTTTGCACAATATGTATATAATTTCTTCCTTAGTGAAGAAAGAGTGAATATGAATACCAATTTAGTCTAGCTATCATTTCTTTGTTATCATTATTAATTTCTTTCTAGGCCATCATGCTGTGGATGTATATTGTAGATCTGCACCTATGTTTATTTAGTGGAATCATTGATTATGATTTGAACAGTACCGCAATAATATCAAATAATTATTTGATTACTTGACTATAGTTCTAAATCAAGTTTAAAGATTGTTATTACTCTTTTATCCAATCGAGATGATTCTACCAGGAAGAGGGTAATTACAGTAAGCTAGAATAACCTTGGTTACGTAAAGGATATGGTATAGAATGCGTAATATACGTAGTTCTTCTAATTTGATGTTGAAAGATTATAATTTCATGCTATAATAAACAAGTATACCACTATTCAATAATAAATAATTCTGGCGTAAACTTTGAATAATACAAAAGAAATCAATTTTCTATTAAATAAGGGTAAATACTTCACAAGTATCTTTCTCTTAAAGATTTCATCAACATATGGAATATAATATAAAGGATGGAAATTTATCCAATAAATCTATAAACTATTATGTATGGGGTATGTGCGTAAGACAGATCCAAGTTTACTTGCATTAAGCTATTACCTTCCATATCTCAAATAAACTACTTCCAAAAATACTACATTGGGTCAATTCATAATACTCTAATCACTTGTAAAGTACGGCTAATTTACCAATGCTTATAGAATTGATATACCGTATTAATTCTAAATTGTCGAGTAAAAGATAGATCATAGTTATGGCTGTGTTTAGTAAAGGTTCGGCAGATACCAACTTTTGTTGGATATACGAGTAAATGTTGCTCAACTATTTTTGGCGTAGATTAATTGTTGCTTGGTTTCTCATTGAATTAAAAAATTACAATTAGACGACTCATACTTGGCGCACCAAATGGATTTTCTATGCTATAATAATTCCTATTAATCATATAATTAGACAAATTCATTAATTCTGGTAGGGATTACTACGGTATAAATGCTTTTGGAGCCCGTGGTAAAAGGCAAATATGGCTTATTTTTATAAATTAGTTGTTAGGCGAAGCAATGCGTAATCAAATAAATGATTTCAGCAATATTTATGGAATAAAAAATTCATATCTAGCGAATCTTACTGTATGTAGTAAGATTGGCCAATTCCATAATGACCGAGACTTATTGTACATCATGGTGTTATTGATAGGTTAGATAAGTGCGATCGTAAACTTAGCTCAGCTCTTTTTATAATTGATCAGGCGAACTACATTAATGAGTGGAAACTGTAGCAAAATACGAATTGTAGGCATTCTTGGCTGCTAGGGTATGGAATTCATTTTGTCAAGGCAGAGATTTGGCAATACCGAGGCTTATTTGATTATCCCGGCCACGCTCCATTCCATCCAAGGGGTCCATCACTTCGTATGAGGCTTTGATGGTATGTTTTATGTCATTAAAATAGAATTTATACTCCTCTTGCAATGGAAAGTTACTTAATGCAAGTAGTTTCTACATTGCTTGTACTTCAGGCCCGGTGAACGTTCTATTTTCTCTTCATTCATAATTACATCAATTATATAATTATTGGGAGAGTAGTGAGTTTCATTTTAGATAGGAGAGGGAGCGTTTGTTTAGTCCAGGAATATACTAAAAGAGAAAATGATTAGGTGTGGCAGTTGCAATAGTAGTACGGTACTTATTTGGCATATGGTGTTAGCGTTTTAGACTGCAATAGAATGATCCATAACGGTGGAGAAGAGCTTTATCTTTTACCTTGATGAGACACTAGTAGTTTATGATTGAGCTCATCATGTGCTCCGTAAAGTTGCTTGACTAAAAACGAAAGAGAGGGACAGAAAACGGTCATTCGGTATACTAAAAATGTAGGGGTTGACTAGTCGTTGATCATCTCAATTGAAGCGTATGTCCAAAACGATGCCGTACACTACGGCTATTTCTGCATATTGTGCAATGTAATGGTGGCACATTACAACACTGACTCTTGTTATCCTATTTGCATGCAGGCAAGAAGCAATAAAATTCCCAATCAATGAGATCAATGAAGGGAGTGGTTTGAAATTCTAACATATAATAAATAATTTTATTATTCTATTGAAAAATATTTCATAGTGTAGTCCTTCATTGAGGTATCAGTTCCTCAGCAGCGCTGGCTGGCTCGGCCAACAAACCAAGCCGAAATCGTAAATACAGAATGGCAATGCTTGCTTCCCCAATGCGATCCAATACTATTACTGACATACGAGTCTATTATTATGATTATTTTTAGTCAATGTGATTTAAAGGCAGCGTGAAATAAAGAAGACTTTACACCCCTACCAATCCCTTTCGTCGCCGAAAGCACGCTGATGTAGTGTACACCCTACAGGTGAATGGGTAATGTTATGACTGGTGTAGATTCCTTCCGCAGCAGGGTCACTTCATTCATTTCTAGTACTAGATTTACTGCCAGTACACTACTGCCTTTCCTGGATCAAGAATCAAATAGAGGCAATAATTTCTAATACTTGATTTACTGCCAGTACATTACTGCCTTTCCTGGACCGAGAATCAAATAGAGGCAATAATTAATTTCTAATACTTGATTTACTGCCTTTCCTGGACCAAGAATCAAATAGAGGCAATAATTTCTAATACTTGATTTACTGCCTTTCCTGGACCGAGAATCAAATAGAGACAATAATTTCTAATACTTGATTTACTGAACCAAGAATCAAATAGAGGCAGTAATTTCTAATACTTGATTTACTGCCAGTACATTACTGCCTTTCCTGGACTAAGAATCAAATAGAGGCAATACTTGTATCTTGGACCAATCATGTGGCCGACTCAACTGCAGTCAATTTAAATGACTAATCACGTCCAATTTGGTATGGGGATATAGTGAACTAACTCTTCCTTTTACCGTGCAGTATATAGTTCATGTAGGATTGGTTGTTCATATTATTGACTGCGTTAATGTACTGTGTAGTAATTTATTACGACGATTCTTATTTAGCCGGTCACGTATTCAAGGTAATTTACCTCGGCCATTGCCAAGTCTGGTTGCATCTGAGTCTTGTAGTACTGTCTAGTAAGTACATAGGAAAGTCGTGGCAAATTCCCTGTCAAGCACGTCTATAGACAGTACAGTACATTGCAGTCATGACACTGTCTTGATAATACCAATACGCAAACATGGCATTGTATTACATACTGTAACACATGGGCTTGCACCAGAACTGAATGATACAGGATCATACTGTAATCTACAGTACAATGTATTCTAGACTACAGTACTTTGGCCCAATTGCTTACGCCATCCAGACTGCTGTACAATCCTCTCTTCTCTGGCTGCGGTTTCTGTACTCGGTAGATCGTGCAAAATTGCAAAGATGGCGCTGACTCCGGCACAGTTACTGGACGAATTGATGGGACCCAACAGAAATGCCCTACCCAATGAGGCAAAAAGTGAATTACACTGGTCCGACGATAATGTAATGCTATTATAAATGGATATTGATAACGTAATTAGATTGCATTGCAGGGTATACAGTACTTCTATGTACTTGTTAGTACACGTTAGTGTGGACTTGCATGACAAGGTAGCGCCAAATGCAACGCTTACTGGATCGCATGCACTCCTCTCCCGACGATGTTGCTATCGATTCTATGTGGATTCCATCTATTTTAAATTCGGTTCTAAATACCGTACAGTCCAAATGCTATACTGCTGTATATTGAGTAAGACTACATTAGTAAACTTATAAAATGAACCGTTAGTAGGGGAAAAGACTGCATTACAACTGACAATGCATAATACTGTACTTATTAGGCATAGAAACAAAGACGCATACTTGAGTAGTATGCGAGGGATGGTAGGAATTTTTTTTCAAAGGCTGTACTACTGTATCATTATTAAGACAGTATTGGATATGGATCGATTGACTGCAAATGAGGCCGTTGAGAATGGATAGTTTTTTAATCTGTTAGAATGCGTAAATATCGTTGAAGATGACAGGACGATATATCAATTCAGAGAGTTTTGTTCATTGTAATTGCTGTCATTATTATTTTTACAAAAGTGTCCGAAATGAATTTGACCCGTACCTCCTAAGAAATTCATGATCCATTCTCAGTTGTTCAATGGTCTAATATCTGTATGACGTTTTTCTTAATAGGTTTGTAAACGATTTTTATGTGGATTTTGCCCTTCTCAGCTGTTTACCAATACTCGTTCCGATCTAGGTAAGTTATAAAAATTCAGCTTTCTAGATACAGTTACAACCGTTGCCTAGAGCAAAGTGCTCAGTATCCCCTTACTATATATTTAAAGGTGCAAACACTTGTTTCTTCAAGTTTTCACGTATAGTATACTGTACTGAAATTCAATTTTTCCCCATTACTGCTACTCTATTAATGTAAACATGTGATATGCTGATATCGTAATCAAACTCCTTTCACGATTTAGTACTGTACTGCATGTAGTACAGTACTTGGCTATACTGCACGCGTATTCTTACGATGTCAGAATCTCGTCAAAATTGCAATGGAAGTAAGACTATTTGATCCGACTTTTTGAAGCTACAATATTCTATCAGATTTGTACAGCAATTCTTATCCATACTGCAAGTACACGTGCACATTGTCATGATTGGTTGATTATATATATATATTATTATTGTCACCCAATCAGTATGTTATGTCTTATAATTGCTATTAACGTAATTTTGTTGAAGTGCATTAGCCAGAGATAAAGATTTAAATACTGTATATCAGATGATAAATCACACAGTGTTATTGATACTTTCTCTTCCTTCCACTTAATGAAGTGCGTGTACTGTATGACAGTACAGTAATGGGCCAACAACGGATAAAGGAGAAATCTAGTATGAGTACCTTTTGAGCATCAGTATTGAAATCTTACTTAAATGTGGTGTAATACCTCATAGATTGCGATACTAATTGCAGCAATCTATAATCAGTATTATAACTCTCAGAGTCGATTTCTGTCATTTTCTTGCAGTGAACTACCCGTCCAATAAATCTACACCTTTAATGCCCTAGATGCATTCTATCGACTACTAGTATTGATAGTTATTTAATATGCTGTTTAGACGCGTCATTGAGCTCCTAATCTTTATTCATATAATTATAGGTCCTTGCGAAAAAATTCACGATGAAAATTTACGACAATTGTAAGTGCTGTGACCTTCAGTGAAATCCTCCCGGCTCTGTATTTAAATTTTTTATTTTAAATACTCTCAACGGATATTTTGCTTGTAGAAGAGAGCTCTTTTTTAATTTATTAGCTGATAGCGGTTAATTTTCACCAGATATACGCGTATATTTTTAGCTGCATACTCTATCGTGCAATGGCATACTTTGCAGTTCGTAAGTGATATTAATGGCTGTTTTATTGTATTTCTTGAATAGATATAAGAAAAGTAAAAGAAATGGTAAAATGCAGTATGAAGAAGACTTTTTGCGCTACTTACAAAGTATTATGGCTGACGTAGAGAGGAGAATCCGTCGTGGTCATCAGCGTCTAAGTTTGAATGCTAAAACGAAAGAAAATGTAAGTTTAACATAAACTTTCACCGAAAATAACTAAATGCAACGGATTTCGCGTGTTACTGTTAGATGTTACTCTATTAGCTACAGTATATGATACTGTACTGTACATAAGATTCCGGATATGTGTTGCTACATCTTGTGGTGTTTACTTATGTAAATGCCTCTATTTTAAAGTTATTATTTACGTCCATTTTTATGTATGATTTCGTAGAAGGATATTAGTCAAGAAGATGAAGAAAAAGTTATGGAGATCAGTCGGGACATTAATGCTCTAATACCTCAGGTACGTAAATTGGTATATAATTTCTTATCTTATCAGCTTCCAAATAATCTCTAACCAGTACATTACGTCTTGAGAAAGTATTTATTCCTCTATTAAGCGTGAAAATCTCACGCTAGACGTGAATTAACATTAGTGACTATTACATTATATTATTTGATGTAAATGCTTATCAAAACTGGTTGCATTGAAAAGAAACTAAACTCAGTGACGAAGAATTTTGACCACATCTTAGGTAGAAGAACTCGGTTCTGAAGGTCGCGTTGATGAAGCACAAGCTTTGACAGAACAGATCGACAAATTAAAAGAACAACGGGAGCGTATTCAAGCGGTAGTGATTTCTATCGTTGTACCTATTTACATTTCTGCCTCTAATATAAAATGTACTACTTGACTAAACGATATCGTTTTCTCCTGCTTAGCAAGCAAGAACGGATAAATCATGGGTACGAGTAAATTAGTTGGTGTAATTACAAACGGTCGAATAAGTACCGTAGGTCTTTGTTTTAGGTGGATACTAAGTTGAGATTATTTTATTGTCAACGAAACAGATCAAAGATCCAATGTCAAATCAAGATAAGCAAATGGAGGTTTGTGAAACTTGCGGTGCCTTTTTAATTGTGGGAGATGCACAGTCTCGTGTTGATGATCACCTAATGGGCAAGCAACATATGGGTTATGCTAAAATTAAGTTAACCATTGAAGAATTATTGGTAATTTTTGTGCATCATTTCCTTTTTATGTGTATGTATTATTGGTGAACTGTTAGTGATTTTCGCGTTGTCACTTATGCTTAAAGGTGACATCAATTTTTAGTTAAGTAGTTGAAGGAATACGAAACTTTATACACTACCTATGTATGCATTACATCTCTAAATTTATTGATGAGGTACATTACAAGCAATTATTATTTACGCACTCTAGATTAAAAAGGATGGTGAAAATGAATCTCGTAGAAATAGAGACATGGATACCCGTGATAGAGATGGCCGTAGAAATCGCGATAACGACAGAGGTCGAGATCGGGACAGAGATAGAGAACGAGAACGAGATCGAGATCGAGATCAGGATAGAAATCGGGATCGCAAAGATCGACGTGAGAGGTATGATAAAGATAACGATCGTCATCGTTCCAGTCGTCATGACGACAGTGATCGCAGAAGAAGAGAGCGTGATGAATATAGTCGTCATAAAGCACGTAGCAGGTGAGTGTAAGTAAACTTTTTACCAGTTTTGCAGTAGCTCGCTAAGGTGTAACATTAAGTGGCTATCTGGGCTGACAAGAGGGAAAATGAAGAGTAGAGCTTTCAATGATTGGAGGTGAAGGATTTTGTAAATCATTTATACTCATACACGAAATATAAACAAATTAGTGCACGTTCGCATATAGTATTGTTGGTCAGCGATTGCCTTCTTGTCATGGCTGGTAATACCAATCTCTACTAAAATGAGCAACAGAAAACAGGTGCATTTATTCCGTATTGTATTTAGGCTAAATATGTGGTGTATTTGCTGCTGTATTGCAGTAGGCTACGTATTGGTCATGTTTCATGCAACAGAATACGGTAGTTTCCTTTTTGTACTATTTCAATCAGTAGACTAGCGTATTTGAAGAACATTTTGGATCACTCTTTTTGCTGTCGATGGTGTTACTGTCATTAAATTATTTCCATATGACGTCCTAATTAATGTAGCTGCTCTTAGCAGTTTTTCAATATGCCACGTTATTCCGCTTTAAGACATCCGAATAATTGCAGTTCTGAGGTTTCATCTTCTTTGCTGTGTAAATCAATTGATTTTGTGTAGTTATATTTTACTTCGTCCGTTACCGTCAGGGTTTCTATAGTTTACCAATAAAAATTAACTTGACGTAGAAAAGCCAATAACATACAGTATCCCTTAAGGGTATAACACATTGCAAGCTTTTGCGTTATAATGTTATGCAAGATTTATATCTGCGTTGTTATTCAACAGCTAAGTGACTTTGGGCAATATACCCATATTAGTTATTGATTATGTACGTCCGCTGTCGTATACAGTGAAGCTTTTCTATCGACTTGTAGTAATGTAGCATGTAGACTTTGTAACTTGAACTACTGTACTGTACATATCTACATACTCGTATCTGGTTAGTTATTCCTATCATTTTCGTATAATCTATAGTTTATGTTCGATAACAGTTTACCCCTTATATGATTTATGCTATCAGGTCAAGAGAAAGACATGGACGCAGTAGACATGATGAAAGAGACCGTCGTAGGTCACGTTCTCCTCGTCGACGCTCTAGGTCAAATTCTCCGCGTAGTAAATAAAGGTTGAATTATACAAGATATATTTTCTAGTATATGTCCCTAGCTGTATTAGGTATACGCGTGTATCTATGCTTACGTTGACAAAAAGTTGCTCGGTGTACTCTGTCTGCTTTTGGTGAAGTCTGCTAACTTTGTGCTAATTTGGCTAATGATTTACAACCTCCCATCTTCTACGTATGTGATCATGCCTTCTTCTTGTGCGTTATCTCCTAGGTAATAATATTTAATAACTAGGATACGACACTTGACTTGTTTATCAATTTACCTTACGCGTAAGACATCTCAATTAAGGTGCTGTTGATCATTCTTCTGCCGTCGAATTAATGAAGGTATTTGTAGATAAGTACTAGCTTATTCGTGATCTATGCAGCCCACTAGTCTTTGATAGACTTGCAAATATAAAATAATGACTGCATGGATTAGTTCAATATATATTGCTTTAAAGTTACAGTAGAGTTGAGACCGTTAACGTATTGTATCCTAGACAATTTCCTTTGTAATAAAAACGTTTATTTTCGAAAATGTTGTATGGCTACAATAAAATTTTAACATTGTAAGCAAAATATGAATGGATACAATCAGCTTACTTTGTTGAGATTTTTTGTCTAGAAAGTTCCTCAACAAGATTGCATGCTACTATACTCATCATATATGCGTATCGCTACGAAGTCAGCTTATGTACGAATTGTGTGCTGTACTTATCACTCACCGGTGATAACTCGTACGCTTACAAACAACCAAATGCGAGATAAAGCCGCACTTGTCTGCGTATAGCTACCGCCAGCTCTACGATGTATTTGGCAAGTGATGTAGTACAAACCAATAAAAGGCTACGTTATAAATTAACCAAGTCAACACTACCTAAATTTCAATACAATCACTGCATACTTGTCATGTAAGTGATATACTATCTATTGAGTTACGTTTAAATATTGATAACTCAAATTCATTTAGCATAGTTCTATATATCTTAGTTTTACAATATAATAATACATTAGTCAAGACACGTAAAAATTTCATAAACGTTATATTAATCATATGACGTATCTAAAAATTTATCGCATTACAATCTCAAAATAATAGTACGTACTAGGATCAGTTTGTGATAATCTCTTTAATTAGTGTAAAGTAAATCCCCCAAAAATAACAAGACTGTCTTTACACGTGTGCAATACAGTATGTTTCGTGCTTATCTCTAAAAATGGAAAGTGAAACTATGAAATTCGCGATGTCATAGAAATATTATTACTATTGGTTAATTATTAAGTTTGTCAACATGGGATTCGTATACTGTAGAGGAATTGAAATACTATAATTAAGATTAACTGATAATTCCAGGGATAAGACGCCATGGTATTATTAGCGCCGTAGGAATTGCATTAAATACAGTACAATACGTTAAACAAGTACTATCAATATTACATAGCTTAGCTTTCTACTGGCACGTGATGACATAATTGTACTGGAAGTAAACCATATTATAGATTAATAGTAACTAACATCAAGAGCATTCGGTTGCAGTCTATTTAGTAAAACCACTTCCAACTCCTGATTGTCAGTTAATCTTTGCAAATCTTTATCCTTACGAATAAGGATATTAGGTAACTTGCGAATCTTTTTTACAGCTGATTTCGATAGATCTAGTTCTTCGCAACATCGATCAAATAATGATTCGTATGTTAAATTAAATCGATCCAGTTCAACTTCTACGAAATCTTCTTCACCAGAATTTGCAATACGAACTTTAACCAATAATTCCCCTATATTGAATAAGAGGTTATAGAAAGAAATTGCAATAAAAAAAATTGAGAAATAATGATAAATTGAAGATTTTACGTTTTCCCATAGGGTTGAATGATTTGCCATGTGGTGAAGCCACAATGGTTGCTTGAGTTGAGATAGTTCGACTTTGAATAGACAGCTCTTTTACATCACCTCCAACCGTGACGATAGACTTTGGAGGTGAAGTACTACGTCCATTTTGGGAGACAGTAGTTTCCGTAACTGTAGTATTTGAGTATGGAAAGGGAGGATTTTGCATGTAGTTTGGAGTGATAGGCAGTTCAGTTTTGTTTGTTTTTGGAGAGTTATTAGGAGACGCACCTATATCGCTTACTCCCGCTAGTATAGAAAAAATTCACTAATGTTATACAGTATTAATGATTGTAGGGTATAAAAAGGCAATGCATTCCCAAGATTATTAATTGTTCTTGCCCAACTCAATCCTTAGCTTAAGATAATATTTGTAAGGAGATTGTAATCTAGTAAAAGTACAGTACATAAAGAGCTACTTACTATTTGCATGCATTACTTAAGCTTACTATTGGAAAATCAGTCTACACTAATATAACAAATACGTATAATGCCATGCTGTTATGAACATACACTGTACATACAGTGTACACTGAATGCATAGCAGGAATTACTGTATAATTAAGTATTAATATTTACAGCGTCTTTCAGTCTTGTAGTAATACTGTGTCATAGAATGTACTTATATCTAGAAGCTTCAACAGAGCTATACATCATTCTAAACATGACATAATATTACCTGCATTATTTAACATCACTTTAATTTCCTCACTGCTGGATAACTGAGCTGCAGTTTCACCGGATTTAGTTAAAAGTGATGGTTCTGCACCCTCGCTTAGCAGGTAGGCTACAATATCATTATGCCCGCGGCAAGCAGCCCAATGTAAGGCGGTCCTGTCCAATTACAAAATATGTCAATATAGTAGTTACATTAGTTCTTCTTCTTATTATTGAAATCAATGTTTGCACGATCAATAAAACTAATGATGAGATATAGTTAGATTGAGTCAAGATCGATTGATCTTGACATCTCTATACCGCCATTTAAATACTTATACACTGCCATGCCAGTTGTAGTTATATTTATTGTTACGGTATTTTGAATAATGAATGTACTAATATACAATATTACTGCTGAATACCTACAGAACAGTGTACAGTGCTTGTATACGTGCATTACTGTAGGCGCATTATCTCAAGATATAAGTGCGAACAATACTCTAAGAATGTGATTAGAAAGTAATCAGAATAGAAGAGTTGCTTCATAACATTTAGAAAGTTATAGCCTAAGAAATGATTTAGTTATAGTAAAGTAGTGAAAGAAAGTGGTTGCTAATCTTGTTTGATGGACAAATTTTTTGTTATGAAAAGGAGCTTACTACAATGATTGTTCTCTAGACTGTAATTAACAACGTGATGAGATAAAAGAGAAAATTGTAGCTATTAAATTCGAATTCTTTACTGTTATTTGCCTATTTTGCTTAGTGCGAAGTTTTAAGTGTGGAACTACGGTATCAACGACTTTAACTCAATGGAAGTATTTCTACAGTTTGTTCATTTTATTCGTATTGCTAACGGTCTGATGACAATTTAATAGTATGGTGGTTCGGTATCACTGTGTCACAAGTGTTATTAAATTACACTGTACATTGTTGTCTTGTCATTAAATATACTCCTGTGCCATGTCAGTAAGGTTCATTATGTTGCTCTCCTTTATTGCGCGTAGTAATTACGCCGATTTAACGAATACGTGAACTCTATGCTTTAGAATATAATATAATCTACTGTATCTTAACTGTTAGATAAACAAAGCTCAAGTTGGACGGTAATCGAAGGACGAATAGCAAAGTCAATCTCGATGACAACTTTGTTCTCTTATCATGACTAAAAGGTACAATAAGCCATAAGAGATCGACTTGATCATGAGAAATTTTTGCTAGTGTCCATTCAACTTTATGGTCTATTGTATCTAGGCGTAAATAATTACCATCCATTGATTTTGTGTTGGGAATTGATGTTGACGCCTCGTTGTACTAATAACTGGACAGTATCTTTCTCACCAAGACAAGCGCATTCGCGAAGTCTTTCTTCGATTCCATGAACGGGATTCATGTGTGATTAATTTCAGGCAATAATTTAAGATTTTTATGGAGGAAAATGATCGATTTCAATGTCGAATAGCCCACCAATTTAGTAAGAGTAGGTAATTTTTTTTCTCACCAATCCTAGAGATGAAATGAAAGTTTTTTTCAGATTGCAAAATCATAACAATAGTCTTGTTACGTTTAAACGAAGCGTAAAATTCTGAATAGAATGCAGGAATGGAGGATGAACTACCTTCTTCTATCTTGGTATCTTGGTGTAATAATTTTGATGTTGTCAATTTCAATGTAATTGATGAAGATGACGAGTAAGATCGAGTCGAAAATGGTGGTAGATTGGCCTTTGGATAGAAAATGGTATGAAAGTAATGAGACGCATTAGCTTGAATATCATGAATTATACAAGATAGGAGTATACTGCTCTGGCTTATTGTTCTGGCTTTGTTATGATTGGCTTTTGGGCTATTGATCGTGTTTGAAAACGATCAATAACGTTTCAACTTTCTTTTGTGATGGGCATCTGTGGTGACGCGCATCGCTAAGCACCAAGCCAGTGTGTCGCTAGGTGCTCTCCTGCAGTACAGTGTATAGTACTGTACTTGATGGAGTATCATCCAGTAGAGTACTGTACAGTACGTAGAGGTATAGTATTTGCTAATTAACGATTCTCAATTAAACCGACTACCCATTACCACGAATAGATCTGAGAAGGTTCGATTCGGTTCGGTTCGGTTCAATACTTTTATGATCTGTACAGTACAATACAGTACTGTATGTCCACCAACATAACAGTACTGTACAATACACAACAGTGCCTCTACCAGTCTACCAGCATTGCTTGCATGCTGGACTATTCTGGAAGGCACTGGTTGGACTACCTAAAAGTCCAATGGATATTCTGCTGTAAAATATGCTTTTAGTTGGTTTCAGTAGGACAGTCGTATTCTAGATAGTATACTGTTCTATGACTGCAGCAGGGACTACTAAACTGCTGTGTACAGTCAGTATTTGCTTATTCAGATCGCTGGTTGATGCTTTTCAAAGTGACAAAATACTTTGATACACACTGTACATTGTCGAATACAGTGCTGTGCAAGTGAAATTCAAGGTTGAAGGCCGTGAAGATCTTGACAGTTGAAAAAGTCTTCTCTTTATTGTACCGTACAGCACTACTTTGGTAGCAGTTTGATGGAGAAGAGCTGTTACTGATATTCACAAGCAGTACTCCTACTGTATTTGAATGATTAACATGGCCACTTGGCGAGTAAAATAGTCGGTTTGCGCGTTTCCAGTGTAGTAAAGAATTGCCTGTGCTCTCCGTCTTTTATTAATAACAGTCCACATAATAAATAAATAAAAAAAAAAATAGCAGATCCAGTGTACTGTAGAGGACGGACCCAGTCAATTCTGATACTGTACTGTACAGTAGAATGTACAGTACAGTACTGTACTGCAGTCATCGTGGTAGGTTGAAAAACCTCGATGACGGAAGTGAGTCACAGTACGGCACGGAACGGAACGGCACGCTAAATACCAGTACACTGCCACTGACCAATAGTACTGTACAGTACTGTATGACCATGCTCTACTGTACAGTACTGTACAGTCTACAGTACAGCCATTACGAGTTGTACTGTACTGTACAGTACTGTAGACTGAGTACAGTACAGTTATGGCATTCGTTCACCCTACTGTCCTATTCTGTACACTGTACTGTATGAGAAGTGATAGTAATAGAATCATATGGAAAACGACTACGTACTGTACTGTACTGTACCGCACTGGACTGGACTGGACCGATCCGGACCAAACTCGACCAAACTCGACTGCACTTTCACTACTGTAGTGTTGAAGCACTGGCTGAACTGCAGTCTGTCACTAGACGTGAGAACGAAACTCGCCTGTCTGACGCGTCTGTCGGTCAATCAGACAATGCTGTTTGACAGCCAAAGCCTCGCAGCTGCGTATTGCCTGCTGAGGAATCAGCGGCAAGCTTCATGTGATTCCCAAGCTGTTGTGTCTTACATCGTTTCAAGCTAGAGTAGAAGAGAATCCAATTGGAATTGACAAGTATCTCGATCATTCCAATTGTAACTTGACATCGTATTTGAACAGAATTTGCTGTAACGTGTAGCCAAGCCATTGGGATACCTCATCGAGCATTCAACGACAACTTGAATTCTATCCTTGACGAATAGACCGAAAGTATGGACGATTTAACCAGCGCTCCACTCGAGCTTTCCAGCATCAATCGTAAGTCATGGAAGTAAAAACTTGCTCATCCATTCAAGTCAACAAAATCAATGACTTAAGTACTCTTTCCCTTTCTACCTATATTGTATTATGACAAAGAGTGGCTGTAGAGGTTATAACTTTGATACAAACAACTTACTATCTACCCTTTCAATGTCAACTATACCCATCACGTCTAGGTATCTTTTTGCGCGGCTTATATAGCTTACCTGCAACGTTTGATTCACTTGCTCCAACTTATTAATCTGTTGTCGATCTCGATTGTATCGTTGATTACTATGATCACGCATATACATTCGATACAGGCTTGAAAATGCAAATGATGCTAGAAGGAAACTTGAAAGTACAATTGATACCATTCTACAGCATCAAGCATGTCAGCAATTGTTGCTTTCCAAGAGGAAGAATGAAGGTTGAAATTCCATTTTCGTTGCCAGTTTCGTCATGTCTATTATCATGTCATACGAGATGGATTCAATGATGAGTTATCCTAATCTAATTCTTTACTTAGCTTTCATAAACTACGATGACAGATGAAAATCAGGTAGATATTAGGAGAGTAGAGTAGAACGTCATAGACTTCAATCTCCTTTTCCTGACTGGGAAGGATACAATATATTGAACGACTTTCAAGTTGATACGCACTCTATACTGTACAACGTACAATACGCGTACACTTCCTTGTCAGTCTTACAAGAAGTTTGCTAATTTTAAATACTGTTGATAAAAAAGAGAGAAAAAAAAAATCACCGAGATGATATATGAAATGATAGGTAAGCTACATTCATTGACTAAGAAAATGGATAACTTGCTCTTTTGAACGTATTCAAGATATCCAGAGTCATACATTTCTTTCTAGGTGTGTTATATGTATAGGACTGTACAGTCTTCGTGATAAATCATACTACTGCATAGCAATCTCTCTACGATCCTACATGTTTTACTATGACTGTATTTATTGAAGCTAGAATGTCACAAGCCAGCACTGCTATCTATCTCATGGATGTTAGTGAAACAATGTTTTACTTACGACATGATATCAGACCGAAATCCTAATATCGATCAACTGATTACGGCCGTATCAATGTTGTTACCTAATCGAAATCAAGTCTTACTTTGATGACATCTTTCTCAACTCCGGACCTTATAAACAATCTTCTGAAATCTATATTTTGGATAGCTGCTATAGTTATACTTAGACACCAGAGTTGATTACTTGTGAACACAATATGATGATAGAGCTATTCAGTTTTTCCAATGACATACTGTCATGGCAGTTAGTGAAGAATTGTAAAAATGTTACTGGACGTGAGATCCTTCAAAAATCCCTTATCTTATGCAAGTGTGTAATTTGTTAACTCCAGGGCCCCTTCACTTAAATTCTATGCCAACAGTCTACACAAGAAAGAATGCAATGCATGACAATATTCCTAGGAAATAAACATTATGGATGAGCAAGTCCAATACAACTCGTCATGACCACTTACTAATAATATCACTAGTAGTACTTATAAATTTTAATACTAAGCAAACGTAACTTTTACCCCTTTACAGTACTGTATATACAAATTTGAGCAGTAACTTCATTTCTTTAACTATCCTTAACAAAGTTAAACAACCACTAATTTTGGATTGGATATTTTTAATTATTATGCAATCTATTAAAGACGCAAACCAACCAGAAGGAAACAGTTACGAAGAAAAGAGGAGAGATCGGTTTGACGACAGAGACAAAGGACGTGATCGCCATAGAGACCGAGATCGGGATAGAAGAAGTAGAGAACGTGATAGAGATAGAAATAGAGATCGGGATGGTAGACGACGAGATCAGGACCGAGACCGAGACCGAGACCGAGACCGAGATCGAGATCGAGATAGAAGAAGAGATTCCGATCGCGATAAGCATAACAGGAAGGATCGCGAACGTCCTAAAAAGTATGTTGGACGATGAAAATTTGATTCCAACTGAATGAAAATGAATTCGTTATTTATAAGTGATATTTTAATCTAATTATTAAAATCTAGGAGTCGATCACGTTCGCATTCTCCCCGAAGAGGAAAAATTCGCCGTACACAGTATGTATTAAATTAGCTCAAATGGTCGTACAATAATAATGCAGTTATACACATTATGCATATCAGTAAATTTATAAATAAATAGTGTTAGCAGTGTATTGCAAGTCAAGATACTATTTTTTATTAGGCCATCACCATACTGGGATGTTCCTCCTGCAGGATATGAAACTGTTTCGCCAGCAGACTATAAAGAGTTGCAACGTAATGACTCGTGACTACATTGACAAGTTAAAGAATTAGGTATAATGATGCTCATATATTCTTTACTCTTTATACTTACGGTAACTAGGGGACGGTAAAGTACCAGCTCAAGGTGTACCAGCAGCGGCAGGATTAGGTATCGATCCAACTGCAGCTCCTGGGTCAGGCAGCCAAATAACGCGACAATCTAGAAGGTTATACGTTGGAAATATTCCATTTGGTATAACGGAGGTGAAACATTGCTTCTACTTTATATGAATTGATAGCATCGTAATAGATAACTACTCTCTCTAATATTGAAAGATAGTACTTGACTAATTTTAGTAGTTTTAAATTATCTTAATTAATTACTCTACACACGAATATACTTCATTATGTAATCAAGATATTATAACTCATTTATAGCAAGCTATGATGGATTTCTTCAACGAGAAAATGGTCACTACAGGATTAACGCAAGCTAATGGTGATCCTGTATTAGCTGTGCAGATTAACTTTGATAAAAATTTTGCTTTCTTAGAGGTAAAATAGGCTAAATAAATTAATTTAGATTCTATTTTCAATGATTATCGATAGATTTTAGTTACTTAACCATTATGTGATTGAAACGAATTTTACTGACCTAGCGTACTTACGACTATTTATATATGAAAATTTTTCGTTTATTGAAATAGTTTCGTTCAATTGAAGAAACGACAAATGCTATGGCTTTTGATGGAATCATGTTTCAGGTATTGCATTTATGCCTGATATTGTTTCAAGGGTTGAGTAGTCAATTTTTATTTTCGATTGCAGAATCAAGCCTTAAAAATCAGACGTCCGAAAGATTATCAGCCACCTACTGGTGGTATGTTTATAGTTTTAAATACTGATATAGAATTTAACTTTTAATCAAGTTTCTAACTGTATTTTAACAATCCTATGACAGATCCAAATTCATCTGCTAATATCCACGTACCAGGTACATTAACAATTTGTGTTATATTTGTAGTATTAAATTTTCATGAATCAATCTCACTTTGCGAAATATACGTATAACACACTGTACTTTGTATCGGATAGGTGTTATTTCAACCGTTGTTCCCGATACTCCCCATAAATTATTTATTGGTGGCTTGCCGAATTATTTAACAGAAGATCAGGTTAGTTTAAAATTATTGTTTTTTCTTCGATAAATGTTTAGGTAGCCATGTTAATAAACCACTATTATGAACATAAGGTTAAAGAACTATTACAATCGTTCGGTGAACTGAAAGCCTTCAATCTTGTGAAAGATAGCGCTACTGGTCTATCAAAAGGTTATGCTTTCTGTGAATACGTTGTTGTCGAAGTAACAGATCAGGTAATTTCAATGTGGGATTGTTCTTCATATTAAATCCTCTGTATTCTAAGTAATATAATTAATTGAATAATTCGTAATTCTTTTATTCTTAGGCAATCGCTGGCTTAAACAATATGCAACTAGGCGAAAAGAAATTGGTTGTGCAAAGAGCTAGCGTGGGCGCTAAACATAATTACTCGGTAAGATGTCTAAGTACAGAAATACAGTATTTTGCTAATTTTTTGAAGCGCCTATTTATATTTCCCACCCATTAAACAGGATCAAGGCGGTATTCCAGTAACGGTCCAAGTGCCCGGGTTGCAAATTAGCAACAATGCATTAGGAGAAGTAACTGAAATATTACAACTAATGAATATGGTCACTGAAGAAGAGCTGGTTGATGATGAAGAATATGAAGGTTACCAAATTTTGCACTACATTATGTCGTCAGTCAACAGTAATTAAATTGTATCACTTTCTATCTTGATAGATATCATTGAAGATGTTAGAGCGGAAGTAAGCAAGATTGCACCGGTTAAAAGTTTAGAGATTCCAAGACCAATTGAAGGAGTTGATGTCGCTGGGGTTGGAAAGGTTTGTGTGTATTGTAGCGAAATGTTTATAATTTTAATCTATATTTAGTAAATTGTTAAGTTAATGTCTAAATCCCCTAAAATATCCAGTTAATTAACATAGCTTTTATTGTTTAATTTTTATTCATAGATATATATTGAATTTCACAACTTGGACGATTGTCTTAAGGCTCAACAATCGCTTGCCGGAAGAAAGTTTGCTAATCGAGTTGTTATGACGTCTTTTTATCCCCCTGAAAGTTATCATATGAGGCAGTTTTAAGAGCATTTCGAGCACATTATTAGTAATTATATAATTGTACCATTTTCTGTTTTAGCTTTTCTTGAAATTAGAAGGATACTAACCTTTGTACAATTAATCAGTTTCCTTATAATATGCCTTTCAATAGAAAACCAATCTGTCTCCTGATAATAATCGTCTAATATATAAGCATATGTAGCACTCTAATCCGGTGTATTTTTCGTTTATATTGTTGGGATTACGATTAATCGTTGACAGCTCACCATTCAATATCATGAGTCTAGCATGATTATATCAAGTATCACTTGACTTTTGTTCTGTACATGCTTGATTGCCAGATAAGTTGATGACTGAATATTAATTAATAGTTTTTTAGTGTTTAATGATGATAAGGCTCATATTAACGTTGTTTATTTGGCAGGAAGCTTATCGATCGTTTGTACAGTGAGATTATAACATGCGGTAAAGAAGTTTACTGCAAATTATAGCTGAAATTTGAAATAAATGCAGTACAAATATTGTAGCATTAACACTAGTTTAATTGAGATCAGCAAGATACGCATGAACTTCGATATGAACAGTAGTATTATCTTTCTATAATTAAATGTAATTATTTACATACACACTATGAGATACACATGATATCAATTAGAATACAATAAATTTATTACATTACCCATTCGGTAGTGAAAGTTGTACATTGCAGTACCAGAAGCTTTTAATGTATAGTTGCAAATACAAAATTTGAGCATAGCCAGGATGATAAATAATAATTAGGGTTTAAGGTTTTCGTAGCATACACTGTAAAATGCGAAAATTTTGAAGGTCATAGTATACTTATTACAAGTAACATCAATCTAAAACCAAAAAAGGGTTTACAGAGAGGCTCCATTTCATGCAATCATTAGTAAAGATAGTTATGTAATCACAGGATTTACTCAAGATAATTTAAATTGATTATACACGATAGAAATATTTTTGGTTATCATCTACTTTCCGCCTCTGGATAATCACTGAAAAAGACCAATTACGTACGCTAATATAAAGGGGATTGTTATACTCTATTGATCCTACTTTCATCATACAAGTACAGTACATTATTAAAGACATTGGCAATTATAATTTCCAGATCACACGACGACGGTAGATTTTAGTGATATCAGAGTTGCTATTCGCCTGGCTTGTAAGGATTTTTTTGCTCGGGGTTTATTGAGGCCAATGTATGATTAACTAGTCGATGATGTGCTTCATCTGCTCGTATGGCCAAGATAACATCACGCATTTTGGCATCAGGCTGGCATCATGAAATGGATAAATATAATTAAAATCCAACATACGCTTAAGTAAACTCTTGATTTACTAGTTTATCCTTACCTTGAGTTGCCAATAAGTTCTTGCGATATCTGGGGCATCCATCTTGGCCCACATAGGTAAATATCCTCGGTCAATTTGCTAATGTAAGGTAAGAATTAAGTTTTTATAATTGTTAATCATTTGTAGCAATAACGATCCATTCAATAATAGCATAAATTTGCAATGGTGTACTAATTCCAGTACGAGTCCTATTTAATAGGCTTACATTGAGACACTTGGTATAGGTTATTACAGCTTCTTCTTCAAGGTAACCAACAAAACGATGGCAAAATCTGGGACTTATGAGATAGGAAAGGATGAAGAAGTTCACAAAAATACCTACAGCAATTTAATTGAAGAACACGCAAAATCTAAAGTTAGGACTAATTTGAAAAAGTACAATTTTAAATTTATTATGAACTATTGTATTGAAATAGCAAAAGAGTAAGAGGCGTTCTTACAGTCAAGGTGTTCACATATAAAAGTAAATTTAAGCAAAGTAATTATGATTGCATAATAGATCATATCTCATTACCTTGACCTAAAATTACGCACGCTCTGAAAAATGGGCCAGGTCTTTTAAGATGTAATGCAGTTAAAAGATGCATCCTTTCATTTTCTGCCTCCTCTATAACACGCGTAAATTAAGCAATGTAAGAACATTAAATTGCTTTAAGGCTATGGTCGTGAAAGCGATCTTGAGTAAATAGTAAGAAAAGCTATCGCTTTATCTAAAATTTGCAACAGCAGAAACTACTGAAGAAGTATTCCTGCTAGCGATTACGCCTATCGTAAAAATTCAGAGTTACTAATTGAATAACAAACAAACCAAGCAATGTATGGATCCATCCATAGTCTCGTCGCATCCTACGCAATGAATGCAGATGACGAGTCATTGCTGCAACCATTCCAGGAACGCCAGCAACAGTCTCTAAGAAAATAATGCGCCTGCAAATCGAATACATTACATATCATTATTGAATTTATGGCTAAGTTATTATTGCTGATACATAATGATACCATATTCGATGCATATAAAGGGAAAAAGACGGACCTTAACCATTTGTTTTCGTTCATAGAGCCAAACCAATAGCCAGAAAATAAATCAAAGCCAAATCTCAATAGTTGCACAGAGAAGTACGCAGCCTGTGACACAATGAAGTGAGGTACCTCAAGTATTTGACCAATATCAGAACTTAATAAAGAAAGATATTTTACCACACCTTTTCGGTTTTATCTCGTGGTTTTTCATGGGTAACTGTAATATTGTTGGCTTCCTCTTCACTCCTAAAAATGTATAAAATCTTAATTGAAGTCCAGTAAGAGCCAAATTGTACGCTTACAGTATTAAGCTAGGATCATACAAATATATCGTATGGTTTAACATAGGTTGCCAAAACTATTTTTAACGGTACTACAGTAGACAAATAGGTAGACATGCATAAGCAATAGCTACTTTTAACTAATGTTTTACCATATCGGATGTGGCAACAAGTAATCATTTTCTTGAATTTGTTGTTCTCCTTCCTTAGGTCGAAATTCTGGGCCTAATGGATGTTTCTTGCTCTGACTGGCTACTCGGAAATGAGGAGAATTTGCTAGAGCTATAGGGCAACAGGACAGTAACCGTGATCTAATCTAAAAATAAAAGTGGGTAGTAGGGATTTAGAAGTCTGCGTAAAATATATATGTGGCACTCGATTACGGACTAGTACCATTAAACTACTAATTAAAGTAGGGTGCTTGTAATTCGCTGATCAATTTATAATTGCAGATTTTCATCGATTGGCAGTCTTGCCATAAGTGACTGGACATGATGATATATCCACGATCACGTAAACGAGGCAGTAAGTTTAGAGTAGACTCCTTAATTTTTCAATTTTAATTAGCATACATAAGAGTGTGACGAATTTATATCAGGTTGCGAGCATAACTATCGTCAAGTGCTATTGCTCTACCGAACCGGTTGTATAACAACTGAAGTTAGTAGAGTAATGGTGAGGATATATAGTATGATCAATGATCATTGGCAGTACCAGTGGGGACTTGTACGAGAAATTCTCTAAATGTACCTTAAGAAGTCCCTGCACTAGTACACTATATTTTGTAAGTCTAGACATGGACTACTTGAAGAAGTCTATGATCTAGTATAGCGATGCTATGAGGATTATCTGAAAAAGTGGTAAGTCAATACTTCCACTGGACTATAAATTTTATTAGAGCGAGTGTGTAGGATCAACAGTGTAGTAATTAATTGATACAAGTCATTACAGCTTTATGCCTGTTCTATTTCCTCGCTACCAGCTTAGGAGCTACGTATTAAAAGTAGGAGAAGCTGACGGAGAAATAACATAACATGGAATGTACCTTCTTTTATAATAGTTCATTAATTAAATATAATTGATGGATATTTATTGACCATTTGTTATTGCTAGAGGGCTATAAGATATACGAGTATATGACGTTGATCCATCCTATCTGGTACAGTATCCACAGCGCACAACAGTACAAAGGGGTCTATAAATCGCTGCCAAACGCTAATTTAATTTGAAAGAGCGATTCTAGGTAAGGTTAGGTAGGCAAGGCGTAAATGCATGTATCGTTGTTATTTGCAAGTCACATCCTACTCTATAGACCTAGGCTACATGGTTGTGAGATGATGATTGACTATCCATTTTTTGGGGGCAATTCATTAAGCTTAGAGTATCCTCGTATTTAGGTGCTAAACATAGTGGATGTATTCATGCCATGCAATCATTACAGTATATTGAGGGATGTACGGTAGCAAAAGAAGTGGCTGCTACGTGTTTTTTTTTTATCAATCAATTAAGCATGGCAGGCATTCCATCAGCCAGCAATAAGATATTATCAAAATTGAATCATTACTGCCTAAAATACAAAAAAATTTCTCTGGTACAACCATACTGCTACGACTGGGCAGATCGATGAAATTGATCAATGCAGTTTGCATCTTTTTAATCGTAATACATAAAATTTCAAGATAATGTAAAACTTACTCCGATCATTGAACCGGCATGTGAGGAACGTGGAAGATTATGCCGGACCAAGTCAAGGCCAAATTGTGCTGTTTTGTGCCAACGTTGTGTTTGGCTGAATGCTTTTGTAGATAACTGTAATGCCATTTTAGAGAACTCGTATAATAACGTTGATTGAATCAAGAGGATGAGATCGGTAATTTTACGATAGGAAAATTAAATTTGGAGTCTGTGTTGCGGTTAACGTAAATAAAAAACCAATATTCCAAATCAGCAATTGATGATGATATATCCACAACGATGAAGAAGAAGTCGTTGTTGACGATCGAATTCGCTGTAATAATGATATCTTGTAATCTAGTTACTTATATACCGATAGACTGCTAGCAGCGATTCACTTAATCCTAATATACAATGATGAAAAGAATCGTCGGTTCTTCTTCCAGGTAGTACAGTACACTGAGTTGGTGGCGTCTAATGGCGAATCCGTTTACAATCACTCCAATCGATGTTGGTCTCGATTGAAAATGTTGTTCTTGGCGATCGAATACAGTAGGCTGTAGTCAATAATGATAATGAATTAATAATGAAGATTGATTGTATCCCAGTAGAACTGTTCACAGTTATTAACTTGGACTAGATCTACAAGGAAGAGAAGAATTATTCTTCCAAATTTAGCCTAACGAATACGAATACAATCCACTATCTACGTCTAACCGTAGATTTTTAGCAACGATAGCAGGCGATATGCAAGGGCAACGTTGGTTGTGATCGCAATCCTTCTCCGGATAACCTTGATGTCTAGCAAGTAATTGGATGATGAAATGATTTTCCAGTCCAGCGATGAATGGAAAAGTTCAAAGGAATTTCGCCGATCTAAGATTTGAACCTCCTTGTCAGCAATGCTAATAATGAATTAATCAACGCTGTAATTAGTCATCTGATGTTGTCGGTATGATTTACTGGTCGATAATGCCGCTAGCCGATAGTAAATGATTTTGAAGTTAGCGCAGCGTTGGCGTCCTGCCTGCTGATGCAATATGAAATCATCGATTGACTGGCGGCAATCTGAGCGAATATTGCATAGTCGACGCATGAGCTAGATTGGACGTTGGGTCTACGATACCCCTAGTCTAGTGTGATCTGGTGTAGCGCCAAGTACAACAAGTTGAATCGTTGTGTTTTCTATGGATTTTCTACTACTGTTACAGTGGTTATCTGGCAATTCTATTGCAGTACTCTACCGATAATGGCCACAGAAAATTAAATTTGTAAAATCTTAGTCGAAAAGTGGTTCAAAGCTTAAAAATAAAAACACTTCTTATTTAGTATCCATAGAAAGAAGTTCTAGCTTTATGATGTATGATTATTATTAGAAGTCCCAGCTTTATTATCCTGTTTCTATAGGATAGATGGGAGATATTGAACAGGTTATACCACACATAGATTATTGTATGTTGGCAAATAAATCAATTAATATCCCCTTTAATGAATTATTATTATTTTTATTGAAACATTTTTCTGCAATAATTACCAAGATGAATCAATGTTTCTACATTATCTCCTATTGCGTATGCTCTTTAGCGATATATATTGGGGTAGAACTACTACAGTAAATCCCTCTTCTTAATCTAGCTAGCGCTTGATATACCCAAAACAAAAATGATGTCGCCCCTGCATCGTGTCATTGGTATCGCTTTCGATATTCTGTTTTCTTCTAGGCTATACCTGAACTCTACCCCTAGGAATAAAAATAATGTCGTCAATTCCTCTTATTAGTCTAGCTGCCGCTTGATGTACCTAAAACAAAAATGATGTCACTCCTGCATAGTGTCATTGGCATCGCTTTCGACATTCTATTTTCTTCTGCACTATACTGAACTCTACTACACCTTGGAACAAAAAAATATAATATCGTGCCCGCTGGAGTGTAATTAATGCGAACGATTCCGGACAGCATTTTAGTTCCAGATTTGTACCTTTGCCCAACAGCAGTCTTGAAAAGAAAAGGATCAGTTTGAAGGACAGTCCATAACTGCCCAGAAATTGCACAAAAATTGATAGATGATACTCAGTCATCCATAGATAGCTTTACATTTACCAGACGCCTGTGTCCTCCATTAATTTCCTCTAGACTACATAATACTGTAAACTCTAGCTATTATCTATCAATATAGAATTTAGAAAGCCTCATTGATCTCATGGACTACAAAATACCACCAACTTAGCAGTCCATGATCAATGCGTCTTCAATTCGTTTACTGTCCTCCATTAACTTCCTCTAGACTACATAATACTGTAAACCCTAGCTATTATCTATCAATATAGAATTTAGAAAGCCTCATTGATCTCATGGACTACAAAATACCACCAACTTAGCAGTCCATGATGAATAAGTCTTCAATTCGAATACAGAGTATTAAAATAAGTCAAGCTGATTGCATGGAGGGTGGATAGAGAGAGGGAGAGAGATGGATTGATTTCGACTTGTCCTGGACAAAGTCCAGGAATTCATGGCAGCAAAACAGACAGACACACGAACGGACGCACTCTTGATGTTGCTTAAGTTTGCGCACGCGTGATGCCACCCCTCGGTTCCCTTGGAAATATCTCTCGCAAACGAATGCCACAACTGAAGAGAGTAAGCACTAACAGCATTAACTATACTATTTTATACTACCGGAGAATAGCATAAATTGCCTTCGAGTTAATATCAGAGTTAGCATTATCGACTGGTTAGAGGTATACAAAAACCAGTAAACACCGCTTAGAGTACATTGTGACATATCGGTTATAAGGATGCCGTCGGGAAAGGTAAATATAGGAATAATAAAAATGATCTGCTAGTAATAATCACAAATAGTAATAATACGGGTAGAGGATATTGAAAATAGCTAGATAGTCTTAATTTTATCATGGATCGAATAGAACATCGAATAAAGATTACTTGATGACTTCATGTCCTTACCCGTTCTATAGACAAGGACTAAAGAAGATACCTGGAAGGAAGATGATTTAAAAAGAGCTATTAAGGTAAGATGCCGCGATACGGCTATCCTATGCTTTGCTTTTTACTACTACCTTAGAAATCTTTTGCTTTTAGATAGAAGAACATGGTGGTAAAACTTTTATTGTTTACAGTGATGTTAGCTTTTTCTGCTAGAATTGATTCTAATACGGTACCTGTATAGTCGTAGGGTACATGTATAGGAACGCATTCTGCGGTATTGCAATAATGAGAGAGAATAGTATAAGACTTGATGATAGTACTGGAATAGTCAAACTTTTATCATTAATTTATGACATAATATTACTTTCATATCTTTATATTAGGGTAAAGATGAAGGAAGACATCGAAGTGAAAGGAGGTAATTTCAGTAAATTAGTTTTCTAATGGTATTTATGTTTTGCCGGATATACAGCACATAACTTACTCAATACTATCTCTTGAGTTTACATGTTATAATTATCGATGATGATAATGAGTAAATAATAAGAGAAATACATCATCACTGACTATATTCACAATATTACCGTATACTTCTAAAAGCAATAATATCTACATTTGTTTCTATCTTATAATCTGCGAATATCAACATGTAATAGACTACGACAGCTTATTGATTAAACAGGTCGTGTATTTTCCGCTTATACATTGGCACTTCATGGAATTATCAAGTCTCGCTGTCTCTTAACTAACCCATAAAATAACAAATATCATTGAACTTCAATGCACATATCTTACCATTATCTACTTAATACCAACATTAAGCTAAATATTGAATGCCAACGTGTTTATACTGTATTACATAAGAAGTCGTCTACATAAAAATGTAAAAATGTTATGAAATTATACAGGATGATGGACCATCAATTGACAACTGATACCACTTATAAGCAATATTTTTTTTTAATAAACAGGAGAAATCATGACGATGATAAGGGTTCCAGCAGACATGCTAGAAAAGAAGAAGGTGGCCAAGTAGGAGATGATAAAAGAAAAGAGCGACATGATCGACCTGAGCATAGAGATAAACACAGGGAAGCACGTGAAGGACGAGAGCATGAATCGAAGAAGGATAGAGATGAAAGACATCGAAGTAGAGAAAATAGACATGATCGTAAGATTCGTCAAACTAAGGATGATTACGGTGAGGATGCGAAACATGATCGAGATCGAAAAAAGAAAGATGATAATGAAGAACGGCATCGAGAAAGAAAAAGAGATGGCAAAGATGCTGATAGAGAGAGGAAACACCGTGACGATAAAGGCGATAGCCACGATAGGCATAGGTCTTCCAGATCAACCGCTAATAATCAAGATGATTCAGAAAGGAAATTAGAATCCAGTCGTAGACATAAGGAAGATAATCATTCTATTGAGCGCCCAGAGAGGCATCCCCGTCCTTCTGAAGATAAAGAAGCACGAGATCGGCGCCGTGATAGGGATAGAAAATATCGTGAGAAAGAGCAGAAAAAACAAAGTGAGGAATTGAAAGACGATCATCGACCAAGACACAGAATAGAGCGACCGTCACATGAGGGTGTTGATAGACAGGATAAAGATCGAAGTAGAGATCGTAGACGACATCACAGCAAAGAGGGTGGTTCTGAAATACAGGACAAGGAAAATCGCGTAAGTTTTAGAATTGGAATAGAGTTTACCCATTCAAAATAGTCATAGTCTAAGTACTATCGATAGGAATAGCGATTAATTAATTACTCCCCTTTCGAATAAGTGTTTTGCTGTTATTTAGAAATAAAAGTCAGTTTTGTCAATTTACATAAAGACTTTATACAATCTTGGTCAAGCATGCACTAAGTTATTAAAAGGGAATGATAGCTACTAAAAGATCACGTCCAATGTTGAAGTACCATATAACCTTAAATCATGCAGGAACTAGGCTACAAGCAAATACTGTAGGAACTTTGCTCTCATTAATGTCTATTAATTTAAAATCATTATATAATGTATGGTATTCAGTCTAGAGTAAAGTTTTAATCAACTAGTACTTGAATTATCAAATACACCTCCCACATGTATAAATCAATATTTGATTTTATACGGATACTATGAGTATTAAACGTAAATTAATACCAGTTATGTTAATTTGAACATTTGGAAATTGATATGTTTGTGACTCAGCGCTCTATGAAGTTTTAATAAGACCAGTGCTAATACTATGTATATCGATGATATACAGCGACTTCGTGATGCAGTATGAGAATAAATAAATACCTCAAGATAGTACTTTAATCATTATATTGCTACCTTTTACTAGGATGAAGATAAAGAAAGACATAGAAGACATGAGGTAGGAATTTTAATGTTAAAATTTTTCGCTATTGTATGAGCATATCATAGTTAATATAAAAGGATTGCACAGTATATCAAACCGTTAACTTATTTTCAACAGACGGAGGAAGAAAGAGAAGAACATCGACGTAGAAGAAAGGAAGAGGTTGATTGTGACGTTAATTAGACTATGCTATAAATAATGAAATAAGAATTAAGGATAGATATATTATTTTAACAAAGACCGAGGAAGAGAAAGAAGAGCGCCGACGTCGACGAAAGGAAGAGGTTAATTGCAATTTTAACTAGACTATGTTAATAAAAATGAAATAAGAATTAAGGGCAGATTTACTATTTTAACGAAGACCGAGGAAGAAAGAGCTGAACGAAGGAGAAGACGGCATGAACGAGAGCAGGTATAAAAAATTTTGATATCATCAAAATGTCTGCAGTGATGGCTAATATTTGATACATTGATAGGCTGATGAGGAGAAGGATGAACATAGAAGACGAAGAAAAGATGAGGTTTATATGAAAATGTTAAATTTGCCTTTATCTCAATCAGAATCTATTATATAATCATGAAATTCTAAAAATTTATTATTAGACTGAAGAGGAAAGAGAAGAACGTAGGAGAAAACGACGAGAAGAAAGAGAAAGAGAAAAGGTCTAGGATGTTTCTATGATTTAGAATAGACAAATTATTGACAAACTATTATAGTTCATCTATTTATTGCATAACCATATGAGCTACTAGATTTAGAATTAAAGCGCTCAAACTTATCTTCTATGATATACCTAATATATACGCAACATTATAGGAACACATTCATGAGGGAGAAGATCACCGACATCGAAACAGAAACGAACAACCAGAAGGGTAATATAAATGAAATTAAATTCAGTCATGATCATGATTAAAATATAAGGCAATATATTTACGTCCTCCAAAAATTTCAATTCTAATTTAAAAGTGAAGCAATCGAAGATTATACGAAGCACAAAGATCGTCCCGATAGACCAAAAGTATTTCTTTCTTTAAATTGCTTCATCGTCTTTATTTCAGTCAAAGTTGAGCTCATTATTTTTATAATACGTCTCTAGAATCAACTTGACATCGCTTATTTTACTTCTTAATCTAGGAGGCAGGGTCTAAACGGACAATTATAACTGAAAAAGAAAGGTAATGAGCCATAAATTCAGTTGTATTTGAAATTATTTTTACACATTTGATAGACAAATTATCATTTCTTATCAAGATCGAATGATAAAAGACTTGATTTAATTCTATTATTATGTCTATATGCAACAAGTATTTAAGTATATCCATAACAGATTTGATCGGAATACATATGTCTGCAGACTTGTAATAGCATAAAACGACGTCAATATCGTACATTTCGGTTTCTAACCGTAAATTATATTGAAATTTGGACGTAAAATATTAAATGTTCAACACTAATTATTAGGAGAGCGTATATGGCATTAAATGACAGCGATGATCAGAAAACTGATAAAGAGAAAGAATTAAGGATTAAGGAGAGAGAAAAGGCCATGCTAAAACAACTCAAAAAGGAGGTTGTCAATCAATACGAATAAATATGATAGCTTTATTTTAAAGGATAATTAACTCAATATACCCGCTTTGCCTATTATTTGAGAATTGAAAAATTTAAGCTGTAATTCATTATCAATTACGACAGCAATTTTAATATTTTGGCGTAATTTTCTTAATAACAGGAACGCAAGAAAGACATTTTAACTACTGATCTAAAGTTCCATACTACAAGTGCAGAGAGTGCAGTAAGTGATTCGATTTTGTTGTAGATTACTGTCATGGGATTGGAGTTATCAGCAGGCAGACAGGCGAGATATTAATTAAATCTTTATTGGATTATATGAAATAGGATGTAGTAGATGACGAAGAATCGGCACCGAAAGCTGCTTCGGCAGTTAGTGCTGCGGAAGCTAAAAATCTATTACAAGATAGTGATCTACAGACATTTGGTAAAAATGGCCAGCAAGAACCACAGGATAATTATGAAGACGATTTTGAGGTATTCAAACTGCAATTTTCTTTAAACGATCTGTCAAGATAGAATTTGGTGAAGGAAAAATTACTTCTAGCTCAAGCATTACGCTGTTAATTACTGCCGTTCATCCTTTACAGGATTACGAAGATGATTTTGAAGAAGATGGTGACGAAGACGTCGATGAGGTAAATTTTCGACATTAGTAAGATATGGAAAATAGTCAAAAGAAATGTTATAATGGCTTATTTTTCAATCAATCATGTTTCATGCTTGCCTATTTTATAATTCCTAGGACCTACGCGAGGTAAATTTAGCATGATTCAAAGTTATATAATCCTATATTATTTGATATAAAACAAGAAATAGAAGGTTTATCAATATAAATCAATACATCATACAATCTGATACCTTCATATTTTAGGTAATGCAAGCCATGAGAAAAGAAAATGAAAGCTTAAACAGAACAACAGCGGATGAAATAATAGGTAAAATCGGGAAATTATGATTCGGATCGATAACTTTAATAGTCCTATAGTAAATTAAAGAATGAATTTAACTTGCCTTGCCACTTTAAACTTCAGAATCTAAAACAACGGAGAAAGAAGCACGACCAACTAAGGGATTTATTAATTTTACCGCTGCAAAACAACGAACATTAAATGCGAAAGTAGCTGAAAAAACTAAAAAAAGAGGAAAGGTAGGGAACTTCCGATACTTTTACATACTATTTAGTTTATGTTCTTATCTATTAAAATTATTTTAGTTCATTAGCTAAAATTAATGCTGTACGATTAATCGAAATTTCTTTAGGAATTATTAAAGTTAATTGATTTGGATAGCGTTGGATTTAATATGTTTGAACTTGAGCCCTTGAATGAGTATTCCCTATATATGAAAAGTTTTGGTCGGACCAACACCGATCAAGCTTATGTCCAATGCGGTGATGATAATCTTGATCAAGAAATTCAAACTGAGGACATTACTACTACGGATAGATGGGTTCAATTTCCAGCTGAAGGAACCCTTAGTCACGGCGCCAGTCAAACTAGAAATAGTAAGTTTATACAGAGACTCCGTATTCTTTTAATTTTCATAGCAAATTTATACTCGTCGATCTTCATTATCATCTGATGAATGAAATGAACAGTAAATTTAAAATTAAATATTTCTTGATATCTAATTTTATAGATGACGATTTATTCAGCGATTCTGAAGCTATAGTAATGCAAAATGATTCATTAAAATTGTCGCAGTTTCTTCAATCTGCTGGTCATGTTTGTGCCGCACTGTTAGAGGAAGAAGATGCATACCGACAAGGTAAACGGGTTCAAACTACAAATATAGGTAGTCAAGTCCAGACTCAAGTCAGTGGTGATATCTTCACTTGCGGTAGTAAATTATCATTTTTACAAGGTAAGAACTAATCGAGGTTTACGTAGTTGCATACGTGACAATAAATCCATTTTCCTTTGGTAAAGTCAAACAAATAGTGATACATTTATAATTAATTTTAGGTCGGCCAATCTCTCGTATGCAATTTTTGCATAATCAAACTCATCTACTGTTGACTCTCCACCAACCAGCAGCTAATCCAGTTTCGGTTAGATAGACTAACTCATTTTCGTCGAAATTACATATAGAAATAGAAGCTAAAATTGGGTTACTCCAGTCTGATACTATTAGCTAAGAATCTTTTTACTGTATTAATCTATCATTTATATTATCATTTATGTAAAAGGTTAAATCCGCCATCACCAGTGATATGTCATTTATATGCTTATGGAATATCAACGAACCATCGCAGCCCCAAAAGTATATTCCATAAAATACCGATTTAATGACTTATCATAATTAAAAGAATATCTTTGGATTAAAAATATTAAGGTTACAAATACATTTACTCTTATAATTTAATTAGAGTACTTATTAGTGACGATATGCCAAATTGTTGCTGTATGTCACCCCAAAAAGCATCGTTGGCGTTCGCTGGAACGGTAAGTTATAATGCTTGCGATGATATAACTTGTTAGCCCTTTATTAATAACATTTCTACTGTATGGATTTGATTTTTATGATTACGTTATCTTGGTGTTCTAATCTCAGATGGATGGTGCGGTACTGGTTTGGGATCTTCGTGAAACGTCTTCACTCCATAAATCTTTCACTATCGATGGTGTCGACTGGTATTTAAGACATCCAACTTATTCTACAAGTAAGTAAAAGGATATAAAATTTTCATAAATAAAAATTTAAGCTTTATTTATGAAAAATTTAATATCAATGCTTAGAATATAATTGGGATAGTAAATCTGATACCATATATATTTAATCATCTAATCTCATTGCCTTAAATTAATAGATGGCACTTTACAAGATACTAATCATCACAGTCCTGTCGTATCTATACTACCTTTGGTATCTCTTGATAAGTATGCTCATAGATGGAGCCATTGCTAATTATTTTAGGCAAATAGCTCCTAAAATACACCAAATTTTTTCCTGCCATATGAACAAGTAATATCATCGAAACTAAATTTTAGATTTTTCTTATTGATTTATCAGCAATGTCAAAAACAGTAATGCCACCTCTAAGAATAATGGTAGGAATGAAATAAATGATAATTTTTATCTTACGATAGTTGATCAGTAAATAGAGAATCGAGAATTACTACATTACATCCATTAATAGTAATGACAATTAACTGGTCTTAGATATAATTAAAATATTATTAGATAGTAAGTGTACTGTATTTAATGATATCGTTAGAGCGATATTGCCGTATTGGATAGATAAACCAAAGCCTATTTGTTATAAATTTCACTAATGTTACTTTCTTAATTAATATTTAGATGAATCATCGGGTTTATCATTTCAACTAGCATCATTAGAGAGAGAAGGAACAATAAATATTTGGGTTTGTTCTTTACTTTGATTGATGTCAACGATTACTTTACTTCAGTACGGACGGATCTCGTTTTAGGCTACTATTATTCTTAGATTCAATTTATTTTCAACTAGGTCGTAGTGGAAATTTCTCGACCAGATCTCGCCGGATCTACAGTAGATCTTGGTAAGCTAAAAATAAAACAATTATTTTGTCTTATAGCAAAAGCGAATTTAATTTTCATCAATATCTATAGGATTATTACCTGGAGGCCGCGTTAAATTATTAAAAACCTCTTGGATAAATATAAAAATTCCACTCACACAGTGCGTAATTGCTCAAAAGCTTCGCATGATTAACAGATGATGATTTAAATGTTAAGCTTAACAAAGTTGAATGTTCTACTTTAAGGAGCCTCGTAATGCCTACAAGTATTTCAACATTGGGCTTGCAGTTGGCACCAAGTGATCCTAATCACTTTTACATTGTCACCGATATGGTAAATATAACTGAAATAGCTCTATCATAATTGAAAAGCTCTATACACATTATGTAGTATCAGATTTATTCTTTGACGCTTTTGAGAAATTATATTTACAACATTTTTTTAATTGGCTTTGTGTGTTATATTCGATTTAACTATAATTTTTAGGTGTATTATGATTAACATACGTACTTGTCTGTAGGGTACAGTAATACATGATGTTCGTTCCGGTAGCCGGCCAAGTATTCGATTACATAGATCTAAATACGGTTTGTAAAGCAATGGAATGCTGATATTTTTGCTATAGATGAATATGGCAGAGCAAATATCTCACTTAAATATAATTCTTGACATCTTTTGCTTTAGCATCTCCATGTGAAGTGGTCTCGATTGAATTCTCTCCATTTTTACAATCCTTTTTTATTGTTAGTTTTAATAGCTGTGTTTGCATTCTTGTAGACATTTGAAGCCCTTTATACACTAACCTATTTTAATCTAACTTATACTTATGGATGATCAAAATTATTAATTATAATCATTTCAATCAGATTGGATGCAATGACTGTACGGTTCGACTATATAATACAGCGACAGGTAGCTATAGTTATAGCTTTTAAGATAGATAAATATTTCGCTTTGCCATTTATAGATGAGCTAGCTTATTATGATCGTTTGCGGTGTATAGACCTTCCTTTGCTTACGTTACGTACGAAGAAGGCTGTAGTTAATGCTTCATGGTCTCGTAGTCGACCAAGTGTAATCTATGCCGTAGATGAAAACTCAACATTTTATGTTTGGTATGTTGAAATTAACTATTTCATAAATATACATGGAATAATATTATTTTACGTGTCCTTTCATTCACAATTTTTTCCATAGGTCACTTCTGGAAACTGCTGCTGAGCCAGCTATAGTTGATAAATTCACAAATAGCAAGTAAATTGATAAAGAAATAATTTAATTCATGTCTGTCTTTATTGTTTTTAATTAATAACTATAATATCCATAGTAAACGAATAATATAATTAATATTTTAATTAGGATAACGACATTTGTATTGTCGAACGATGTTGCAGCTTTGGGTTTAGGGACTCCTGGCAGACCACCACAAATGGTCAGTATTTTTGTGCCATTATTGCTACGATTTTATTCTTTATACATCTAACTGATATATATCGGTTATTTTATATCAGGCTATTTCATATGACAGTGGTCGAATGGAAATTCACACTTTCAACACACGATTTGGATCGCCTGTAGAAAATGAGCTTCAAAATCTAGAAAGTTATTTTAATAAGATTGTAATATAAGTTTCATCTGCAAAATTAGCGTCTTCATTTATCTTAGCAGTCAGAACTTGATAATCCAGCATTTGTATCTGCATTTCGCTATACATGAATATACACACAAATCACTTCAAAATTAATTACGAATGTACTCTTTACTTCGGCATTACAATTAGATATCAAATGAGCATATCTTGAACATTCTTAATAAGAAGATTGTTATTAAGGACAATGTTTATAACGCGATAATAGAATCTTCTAGAACTAGCATGTTTAAATCTAAATATATTCAGGCCAACATAGCAACTTAACTATGTGAAATTTTAAATTTATGACAATATCTTGTGATTGATGTGAACATTTGCCTATATCTTTCTGTAATCTATTTTAATGCGTAAATCATTAACTGTTTGACCTAGAACATGATGTGTACTATAGTAGATCACCGGTTAGGTTCTTGCTATTGAAAGTTTTATCTCTACGTTGATAAACTAATTTATTCCAGATCGATAGTTTCGACCGCAGTTATCAAGTTTATGATCACATTCAAGTTTTTTAAATTCTGTTTATATCTAGTAAATTATTTTAATGTCAGTACTTCAGAAAAAAATAATAATTATATTCGACTAGGGCATTATAATCAAGATACGAAGATATGTCATAAATTGATTATATATATACTCTGATAAACAATTGTCTAGAGTTTCATTGATTAAAATAATTTATCTCTGTACATTTAAGCTATTATAATAAATTTATAAATACTGCCAGAAAAATTGTGTAGCTAACATTATAAGATAAATTCAAGAAAACTAACATCTATATGGATACAGCATCTTAGTTATCATTTTAAATAATTAATATATACTTAATTGGCTACATCTATTACCCTATTGCAGTCAAGCACAAGCACCTTCGTAGCTTAAAACATGGTTAGACTTGGTATACGTTTGAATGTACGGTATGTGTAAATAAATGATATTCTAAAATGCCGTTATACCGAATGTGTACAATATTTTTGCTTGGTACGGTATACACTTTTATACAAATATACTGATCACTGATCAGTATACGTATCTTTAGTTGATCAAATTTGTTTTATTGCAGAATACCTCAAATTAAACTTTAAAGCGTATGCCTGGTTTATGAATGTGTATTGAAATGATATCATAAAAATATGCTTGAGATCTGTATATCTTGAGCCAGACTGTATGGCTTAGGTTAATTATATTTTGTTTGAGCTTGCGCGTTGGTTACTAAAGGGAAGCTTGCCTCAAGTTACCATGACAATAAGCGATGAATAATGGATTGCAGTTTGTCTTCTTTATCCATTGCCACATATTCATCATAATTAAAGAAAATTTTATAACGGAGGAGTGAGAAATAGTAGGATAAAATTATTGAAGGTTCCGCAGAGCTATACTGGATTATGGTTGTGTAGTTAAAATAGTTCATTTACTCAGTATTCTTGTTACTGATATTGGGTGAAGTGTAACCGCTTTTACAATATGAACAGCTCAAGGAATAATAATTCAGCGGACTTAGAGGATGGTATCGTAGCTTCTAGGGTAAATTTGTATCGGAATAGACCCAAAAAGAAAATAAACAAGACATCGTGCCGTGGCAAGAAGCATCAAATAATTAAGAAATGTAACACGACGCCAAAGATAATAACAAGTAACGTTGATAGTAAATCACTAAGATCGAAGACAGCTCCGGCTAAAGTTAAAATCCAACCCAAATCCTCAATAAAGGTTAATTCGAAGATAGACAGCTATAATCTAAATTGCAATGTAAATAGTAGCAATGCTCAGATTAGTCCACGAACAAGAACTCCTAATATTACAGCGAAATCAACTATCGACTGTTATAATCCTAATCGAATATCGATTAGCAAGGGAGTTAAGATCAATTTTGGCAAGAAGATTATTACTGGCGATGTAAGCGTTCGAGTTGATTGTCACAAAATGGACTATAGGCCACCTAGGACTGACATTAAATTGAGCCCTCGAAAGGAAAGAATGGATTTAAGTAAGGTGAAAAGCTTAGTAGACTGCCATAATAAAGTACCTCAATCCACCCTTGAATGTAAAGCAAAGATTAGTAAAATACGAACTAAAATCAACCTGGAAAGTGTATGTAGCAAGATTGATAATTACAACGATAAGAGTTTAACGTTAAGCTCAAGAAAAGCTAAAGTTATCAGTAATAAATCAAGACCCAACGAAGTCCAAAGTAGTCGTATTGACTGTCGAAATAGCAGTTATAATCATTCAGCTAGCAGTGTTCAAATCTTGAATGAACCATCCGTAAAAGTCGAAGCTCATTCCCGTCTTCCTATGGATTACGCTGTAACTAAAAATCATTCTAAAGATCATGTAACTATATTTCAAAATTCTGTTGATTTTAATCCGGTTACTGCGAAGGTTGATAGCTGTAACTATAACTTTAACAATTCAGCAAACAGTAAAGAGAAAGTGATTGTTTATCACCGTTCTAATGATATTGATATAGATGATATTGGTCCGGCGATAGATTGCCATAACAGGTCATTTGCTAATTCTACTAAAGAAGATACGAGTACTTTGGTCTATGATAGTCCATTAGATATAAGTAAAGCGAATACAAGTAAAATTGATCATCACAATATTACATATCATCCAAAGGAGAGCTATGCTAATATTAAGCAAGACGCAATTTGCTACCACGTCGATGCAATAGTTAGTTCGATAAATCATTCGTATCGTCACAATGAAAATAATGACATTAGTGTTGTCAGTAGTACTGCTAACTTTAACGAAATTAAAAGTAAGATAGATCATGAAAATAAGAATTTAAATCAGGATAAGAAAGATTTGGCAAGGATTAAATCGAGTTTGATATCCTATAAAGATATTCCGGCGAAAGTCAGCAATATTAATCCAAGTTATATTTTATCCTCTTCTAATGTAAATATCTGTAATTCCAAAGTTGAATGTGATCAAGTTGTACCTAAAATCGATTGCCATTTAACACAATATCCTACTCGGTGTAATATTTCATCCATTATTAGCGATAAATTAGATTATTCTAATATTCCAGGCAAAGTGGATCACAGTAATATCAAGTGTCGAAAAACAAAAACGAGAGCTGAAATTGTACAAGTGCAAGAGAATCGACAATATTACACTAGACCAGAGATGAATAAACGTAGATATAACCGTCATTACGATAGTGTCAAGTATACGTCTACATCAGATGTTGATACTTTAACGAAATATCATGATCCAACGAATGTTCAATTTGTAAGCCGAGGCAAAAAAGCTATTTCTTCAACATATCAGGCTAATATTTTGACTTGTCCAAATGATCATTATAGTAATGTAAAGCCTAAGGTTGATTGTTTTAATTTTATTAGTGATAATTATCATCGAAAGCAGTACGATAGTGCGCGTTATACAACGATGGTTGAGGTACTTTAAGCTAGATTTTGATAACTATTCATACATTCGACATGATATGAATCTTCTAACTGTATATTTGTATGCTGGTGTTTATGCATGTCCCCTTGTCCATGTATATTAGCGAATGCTGTGTCATATTAAATATTTTATTAATGGCTTGATAATATGAATTTATTGTTGCATATTAATTATCCAATTTAATTTAGTATTTAGAATATGTTAGGATTAGATGCAATAAAGAAGATGAACAGTTTTACCATGCTATTCTGAGATTGTACTTGCATGGAGTTTTGCATGTATATCAGTATACTCATACTGAAGTGAACTAGGACAGTCATGAAAGAGTATAAGTTCTGCTTTATCGGTTGGATATCTGTGATCATTTCAGGTAGTCGGCATGTGCAACTAGGCGTACAAAAAATAGGATATGTATAGAAGTGATCCGGTGATCCAAAGAGTAGCATCATGTTTAGGAGAGAAATCTCCATATTTTGTGATTCGGAATTTCAAGGTATTTTATTATTACTACAATACGATGAAATAGAGAGAGAAATTTCAGTTATCCTTGATTGAATAAGGAGATTCCTGGTTTGGCTATCCAGTTACTCCTTAGCTGACTGAAAGGAGTGCAATCGATAAAAAATCGATTAAAATCATTAAGGATGGACGCATGAAACTTTTAAAATACTTGCTGTACTTCCTGAACTTCTCTCAATTCGTTATTGCTGCATGCAACCAGTACACTAGTACAATACTGCGTTTTTTATTTTAAAGTTTAATATCTCTAAAAGTACAAAACCTACAGCTTTAAAGTTTTCAGATTATGATAGGTTATTTATTTATTATTACTCTACTCGGTTTGATATCAATTACATTAGCAATATTTTATCTGCATGAAGGCAGTCCATGTTGAATTAAACAATAAGATGCCGGTATCTTCTAAGCATTTTTATTTTATTTCTTTTGTTCTAAACTTTTGACTTTAAATCCAATTTCCTCCGTGATGCGATATCAAATCTTATTCCCGATTTTTACAATCTAATCGTTCAACTATTCAGCAATGTACTTAAATAGTCTGTTTTTAAGGATTTTACCTAGTTTTACTCGAAATTTAGTATTTTTTCGTAGCTAAACATTCCATACACCCTCATTTCGGTACATTTTTTTGGCAAATTGCTGTACGATTTGGCAATACTAATTTTAAATTTGTGCGCTGGGATAATTTTTGGACACCCTGTACCTAGACTGGATCCTCCCTTGGACGGACAGACATGTGGTTATATTTGGTCAACAAATTGTGTCAAACACTTCAATTTGACAGTACTTTAGTATGCACACGATACCCTTGCGCAGTTCAAGGATAGTAACAAAAAAAAAATAAATCGGCGAGATTCGCAGTTTTCTGATGAAAATTATAACGTTATCTCGCGTTGCGCACAGCTTAAATCTAGTTTAATTTGCTTGATTTAAGCGAGAATGACTTGGAAAAGACTTCAAAAAACCTACAAAGCAAGCACTGTGAACGACGTGTTCAAATAATTGCGATCAATCCCAGATGACCTAATGCACACTCATTATTGTACTGCAGACAATCGATTCTGAATTCACAGATTTTTTCTAAATGGAGTAATATTACATTGTATTCCATTACCTGTTAATTAACTAAGCTCTGCTTGCAGGCAGTAACTTTAGATCCTAAAGTGTTCTTTAACTTAAATGAGTACAAGTGATTTAGAAAACAGATACAAAAGATCCATACTGAGTAACTATTTTTCGGCCTTGTCTGGTATGAAAAGTCCGTCCACCCAAAGTCCATGTGTTTTTCTAGTGGTCCCTGACCATAGAAGAAAGAAAAAATCATATAGTACAGTATTACAGTATGGCGCTAACTTACTGTACTGTACAGTGTACAGTACCAGTACCAGTACTCAAATAGTACTGTATTAGTGTATTGTACAGTACTTTACACACATGTGCTTTACAGTACAGTATACTGTACAACTGTACAATACTGTGGTAAAGTTCTAGATTGATCCAGAAAACGAGTGCAGTAGAGAGCTATTGATACACAAAGCCAAGCATTGTCTCTATTAATAAGTACTACAATAGCTGTTATTGTTCATTGTAATCTGGAAAAGTCCTGATTGTTCTCATCTCAAGAGCAGGTAAAATATATAAGCTTTGCGAAATGAATTAATTTGCAAGTTTGCAGTAAAATTTCAAAAGTTATTCCGAAATTATCGTATTCTGCAGGAAATTACTGTATTGTAGTGAATTTTCATTAAACTTGATCACAGTTGACAACTTCTTTACTCTATCTCAACTTGAAACTGTACCGCCGTATTTCAAAGTTGAAATTAAATCATTATCTGGAATATTTTGTTGACAAAATCTAACTATTGCAAGCAATGTTACGTTTCAGTCATCCGTGGTTCGATTCTGTTATGCCCTTGAATAGAGGTTTTGCTGGAAGATACGTCAATCAACCCCAAAGAAGAGGTAAACAATATATAGATACTTGAACCAGCTATCCAACTACAGTACGAGAATGATGAATCGATGCATGCAGTACATTAGTAGTAGCATACTGGCTGGCGTGTTATTTAATTGAAGCCAGATTGACTTCATTATACAGTAATTACTAATTTAGATATTTTTCAATAGTGTCAATTAATAATCAGAACATTAATATCATACTCGCATAGACTTACCAGCATCTAAACTACTGCTTTTATCCCCCATAGGCTATATCAACCCCTTAATGGATGATTATCATGATGAAGAAATGGAATACGGGCCCAGAGGTTATCAGACTTCGGAGCCCGAGCAATCATTTCTAGCGTTTTCCCCATTTGAAAATCGATGGCCGATGTATTCATCTCATTCTACTGAAAGCCGATATTGTAGCGAATTTCCTAATCGCTCGACGAGCAATAATTCGATACCTCGACAAAGAAGGAGGCCTACAACAAAGTCTAGAAATACGTCTCATACAACATCATCACCTCGGTCATCAGCAGCTGATCATAAGCGCGATACCATTGAATCTCGATTCGATCCATTTGGAATTTTTCCATGGTTTTCTAATCGTTATGATGAAAAAAGTGATAATATGCAAGAAGATAGTGATCCAAAACTAGAAGAAAATGAAACTTATGGTGCCTGTGAGAAAAATTTAGCAAATATTAATGAGCAGCCATTAAAGAATGCAGCTTCGGTATCGTCCGACGAAGATATATCAAGTGGCTCAGACGACGATCAAGCAATGGAGAAAGAGGTAAACAAAGATGCAATGGTTGAGCAACATAGGTCACTTAATACCGAGAGCACCCAACAGAATTCTTCCTCTCTTCCAAATAATGACCAAGTTATCACCTCGTTGACTTCTGAAGAGGGATACGAAGCTGACAAATCATCATCATGCAGTGATGAAGACGGTATTCATAAATCAGATGTACCTCACAACTGCCAAAGTAGTATGGTAAAAGAAAGTAACGACGTTTCTTCCGATGAAAACCATGAAGAAAGTGAAGACCAATCTAAAACTACAGATGAAGAAATGACAACAGAGATAGTAGACTCCAATGATACTAGTAGTGATAAAGAATCCGCTGAATATTGTACTATGCAATTGGAAAAGGTTAAATCTCTAGAAGATACCGTTCAAGAGTTAGCATTAAAAGTTGAAACATTTTACGGAAGCAAAAAGGATAAGGAATACCTCTATATTGATGAATCGCTCACTCGAGTACTCTTAGAGTTAGATCAGGTTGAAACACGCGGAATACAGCAAATTAGAGATGCTCGTAAGTTAGTTGCAACCTTTGTGAACAATATTATTGACGAATTGGAATTTCGAGTTAATTCACATAAAAACGATTCGTCATAGTCATAGATGATATTAAGATTCCATTTTGTGATAACTGTTTATAAGATTTTTAATGTGTATATAATTAGTATCAAGGTATTGCTCTATTGTATGGTAATGGATGCATATGTTTGAAATGCGCTGTATATCTAAATTATATGTCAAATCATGCAGCTAGGATCATTTTCGGCATCGTTCGAATTAAGAAATGTTAAATTATTATGATTATTCTATTTGTAATGTAATTAGATAAATATTTATTCATCGTCTTACAATTGGTTATTATTAGATATGGTGTATGAAGATTACTCTTTCACCAATAAATATCATTATTATCCAAAAAATGGCCTATTAGCTTGCTAAAATAGAAATTTATTAAGAGCCTGACTACCGTAGTAATCGATATCCGATAAATCAGACCTTTAGACTGGAATATGTTAACAACCTTAAATTTTTACTTACGCGTATGTTATATACAGCAGGATTTCTTGCCAATTATGTTATCGTGCTCTTCCCCGTATGAAACAAGAATAGTTATGCTGTTTAAGTTAAAGGATAAATAATATCTACTAGTTAGCACCTTTACATTGGGAATTTTACTAGAACGAGACTAATATCTAGGAATTTGCTATCAGATCGATTTCAGAAGTTATTCAATTTATAGGTACCATCGTTTATTATATATTAAACGTTATTCTTACTGGAATAGCAAGAACTAGTTTAATAGATTTCAGAGTACTGTAGCTGAATATAATGCAGCAGTAAATTGTTAGAGGGTATGGCCACGGGCCTATGACTGCAGACTTGTAGTTTATGATAGGGTACTAGACTAGCCTAGTTTTATTATATAATTATTGCGGCACAGTAGAATGCTGCCATTTCAGATTTACCAACTGTGAATAGTTTACAATGCATTTTACCGTGTTGTGATAACGTAAGAAGTTTGAAGTACCTAGATGTTGGTGATTATCTTTTTTTAAGTTATTGTAATGAATGTTAAGACCTGAAAAATTAACTCCATGCAAAAGCTTCTAATAATTGGAATTGGAGATAATCAACCTTAGTTTATTACAAGATTTGAATTCATTCATTCATTAATTAATTAATCGATCAACTTGAACACAAGTAACCACAACTAAATCATAGTTAACTATAACAGTCAAAAATAAGGGTATTAGAATGAGCCACTGCTAACCGTAGCTATGATATTGCAATATATAATGTCCAGATTGGCAATGGCTTGTACCCGCCAAGTTACAACTTCAATTGAATATAAATGAATTTTATTTCACTGATATTTTCTTAATTTATTGATAAAACATTCTTCCACAGGAGTGATCATTATAATAATGTTGATACAGTTGGAAGATGTATCCACATGTCTTAAAAGATCAATATTTCTTAAAATGGACTCTAACAATGGAATATATGGAATAAAGTTTTCTAAAGTACAAAAGGGCCTATTCTGAGCAACAGTTTTCAATCGTTGCCGCTATCTAAATCCTATAATCGATAATGTTACAATATGGTCTACAGATAATAACGGCACGATAGCCCTATACGGCATATGCTTGAAGAAAAGAAAAACAAATATTGTCTAATGATGTTTTGGTGTTTCAAAAAAATTTGACTTCACCGTTTAGATAAATTTATGCAATTCTAACAAGTTTTGCTCGTCAACACGGAGTTAGTAAATTTCTATCAAGAACGCGATAAATTGTGACGGTGCGTAGAATAGGCACCATAAATCATGAACCGATATCGTACTTTGATTCGCGTGCAAATGCGAATGTTGGATAGTAACTATCCATTTCTATAGTGATATTTACAGCATCGGTAGCTACTTTAAGCCAGCCATAAGTAGTCATCAAGTGCTTCTATTGTTTGCACGTTGAAATGGTGGCGTGATAGCTATATCGATGTCATCACTTTAAGATCAATTCGAGATAGAAATTGTCATTCATAACCACCAACTCACAATCGGTAGCATAAGTAACCTGGATCCAGCCGGAGATCTTTGGTGGAAGTACTGTTCGTCAATGCGGATAGAAAGTTGCATTATCGTATTCACCAATCAATCGAAATGACAAGCATCAGCAAAACCCTACTGGGCTAATAAAGTAGTGAGCTAGGTTGTGTTGGAAAATGAAAATTTTACTTGTATTTCTAGTCTTTTGACATTTCTGGATACAAAATGTGGACCTTGTGTTATTATGTCTACGCAAGAGCAAACTGAAAGTGTCTAGGGTATCAGCTATAATATAATTATATCCTATGCTTTATTACTGCGAAATATTTTGTCTGTCAAGTGTAATGTAATCGCAGCACTTAAGGTATAATAATTAATAACGTACTTGATAGCAGATGCGTTCATTTGAATCTATTTACAGTGTGAAACGTTATTAACGTCGTCAAGGTTCAATTTTTTGATATTCCACATTGATGTGGCAATGTATCTTCATGTTGTACCACATAGGAGAACTTTATTATGTCGTGCTATCGATGATATTGCAATAGGTTTAGCCATGATTGACGAGAAATGGCGACTCATGATCATTATATAATTCATTATAAAGAACGTCCAATATATTATTACTGTATATTATATTATGATTTGGATATCGTAATTCATAAAGTATAAAAGGTATAAGTTATAGGCACTAGCTGTGCCAGCTTTGATGAAGATTGAACTTCTATAACCCAACCATGTAATCTGGGCTACCGTCGGCAACACTTTTAAAAAAGCGTGATCGAATTTCAGCATTGACACGTGAAGCTTTCCGTTCTGCATTTATCACTGGTTCCTTGTCCATTCGTCCTATCCAAGCCCATGTATTGGAGAAGCTACCACGAGGCAATTCAAAGGTTAGGGTGAATGCCCGTTTTAGTGCTGGTATTAACTCCAGCCATGACCACACCATAAAATCGATATAATTGGGCTCATTGCCACCAAAGTATGGACTACCTTGTTTTTGAAGTCGATTCTCGACACGTAGTAGCTGATCTAATAAACGTTTAGCTTCAATTCCTTCCATCATTGCTCGTATCACAGGAGGCAAATTGGTATAAATCTCATGTAAGAATATTCTATCCATTGCTCTAGTAGCTGGATCAGATGATCGAAGTGGTTTATCCGTAAATGTATCTTCAAGATATTCATAAATGATGATTGTTTCATAGACAACGGTATCACCATGCTCTAAAACTGGAATTTGGCCATTAGGATTTAATTGTTGTAGAAAATCGGGACGATCAGACATTTTGATGGAGTAGAAATCGAAATCTAAACCTTTGCGTCTCATAATTAAGCGTAAAGCCATTGAATACGGATCAAATCTCATGCCATAAAGTTTTAAATCTTTGGTAGATGAAGGTTTGCTATCGCCTTTCTGTAATTGGATCACTTTCGCCATGGTCGCCAATTTGGAAATAAACACTGCACTCTAGAGGTACCGAAAGAAATTGGTATTTGCGTGATCCAATAGAAAACAATGTGTCAGTACCAGTATACAGTAGGAATCTTTTACTACCAGTAAAGCCCTTTAGCCACTTGAAAAATTGGATGATTTAAATGGAAAGGCTAGTTGAGTCAAAGATGGTTAATTGACGATCACCTGCTTCTTGTTGGCTAATTCAATGAATAAATAAACTACTGCCCTCGTTGCAAAGCCATTAGTCTCGATGTGCTGTATACTCCTAATTATATACTGTACTGGATATTGACTGCAGTCGAGTGCTTTCTACCAGTTATGATTTTTGCTTACGTCTGGCTGACAAGTGATTTTCAATCAAAGCGGACTAACCTACTTGATGCAGTAGCAACGAGCAAGACGCCACTGATAGTCATCGTGTCCATCCAGTAGTACAATCTCATACAGTACGGTAGATGTGTGATTGATCCATGTGTTTTCCTACAAGAATGCTGCATCAGCATCACGTGAGAATTATATAAGCATGAATAATTGGGAGAACTAGTCACGTGACTAGACGCCAGTAGCGACCCTCGATGATAAATGGTCTCTCTAGTGTAGACGATAGTGCAGCAAGGAAAATCGAATCGGCGCCATAGACTGGCTCGATTGTCAACTTGCGAATTCATAAATGAGTTGTATTGAATTCAGAGCGAAGGGGCAGCACTAATGAAGTCTTCAAGTTGTTCAGTTTAGTAAAAGCCTAAAAATATCACGGGTTCGAGAACGTTCGATCACTTCGTTGTTAGTCCCAGCTGCTAACCCTAACCCCAGCTATACCTACTGTATGCCAAATGCAGTACACTATATACTGTACTGTATGTAATTGTCAGCAGTATAACTAGAGTTCGTCCGATGATCAAGTATTGCCAGTAAGTCTAGAAACGAATATCAATCGGTGAGATAAATTAAAGCAAGTAGAGTACTGTATAGTAGTATTATCGCTGTTGAATTAATTAACAAGTCGAGAATTGAATGACAGGTCCCCACAATCCCCTTTCAACCATGGCAATAGTATCATGACCGCTAATACTCAATTTTTAGAAGAATTGGATGCTCTAATGCCTGATATTACTGAAGATGTCCCGTTAATTTCGACGTAGAATTGTTTATTTATTTTTCATTTGTACAATATAGTAGGATCGTTCATGCAGGCATATTACACAAGTACTATGTTAATCATCTATCTCGGATTCATCGTGCTGTCCTGCCGTCCATACAGTAACACGTACAATGTACAGTACTGTACATTCCGAACTACTGTCAAAACTGTGCATTGTACTGTAGACTGTTTGCTTAATAGACTGTAGAAAAAGACAATACTGTACAGTGTATATCCTTGCTGCAAAATACCAATGCAGTTTTACAACGTACTGCGCTACAGTAAGCCAAGTCTCAGTAGTTTTACAACTTGAATCTAGTATCTTACTAGAAAATATACCAATTTGGGGGTGAATATCAATCAATACTAGTCATATACTAAGTGGTAAAAGTTAAAAGAGCTATCACACTTCAGTAGTGCCAAGGTAGTACTGTAATTTTCGATTATTCTCTAGTCAAGAAGCAGGATAAAAGGGGATCGGATGGACAACTTATGGGTGTTATTAATCCTCTAATTGGATAACAGCAACACTACGCATAATGAACATCCAATTTCCCTGCATATATACCTATCATGAACATGTAAAACATTTTACAGGTCCAGACGCCAACTGTACTAATTATCAATTAGAATTGGTTTATCGATGATCGAAAAATACTAGTTTGTCTCAACCGAATTCAATAACACCCAAGATATGATCTGGATGCGTTCCAAGTGATACAATGTACCGTAATACTTTTACTAGTGATACAGTGTCATAAGAATTACTGTACTATAGACTGTTATTGTCGATACTTGAAGAACCAGTATTCAAAGTTTCAGTGTCAAAGTGATTTTGGAAGTAAATAGCCCACTTAGCAGCTTCTACCAAATTTCAGGACAGATACAGTAGAATGTTTTTTATTGTATAAGCATAAGAAAAGCGCACAAGGACAATCTTTTAACGCTATATTGTAAGATCTTAAATGATCACAGATAAAAAGTATCCTAGCAAAATTATCTGCAATTACTCACGATCATCATTCAGTGCGATGCACAATTACAGCTAAATGTAAACTGTTTTCTTGTGATATAGAAACTTGCGTCTATGCTAATACTGTATACCTGATAATAAATTACAGTACAGTATACTCCATGTTGACGAGATTTTATTCATTGAATCTGTCATCTTCTTTAGAATTCTGGGCGTTCAGACTGTCTGTCAGTGTTTGCTTTCACAAATTCTTTCCTATCAACCACCACAAACTAGAGTTTGCGAATAATGCATCAGAGAATAATAGTCAATAGACACGCCAGATTCATGTCGATCAATACAGAACAAGAGCAAATTATTGGCATAGGATAGAAATGACAGAAGATATATTAGCGAAGGTTATAGAATAAACGCAAATTCTCGTATTACTCATTTTAGCAAATAAATACGCAGTCATGTTGCCATAAGATATCGTAGGTAGACACTATAGCAAGTTAGCATTCTTACCTTTGTATTTTCATTGGGACCGACCTCTAGCCAAGGATAGGGATTCTTCTTACGATTCCAGCTAGAAATATGTTTCAAGAATAAATCGCAATTAATATCAATTTATAAAATTTGAAAAATTCAACCAATGATTTAAAGAAGCTTTTCATAATAGATTGGCAAGTAGCAACACACCATACGTACTAGCTGTTGGTGAAATCATACCAATATTGTATATACAAAAGCTGTACAGTACCGTATTGCATCAATTTAACAAATCAGCAATTACTATAAATTCCATTTCAACCAGTTATTCAACTAAGATAAACGTCTGTAAATATGGTATAGTATAATTACCGTTAAGAAATAGACGAAGGTAGTGTACATTATATAAAGATGCGATAGGAGCAAGGCATCAATAATTCATTGAAATCTTTTATAGTGATTTGTAAGCAATCGACTTGACATTATCCATTCTACTTACACAACATCGGTTGTATGAGTGGCAAGTCTGAAAGTGTAATAGCCAGCACCGGCGACGCCAATTCCGATGATTACAAACAGTGGGATTAACTGTTTTAAACAATTTCAAAAAAGAATCAGTTAATGGAGGCGGTTTCATTGAATTAGATTACGTCCAGTGTCAAAATTGATCGAGTGGAAATAAGAAATTATTGGATTCCTTGCTAAAACCGGTACATGTTTGTTTTACGTTTCAAATGCTTCGCACCCATTAAAACGATTCACCTAATTTACCTACACATCCTATATCTGAAATGCTGTATAATCTATTGCATTTATTATATTGATCGCTACATATTAACTGATTCAATTGATTTACTTGACGAATACTGCTAATTCCTTACATTGGTTACATTGGATTTTTTTTGGAGGGGTGGCTATACAGGGTGCATGCGTGCGTACGTGCGTGTGTCTATACTGTGACTGTATCTGGATGGTGGATTATCATGTCCCAGTGGGTGTTTTTAAAAGATCTGTAGCTACAAATTTTTCGAAAAATGCACGAGTATATAAAATAGAGTGGAAAAATTGGACTACAGTGTAGGAAATGATTCAAAGGTGTTGGTTTTATGTTACTTCTTCAAGTAATACTAGACATTGCTACCTACTGCCAGCGCATGACTGCAAAGTGATGCCTTTTCCGATCGGTTACGATGAAAAAAACACACAGTCCAGTACAGTATCAACAGAAGATGGGCATTGTCCGGAAAGTGCAATGTGATTTTCCACAGTTTTTTATGACTATGTTACATCTTTCACTTGACATTAAACTATCTACTCTTGATGGAGTTTGATGATTAAAATAGACATTACTTACTCCTGGATGTTTAGCACCAACGTGACGTATGTTTAAAAGAGAGACCATCTTGAAAAGGAGAGGAAATTAGTCAATATGGCGGTCAACAGCGGCGTTAATGCGTTCCAACAGCAGTAGAGTACAAGTATGTTGCAGCGTTGGGGAGTCACCAATTGTTATAAGCGTCAACCGGTCAACGTATCATCCGTGGTGGCTTCATACTGCAAGACTGCCGATCCAGGGCTACAGTACTGTACACTACAGTACAGTACACGGTAGCACAGTATAGTACTGTAGGTAGAGATCCTAGAATATTTTGGGAGCCAAGTTTTATAACGCGAGTGCGCAGTACAGGACAGTATAGTACGGTACTGTACTGTATTGATTTCTACTCTACGATACTGTACCGTATCTGAACTGTTGACAAAATCGTGGGACAGCATCGTTCAGACAGACATTTTCTATTTTCAACAGCCTCAAAATAACAGCATTGCTTTCAACCATACTGCCAATCAAAATGTCTACATCGGCTAAAAGGGTCTATTACTATAAAGTCGGATATGAAACAAGGAAGAAAAACGTTGTGGAATTATGCAAGTAAGTCAGTAACAGTACGTGGAAGTAAAAAGATACATGGATCGTACTGTATACGACGCTAACTTCATTAGCACCATGACATCACTATCTCCTACAGTATCCACTTTTCATCGACGTTAGATAAAATAGATAACGTCTATCATGATGGATCGATTCACCAACATTGGATCAATTATTTCCAATCTTGGAGATGGAAAGGGTAATGGATTCCTATTTAAACTATAAACGAGCTATAAATTTATGCAAGAGTACGTCGTAGCGATCCACCAATGGTGAGCGTGATTGGCGTTAACTTCATTAACATCCAACCCTATCAATTGACATCACTGCGTCGTGTATCATCAACATGGAGAGACTAATGAAGTCAATCCAATTGAATAGATATCATATCACCAATGGCTAATTATTTTCACCCTTCGTAATGGAAGAGCAATTAATTCATTAACAGATACTATTGTATAGGATAGCCCAGAGATGGAATAACATGTCGTAGTTTCAACATTGCTAGATTTCGTCATTCGCGTGGTATTCTCCTACATTAATGACACCTTCAGAACAGCAATTCAATAAAAGCGCCATCATAATGACTGGATAGATCTATCACGATTTTGCACCCCAATTATTTCTAGACTCAACAGTTGAAAAAAAAAACTACGCGTTTATTATCAATTCGATAGAAAATACATGTCGTAGTTTCAACATAGCTAGATTTCGTCATTCGCGTGGTATTCTCCTACATCAATAACACCTTCAGAACAGCAATTCAATAAAAGCGCCATCATAATGACTGGATAGATCTGTCACGATTTTGCACCCAATTATTTCTAGACTCAACAATTGAAAAAAAAACAAACTACGCGTATATTATCAATTCGATAGAAAATACATCACCAAAGAATGCAATAGGATACATTACTTTCAGTCAATAACTTAGTCCTAATAACAATAATCAATATATTGTATATAATCAGATCAAGATATCAGTCTTCTGTCTTGTAAGTAGCTAAATAAGCCCAGATAGGATAGCAAGTGTTTTCATCTAGTCCAAAGTAGTTCTTTCCAATTTGCTTCATAGTTTGTTTTTTGGAACCATTTACTCCTAAGGAAGGGATAATAACATTGCTGTAGAATGATAATCAATACTTCTCGCACTCTGTTGCTCTTTGTCAAGATGGATAAATGACGGTGTAACTTTCCTAGAAGTAGATATAAGTGACTAAAATAGTATATTCTTCACCAACGGTTGTTGTTATTCACAGATTAGGAGTTAAAAGCATCCTCAGTAAAGCAGCCCTTGGATCAATTGATGATAGTAGCACAGAATTACAAAATTTTTGTGTCGCAGTGGAACAGATGTTAACACTAGGACTAAAAGGTAATCAAAATGCTGTTATTAATGATCAATCACATAATGGGCAAGTGACAACAGCTCCGCAATTAATTTTAGATTACAATCAAATAAACTGTGACTATGATACGGTTATATGCGCTTTGATTTTATACATGCATCATGACAGCGTAATTGCGGTACTTGTGAAGAAATGAAGGACTCAAATTGAAGTAGATGATAATAAGCGTGCACAATGTCCTTATTAAAATAGTCTTACATATCTTAACAATTGTCAAGTATCACAGGCAAATTTTAAATTTCCCTTTATTCTGTACACCGGGCCAATGACAAAGATTGTAAAATTATTAACAATGCTACTGCTTCTTTTATAGGTGTTAAACCTTGGGCAATGCACGATACCAGCATTACATTTTGGAATTATATAAGAGATGCATGTAAGGGAATACCGCAAAATTGTATTGCTAGTATCTCACAAATGTCCAATCCAAAAACACCGAAAGGAAAGGTAATTCGTAAACACAAAAAATGATCAACTATAATCTATTGATTATTGATGATTTTCATTAAAAAAACGTAAATTTCAATTATTGATTGTACGATCAGGTTCATTAATAAATAAGGATTCATTATACACTCAACAGATTATACGGTAGCAATAGCGTGTATTATTAGTAAAGAATGACCAGCCACTTTTCTGCCAGTAATTTATCGAAATAGCAGATGTATCGATTTACTTTGAAGACTTTATACTGCATACTAGTCAGCTATCACTTTGAAAGGCGATGAAATGAGATACCATACGACAAGATGGACTAGTAGCTTTAGTACTTCAATTCTTCGTATGTAGTATATTATAACTTATACTATTTTGGTAATTTGTTAATAACGATGACGCTAATTTTTTCTTAGGTAAGGGCTTGGATTAGAATGGCACTGATGGAGAAAAGATTATCAGAATACTTAGCAACAGCTGTACAAAATAATTATCTAACGAGGTAAAACTAGCGAAATGTATAAACTTTTTGATTACATACTCTTACATTAATTAAAACCCATAAAAATATTCGTAATGGCTACCTTATGTAATCTCGTATAATATACGTACTGTATAATTAATAACTTGTTTCTACAAGATTTACAACATTTCGATGCAACCTAATACTTCGTAAATAATTTTTCTTGATTATAAAATCTGCTTAACCTGTTTTTAAGATATTTACACTTTATCAGTGTGCTCGCATGAATCTAACGTAACCATTGATGCACTCCTAAATTCTTGCCAATCCGTATATTTTATAAAATAACAGGTTACACTACCACGATGATGCAATAATACTAACTGAAGATGGTACCGTACTTATTGGCTATTTTAACTCATTGAAAACTGTTGATTTTACGTAAGCTTTCTTTCTTACTACTTTATGATCTTAGCTATAAAGTGGCATACTGAAAGTATTACTCGTCGGTAGTGATTACAGTTTGTGTATAAGAAAACGTAACATATTGTTTACTTCATTCTATATAGTAATAATTATTTAAGGTTTGTTTAAAAATTATTTGAATTAAGGTTTTAAATTTCTAAACACTCTTTAGCTTATTCCTTAAGAATACAGACTTAGATTTGCAAAATACATTAGAGATCAATTATATTCCATATTTAACCTTCAAGGAAAAGTAAGTATGGCCTACATTAAAATAATGACCTTTGAGCTTTCTCGGTTAATAATCATTAAAAGTCACTAGCAAGTAGCGCTTGCGTTGTTTTAAAAACTCACATTTTTATTTACATTCTTGCCATTTCGCCATGTAGTTCAAATTCTGGAGCCTCCAACGATTATGAAAGAGTTACTCTTTCTGCACAAGTTACTACTGTGTCCGAAAGTGAGGGTAAGAAACAATCGGATGTCATAGAGAAACAGTTGAAAGCCAAATTGGATGATTTAGAGAAGAAATATCTGAGAATGTCAGAGCAAAAGGTATAGTACTAGTATTAGATATCATTCATGAAATTAAACATATATCTTTTAGGTAAAATATTGTAATTGTTGATATTTAGAACTATTTAGAGGAAATATTGAGACAGAAAGATAGTAAAATTAAGGAAGCTGTATCACAACAAGTGAGGTTAATGGATAGATTAACCACCATAGAGAAGAAAGCAACGGAAGAAAAGCGAGAAATGGAAGAATTAATTGATGAATTGCAAGAGGAATTGTAAATTGACTAACAGAATTTAAGAGAGCGCATTATATTTTATCATATATTTATTATCGTCGTGATACAATTATAATAATTTTTAAAAAATTGACCCACATTTGCTATTTTCTTTATAAGGAACTATTATAAAAACCTTACTGGAAATAACGTTTCTAGACAAAGCATACCGCAGCAAATAAGCGGGGAATATCACGCAGATGTCTACAATCCTCAACCTCAACAACCTCCTTATACGCAAGATTATCGAATTCCACCGGCAGAAGAGTTGCAAGACTATAACCAAAATGATAACTATTCGGAAGATTCATTTCAAATGAATCAACATAACTATTCGTCGAAGGAAAGTTTGAATGAACTAGATCATAATCAGCTTGATAATCAAGGTAGATAATAAAATGTAGTCATTTTGTAAAATCAATAGTTAAGTGATTTCTTGTAGATATGCAATGTGATATAGCTAAGTAAATTAGTAAATGCTAATAAAATCTATTATGAAGTTAAAATATTGTTGTAATCATGTCAGAATTAATTGTCATTACACCTCTAATACTTGCGATATTATATTACAGTTTCAACAAATAATCCTCCAAATGAAACTGAAACGCATCACATTACTGATGATGTTACAGCTTCAACGAATAATCCTCCAAATGAAACTGAAACGCATCACGTTACTGATGATGTTATAGTTTCAACGAATAATCCCCCAAGTGAAACTGAAACACATCACGTTACTGATGATACGCCAGAAAAAGAATCAAATCGTAATGATAATGAAAGTGAACATAATGCTTAAAACTAATGCAAAGATGCTTTCAATCGTGTAAATTGCTGTTGAATACCAAGATCTGTTAGCGAAATTTGCCACCGGTAATACCTGCCCTACGATTAAACTTGAAATTCGCATTTGGTAGATTGGTTATTGATAGTAATAGTCTATAATCTACCTGCTATTGTATTGTTCTGTTCACAGCTTTGCACTTTCATTACATCTGTAATATTATACTAAGTTGATTATTGCAATAGTCTAAGAGTTACTTTGCATCGTTATTTTGTTGTTATGAAGGAATTGCTGTATTCATACAAGTAATAAGGCGTATGTATAATAAGTGTGCTCGATATAAAAATTCTATGGTAGATCTTTATTATTGTACTTACTGATTATTATCAAGGTATAAAATTTTTAGCTTTCTCAATGTAATATTATTTACCTAATATCATATCAATAACACTACTTTCGTTTTAAATTTATATTTTCTTGTAATTTCTAACGCTTAAGAACGTTAGAGTGTCAACTATTATCTAACATTATATTCTGGTTAGAATTTTTTTTAACTAGTAGCTATGAAATGAAAAAATTCTTAATTAACGTTTTATTATTGCCGGTATAATCACATTGTATAGGCAACGACCGATTACATAAATATTGATGTTAGTGTATGAAATTGTGCCGTCAAATTTACTTATAAATTCGTATCCAAGTCAGGAATGTATCGAACTACGTCAATTACAGGTTTGAGACGATCACTTTTAACAGATCTTTATTAGAGTAAGAAAGCTGGATTTTCATCAAGAAAATATAAGTTTTAATGTTTTCAATCAAGAATACAATACATGAGATCAAAGATACAGAAATCGAATAAATAAACTACATTATAACAATAAATCTTAATGTTAAGATATGAATTTTTATACTTAAAGTGAAAAAGCAAGCGCATTAGTGATAGATAAAGTTATAATAAATTTCAATGTATTGCTATTTAGGGAACTATATCTCACAAGGAATAAGTACAGATATTAAATAATAAAAAAGGCAAAAAATTCTAAATTCTAGATTATAGTTTCTCATGGAATGCAAATACTATGTATCAAAATTTGATTTCGAAGTATAAAATTTTGAAAAAAATTACTATTTCTTTGTACTATTGTTAGTAAAATAGTTTTTCAATGGAAAAAATTAAAGAGAATCTATTTTAATTTGATAATTACAGTTATCCATGTCAGTTGACTCCTCTGTTTTAATTACCTTCGGTAAATGTTCATTACCACTCTACAATAACATATGGAGGTCAGTGCATGTACGTATGCAACACGTAGAATATTTAACAGTTACATGGTAATCTGAAAGAAATGATTGTTTAAATACTTTGATAGAAAGAGTTACAAGGATACCTTTTCATTATTTATCGCAAGTTTTCTTTTTTTACCAGCTGGCCAACCTCTCTTCCTATCAGAGCTTGGACGCTAAATAGTAGTCAAGTTATGTGCATTAGTTGAAAACCTTGTTTTACTTGCTAATCATTTGACTATTTATATAAACAAGAGAGTAATATGAAATCTAAAATCTAAGCTTACTTTCCATATATTTTGTGGTGTGAAAACTACCGTTGGTTTTCTGTTTGATCTCATTTGTCTAGGAGAATTTACGTTGGTAATCATCAGAGCTTCATCATCGCTATCGTCACTTTTTACGCAATCGGAACATTGCCTTAATGTGAAGAAGTTAGTTTTTCGTTATACTTTACTTAGCATCATCTAGTAAGCAGAATCTGAATTTGATGCTTACCAGCCAAATTTAGCTGTTTTCCTGGGCATTTTCATTAAAGGCGGCGATAAACACGCCAAATGATAGTATTTACGACACGTGTCACAAAGCGCCATAGAATATTCACTATCTGGAAGTCCGCATATTGCACATCTAAACAATACAAGTGTGATCATTTAATTTGTAAGATTTCAGTATATATGATTGTGGGAGTTATAAAAAATTTGTGCGAAAGAATTGGATAAGCAGGAACAGCTAAACAAATTATTCAAGAGAAAGGTTATAAGATAAAGTGTATTTTATAAGAAAATTTGACTACTTAGCCATAGTGCTAACAATTCTAAAAAATGAGGGATAAGGTTAACAAATACCTCATCTTAGTATCTTTACTTTCGCGCTTATTGTTCTCAGCAACTAGGGAATCTTGTAAAGATTCGGGAAGTCGAAATGGCTGAATACAAACAAAATAAGTTCATCAACATGAAATTGTTTGATATGCTACAGAAGTGAAAGAGAATGCAATAAAGAGTATAGTGAAGAAAGTGCTTTCTTGATACCTTATCGGATATTTTATTTACAATTTGTAAAAGCTGCTTTAAAGCTTCCATACGTGACTGTCTTTCGTCTTCATAAGTTTTAGATTGAGCTTTAAGCTAAATGTAATATAGTGATTTACATATATTAATTAAATTTGATAGAAGATGTTGCAGACATGTTACTGAAATAAAAATTAAAATAAAGTAATTAACTCAATAATTACACTTTCTAATTCTTTTAAGTATTTGCTTTCCGTTCGTAGAAGTTCTATTTGCTTCTTTTTCAAAGTATTAATATTTTCTTTCAGAAATGCAACTCTTGATTTACGTTCTAGTAATACAACATCATAAATATACAATTTTAATTGGCATCGCAGAATAGGACTGCAGCGATTGAATGAATTTCTTACCAAAGTAGTAGCACACAAATTCGCAAGTGAAGGATGGTACAATACTCCATCTACGTCGGACTGATTTTATGCTTTCAATCGCACTATCGATAATATTACTCTGTAAAGTTAAATTGAGATTAGCTTATTATACGATGTAAAGAACATACAATTTCAGTTTCGTAGCGTAAAGTAAGTGTTGTACCTGTGGAGCAATTCCCATCAAGTCTGCTTTAGTATGCAATTTTCGACAAGCTGTACAGGGAAGATTATATCATTTTTAATCGGAGAAAATTTTCTGATCATCAGTAAAATATTTAATGTTTCTACAAGATATTTTAGAATGTACAAATACCTGGTGGGCTTGTACATAAATCTCGTGCTTCAAATTCGGTATAAGCTATTGGTAATACATAGTGAAAATATATTAAGTTTGAATGGGTTACTCTTACTATTCATAAGGTATTCAATACTTACTTATAGGCTTAGGAAGACTTTTTCTATAATTGGAATATTTCTCTTTAGCGCGTTCAAAACATTTTTGGAGTCGTTTCTACAATACATATCAAATATCGATGCTAAATTTAGTTAACCGATTTAGAATGCTAACTTAAATAAGTCATACTGACATCTTCTAGAAATTTTTTCAACGGTGATGTTTGCATAAATAAACTTCGACTAGCTAACCAATTTCTTTTCTGATGGAAGAAGGAAGAATAAATTGGAAAGAGTTACCTTTTTCCATAGTATTAAGAGCTCGAAGCAACTTTACCTGCTTTCTTGCTAATTCTTTATCACAATGTAATTTACAATAGGCAAAAAATGGATCTGCAACTTCCTGATACGGTAAATAAGAAATTGAAATCTCAATAATTATATCATACATATTGCATCCATTCGGAGAAATACTATTACCTGTTCGCTAGTTTCTTGAAGAAGAAGACCATTGCGTTGTGCACTAATAGTTAATAAAGAATGACTCTGTCAGTATATTAGCTACTAATAATAACAGCATTAACGTTTATTATTTGATGCACCATTATGAAAGGAATTTTATCAATTCAACTTACCAAGTTACGTGAAAATAGGTTTTACACAATCCAGCATCACACGAAATACAGATGCCAGTTTTAGCGAAGCGTTGATCTTCACAGATGTAGCACTCCTGAACAGTGAATACATATATTATCATACTTCTGGGTAGTTTATAGAATTTCACATTAACTCTCAATTCACGGAAATGAACTTCCAAGTTTATACACGTTAAAGCGTGCAGTTTCGTCTAATAATTTTTATTTAAAATTTACCCGATTCTTCCATTTTTCGGACGAAATTTCGGAAAGAATTACTGGCTTCAATTTATCCACGTCACCAAATGCTACACCAGCAGTATACAAGGCGCATACTAAATGGACCCATCTATAGCATATGAAAAATCCATCAGCGTAGACTAGCAGAACTTTGGCATTCAGAATACATTTTATGTAAATGTAGAAATCAGATGATGTCTATTGTGTGGCATATTTATCATTCTTAGCAGTCCTCGGAAGTTGAGTAGCAAGCATTTACCTTCCAGTATCGGTTTGTTTAAGTATACCACCGTGATTTGGGCATAGTTCGCAATCCTATTAGGATAACAATAAAAATCTTTTCTTAAAATTAAATGACGAAACTTTATTAATTTTAGGTCGGATGCCTAACCCTAGCGTTATTATCGTCTAGACAACAATCACAAAACCATGGCTCGGTAGTTTCTGTAGGATCATCATCTAATACAGATTCATCTTCAACGCCGTAACAGCCTATAAGTGAAATCAATTATACTATAGATGAAAATGAACTTGTAACTTGAAGGTTATAGATATTTAGTATAATATCGTACCTTCGTGGACTGATATACCACATTTATCGCATTCAATAATTTCTCCGGAGTCTTCGCTGAAATTGAATGATTAAAAATAGGCGTAATTAGAGTTGTGCGATCTTATAATTTGATGAAAATACATATAATTGATAGATGCTAACCTATTACTGAGACATATAAGGCATATAGGCTTGGAACGAACAATAAATGAGTTAGATTTTGCAATATTCTTAGCTGAACTTATGTTTGTAGTACTCTTTCCATGCATTTCGTTAATTGGCTATTGTGACATAAGCAGAATCGAGCTTCAGTATCAAATCCATCAGGTATTGTAAAGACAGTTTTATTCTATAGAGGCAAGTTACACTTACTTTATCATCATAAATATCTACATCGCTTTTATCTACAGAATCGTGACTATTATTGTCTTCTTGAGAAGAGCTACCATCAGAATCATTACTACTATCAGTGGTCGATGATGGTTCTTCACTTTCGATATAATCTTCATCGTCTTCGTCGTCATCATCATCATCATCATCAACATTGACGTTGATACCGTTATTAGCAGGTGAAAGTTCATTATCATCGCTGCCATCGCTATCGGTAGCGATAGTTTTGGAAGTATTTTGCACTATAGTTAAGAAATGATTGACTGTTAGCGTCAAATTGATGCTGATAGATTTAAATCGTATAATAGAGATTCACCATCATCTTCAAATTGGTAATCTTTATCGTCTTCGCTATCATCTTCAATTATAGGAACATCAATGATGTGCTTTTCTACCGGCTTAATGCGCCGTTTATTAGGTCCACGATCAACTATGTTAACATCGAATGAAAAAAGTTCATGTTATTTATTTTAATAGAAAACTATCATGAATGGCTGAGATAGATACTAAATCGGTGAAATAAGCAATTAAAAACGTGTTTCAGTATCTAGCTATTGCTAATTACGATTAGTTGTCGGTTTTAGTATATAATCTTTATTATAATGGTATAACAGCTAGACCATGATTGATGACTGCTTTTGGAGACATTTAAATAGGAACGATTTATAGTTTAGTAACGCGGCAATTTTTTCATTTAAAGTCATGAGTCATGATATCAAGTGTTAGGGGGTTAATTTAAAGTATGATTTACAAGTTTTACGATTAGAATTACGAACATCGCATTTAGTGAGGGTGAAAGAAATGTCTGACGAATTAAACAAGTCATATACAGCTTAAAAGTTGAATCCTCTGACTTTATAAATTTTAATATTTATACTGAGTATCACTAAAGTTTAAAAACTGTACCCGTCCATCTTATAAATTCCAGGTGAATTTCGCGAAATAATAATTTTTCAAGTGTACTGTATACTAGTGCCGGTACAGCAGTCTTGTATTTATTAATTAATTAATAAATACATCAACTTTGCTAATGTTGATTGTGATATTAAGTAATTTACTATATATTGGATACTTTAAAGTTGTTACTATTGCGTTTCGATGTTTTTCAATATTATATTATCTAAATAAGGTTCAAATAGCTTTAAAGTGAAAAAAATCTTTTAAGATCTTAGCCAAAATGATATTTCAGCATCTAAAGTAGATTTGGATTTTCTTTCTTCAGGACAGTAATGATAATAATGAATTGGGATATAGCCTATTCAAAATTTATAACATTGTCTTTTAGACAATTTATAACTGCAGCCTTTGATTCACATGTCGCAGTGATTGATAAATAGGAGAATATCGTAGTAAGTTATCAATGAAGTTATTGCAATAAAAATAGTAGAAGGGTAATATATTTAGACAGCTAATAATTAATATAATTATATTAGTCTATTTTTTTTATACTGTATCATCATAGATCTCTCACTAATAGGGCAAATTTTGATCAAGTTGTCGTCCATCATTGTAAGGCAAAACGATGATATTGAGATCGTCACGATAAGAATATACCGTACTTGTGCAGGGTTAATTGATCACTCCTTTTTCCATAAAAAGTAAAGTATAAACAAATCATGTAATAATGATGATTAAGGTTCTTTATTTAAAAAATTTTTTATTAACATAATAAATCGCGTCTTTATTTTCCCTTTAAGAATCGCATTCGTTGATACGCGTAATTCTATTTATTCACCAATAATTAATTAAAGTCCTCTCGTTGGCGTAGTCTAATGTTAATGTAAAGCCATTATTAATTAATAAATATGTCATATTCTATGCTGTTGCTTGCATATAACTTCGATTGGACAGAACATTAGACCATCTGTTAAGTGGTCTACACGTCAAAAAATTTATGATGCAATTTATGTATTAGGGATGTAATTTGCAAGGGGTCTATTGACATAGAGTAATATCTTATTATTAGGTAATTATAGAGCAATGAGTTGTACATACGAGTAGATATTAGATAATAGCAAATGGGTATTTGTTCAATTTTACACATTTAACAGAGCAATCTATGATGCTCTTGGTTGATGTTCTATCGTCATCAAGCATAATATGATTGTCATCTGAGATTTCAAGAAAATTGAAAATTTCATTTGCATGGTATTTACGGCTTGTGATACTAGCAGCACAGTAATTCTTATTTTAATCCGTATGAAAAGTTGCACGTAAATATTTGGTAGATGTAAAAGTAATAAGTGTAGTAGATAAAGAGAAATTTGGATCCTAACTAGTTGTGCATGAATTTCGATCTTAACTAACTAAATGCTACACAAGTAATGTAATCATAATGGAATTATATGATTATCGTTATTTGCCAATGACCTACACTATTATATTGGATATTATAAGATATATAATGACAATAATTTGAATTAAATAATTGGTCGCTTACATCTAATTGCCGCTAAAGGCAAAGGTGGACATACCCCCATTTATACTACATTTTATAATTTTTCGAATGGTCCGTAGACATATTCCGATTTTAAAATTGATGGAGTAGTCTCATTAATGGGCTACATCTACTAAAGAATGTTGAATTAAACAAATTAATGGATAAAAATTAAAAAAAAATTAAAATCTAAATAGGAAAACCTTGCCAGGGTAAAGCTACTAAGGAAAATGATATGCTAAGATATGGATACTTCACTTATACATGCTTTCATTCTAAAACTGTGAACTATAACTAGCAGTCAAGAATGTAACTAACTGAAATGCTTTAATAAGCAATTTTGATCGTTAAGCTCGTTATAGCGCTCACTTTATTAATTGTAAAGTGTATGAAATGATATCCCCCACCCCTGATAGTACTAACGGTGACTTGCATAGATTAAATACAGTATCATATTCGTATCCTATAAGAATGTTTATGTTGCGTTATTTTCACAGTAAATTGACTACATCGCTATTATCGGTGTCCCATACATGTCAATAAAATTAACATACACGTAATTCTACGATTGTGTAATACTATTTCAAAACTAAGTTCTTTTCCTTGATATTTCATGATTGCAATACAATGTACATATCTACTTTTATACAGTAATAAATTGATGATGGCGATTATTACAAATAGACATACATGCCATAGCCAAAAGCTATGCAAATATATCGACATTAATAGATATGAAAAATAATGCTCTATCAAGGGATATGTTGACTCCAATTTAATCTATTTATTATCCATTGGTATTAAGTCACCTGAATATCGAAATTAAAAATATCGTAACACAATTGAATGATCTTAAGGCTACTTGCTTAATGCTTAATAATTAATAGTTGCAGTAAAATATAAAGCCCATTTAGCGAGGAGCTTGATTTGAGTGATCTATTAATAACGAAGAGCGCAAAATTTGGCAATGTAAAGGAGATCAATTTACTTATTATTCTATCCAGATTTTCTAACAAGTAGGCTTAAGTTAGAAAAGAAAGATTAATGAGTATAAGTTGTATTGATGGCCATTTACAAATTGTTTGAGTGCCAGTCCATCGTTCACGAGTAAGTAGTAAGACGATCAGCTAATAGTCATTTTGTTACTTTTCTTCGAATATTAAGGGAATATTAATTATTGATTAGGTTACAATGTTCCAATAAGGGTAAGAGACTATTAAGTTATTCTAAAGCGATCAATCTGTTTAATTAATCTACACTGCAATTAGTGCTGTTACCGCCATACTAATAACCTTGGTGACAAGTAGCCTGTGGTGTATCCCGATGAAGGTATAATGGTGTACGTATATCTTCCGTGTACTAGATTATTTCATTTAACTTGGAAAACTTGATAATTTGTCCTAATTTGTCAAATTTATGATATTCTGGTCTTGCTTTACATTAATAGGTTAAATAAAGTATTTAATGCACAGAATGTATATTATATAAATAATATATTATTCTTATATGATATTATTAAATTATTCATTGACACGTTTTAAAAATATTTAGCGTCCCCGTCTTATCGTTACCGACAAAGAGAACCTCATATATAAACTATGTTCCGCTCAAAGATTACAGTATCCAATTAGTACTGTTATAAATTGACTGTTGATAAGCAAAATAATCTTAAAGCTAGTGCATCTACTTTCATTACTGATAGACGCGTACAGCAGATGAAAGTGTGCATAACTTAGAAATTATTTACTTGAATCATATATTAGCAGTATAAGGCCATTTAACCTGTTCATGATAGCTCGGCGAATTGATTTCAGTTTTACTCATTATCTTAGCAATCTACGGTATTTGCACAATCTCTCTGGTATGAGTGCTACTTTTTCTTCAAGGATACAAAATTGAATTCAAAATAAATAACATCTTTGATCAGTGCAATGGATAATTATAGTGATGGCATGATTTTCTTTCTGTAAGAATATGTCATGACGATTGTGTAAATTAGAAACTATATGAATGATGTTGGTCGTTAGCATTGTAGTCAATTGGTAGTATCTCGTGATAATTTGATAAGATAATAAAAGTATTGACTACCGGCAACCCATTTAATACCACAGTCTGTATATAGATATCTTTGCTGCAGAATATTGGCAAAGATTGTGATATAACTATATATGTACGCGTACTGCATATGCACGCTTCCAAGAATGTCATGTTGCTCATTCTATTTTGATAGCTTCTTTACATGGTGATGTGGGGATTGTTGGCGGTCGTGCAAATAATTTCGTAATTTGGTGGATAAAATGAATAGGATTTAATTGAATAATCAAACGTTGGTAGAAATTGTACAATCTATCCTCCGTTAATCAGATCAAGGGTATCACACATTATCAGAATAAGAAGTATTCTAGCCAAGTAGATATCAGTGGATGATATTTAGTCTTGTCGGTAGACAAGATATCACAGGGTCTATTTAATATGCTCAACATGAAATTATTCAAGATATTTGAGTTCATGCTTCCGCTACTATACGGTACGTAACAAGTATTTGGCAATGATTATAAAAGAAGAAAAAAAAAATTGCCGCTGTCTGTCATTAATTAATATGGTCAAGATTGGAGATAGCATATCAAAATAGGATGATGAATGCGATTTTAATATAACTGTATATTGATACATTTTATATTGACTTTCATTTTAATAATGGGGCATTTCCAGTACTCCATCCAGTAGCATAATTTATAAATGATATTATTAAATCTTGCAGTATCAGTACGTTATCACTTGGCTATTGAATTGACAGAGTACACAGAGTAGAGTATACATAGATACTGTACTGTATAGCCAAGAGAAATGACTTACGCATGGAAAACAGAAATGCAACTTCTTGATGTTGTCTATCATCGTCAGCAGCCATCTTTTTTTTACAATGGATAGAAAAGGAAAGAAGCAATTGCTATAATAAAAATAATTTGCACTTTGGATAGAATTTCTAGAAGGATGGTCGCAAATCTGATTTTAACTTCAACCAAGTCGATTTCGACGGCCTTTGTTTCGATGCAAACTCACCGATTACCCGGGGGTTCTGATGATTTGTACTACACCGGTTGCAGACCACACTGCCACTGCCCCAGCAGTTCGTTCTCCTTATAATAACAATGATTCAAGACTTGGCACAATATGAACTGTATGAGAATGGCGCTGCTACCACGGTAGTCTAGTCGATAGATAGACCCATGGTAGAAAGCACTGTAATGTCTGTACGGTGTATGTCCGTGTTCTGTAGGACTTGTACAGTAGTCCAAAGTCTGTAATGCTACAACATGATACAGTATGAGTAATTGTACAGAATTGGTGCCGACAGTCTAACGATAGTACAGGGCGTCCGGAAAGACGTCTCAGAACATTGCTGTTTGCGATATTAAAATCTCCAGAACACGATCTTACCTGCATACAAAATTTGGAAATAAAGTTTGTACACATCTTTCGTACAGAAATAAATTAGATTAGATTTGTCCAGACTTTCCGGACGCCCTTGTACAGTACTGATAGACAGACTATGGCACCGTTATGCTGTTCAATGAACATACTGTAATTAATTAATTCATTAATAATTAATTATTATTATTATTGTTATATATTGTCAATGATGACCGTGTTGTAATGGCGATTGACGAGCGAACGCATGAGCTGACCTCGACATCGGTAGCTGTGCAGATTCGTAGCATAGGACATCATGTCTGAAGTGCAGATGCAAAAGCAGTAAAATGCCGAAAGTTGTTATCCGAGAACATGAAATGTATTACCAGGATAAGGGGAAAGCATCTTCTCACACACTTTTATGTGGGATCATAAGATGTGGGCCTCACAAATTGAAGAACTATCCAAAAACTATCGATGTATCAATATTGATTTATGAGGCCACGTAGAAAGTGATGCTCGACCTGAAACACAAATTTCTCTAGATCAACTTGCTGAAGATACGTGGCAACTTATAGAGATATTGGATCTTAAAAAATTGGCCTTTATCCGATGATCCATCGGCGGTATGCTAGGAATAGCACTCGCTTTAAATCATTTAGAAAAGTTTCAGTCTTGAACAGTCATGAACTCGTACGTTGGTGCAGAGCCAGCCAGGACTCAACAGGAATACTTAGCTTTACTATCTAAAATTGGCAAGCTTGGTTTTTTCGCATCCGAATTAAGAGAGAGGTTATCACCCTACTTTTTTAGCCCTAAGACGTACAAATCTTGTACTCAACTTATTCACTCTTTTAAAGAATCATTAGATGCTATCGCCCCAGAGAAAATTGATACCATAGTAGCCGTAGGAAAAGGCTTCTTTACATGTCGTTGTTTGTTATCAAATCTAAATTCAATGAAAGTACCAATCCAATATGGAGTTGGTGCTGACGACGGTCCACGTCCTCCAAAAGAATCTCAAGAAATGGCTTCTTTAAATCCGATGTATAATTCTCAATAATATACAGTCTAGCTATGCAACATTGCAAGTATGAATTGGCTGATTTTTCACCAAAGTAAAGTCTGGGTTTAATACGTAGCTTAGTCTGGTGCTTTACAGCTTCAGTTACCGTGTTCTCCTAATGGACTCGCTATACGCTTATCGGCATATTCAATATTGTACGGTACATAGTAATACTATAGGCAACGTTGACAAATCCATGTACGAATGTGAACAAATTATGCTAGAATTGCTGCAAGTCTAATTCAAGCAGAGGCTTTTTCAACTTACTGCTATATACCTGTTTTTTATTCCAACAAGTAAAACCAAATTGGGACGATGCATTTTTATGCAAGTCCAATATTAATCCCTATTCCCTGCAACTAACTCAGAATATTATCGATGTCTTCAAATTTACATCTACTGTACTGTACTGTAATGGAGCAGTGCTATACTGTACAGTATGCACTGTGAGTGTAGATGATCAAAGTGTACAGTACAGTACTTCCCGCATTGATTACAAGATTACCAAAAGGTAATTTATAATTCAGCGCCTAGGGGACTCAACTCTATTTCAATTTGTGCAAAAGGATCCGCAATATTGCACCATTGATCTGATGCTAAAAAGGTAGATATCAGGTACTTTGCTTATGATTTAATCGATCACACACATACACTAGACAATGTTTGCATTATTTTAGTCCCTGATTTTATTATATTATCAATAGGGAAGTGCATTTGGATGGTAGATAATGATAAGGGCAAATAATATAATTATTATAATCTAATTACAGTATTGAAAAAAATATTGATACCCTCACTAGCAGTGACAGCTCGTTTCAAGCATTATTAGTGTGGACTTGAAGAGAAAGAGCACCTGTGGATGAGGGCTTGTAGCACACTATGAGGAATAGTATTATTAACATTCTATGACTTTGTACAGTATAAGATGCTACATTGATAGCGTGTAATATAAACTCTACAGTATTATGGTGTACAACATCATGCTGTTGCAATAAATAGAAATGATGGAAAAGTAATTTAGTTGTCTGTGGACTAGCTTGTCAAGGTCCGTGCACGTACAGTACTGTACTGTACGTGCAATGAAGAACGAAAGATGATTTCGCGGGAAAACGTACTGAGCAAACAAATAAAAGTCAATAAAGGCTTGTACAGTGTACAGTGTACAGTACTGTACAGTGAAGCAAAAGAGAAGTCTAAAAATGCCGTCGACAGTGTACAGTACAGTACTGTAAAATACAGGAAAAAGCACTGTACTGTACACAGTACTAGACATGCCAAACAAAGCACACTTGACTCGTGGTACAGTACAATACTGTACGGTAGGTAGATAAAAAGAGAAAAAAGTTTTTCCTTTCTTTTTACTGTAACCGTACAGTACAGCAAGCCTCCAACTACCGTACCTGTACTGTACTCTACAGTACTATGTCTGTGTCCTGCTTACTGTGCTGTTCCGTACTCAAGTCTAGTGCTTACAGCCATGTCTGTGACAGTGTGACTACAGTACTGCAAATGAATGTACATTGTTTGAAATCTAGTGACGTCACAAGTACCACATGCGCCGCCAAGTTTTTTTCTCTTGTCCTTTCAGTAATCGAACTAATTTTCACAAATAAGGCCTTTAAGGTATGAATATTTTATCTTGATTTCGACTCAGTAATAATGATTCTAAAGTTAATACCGTAACTGGCCGTAAGTAGAAAAACATCACTTACGCTACTGGTATCGTCTCATTCTAACGCCATCACCCGTTACCAGAAGTGGTTAGAGTTGGTGGTGGTCAATGCAAAATATCATTTCCACAATTTAAAGCTCTTTTTTTCATTCATTCTCAAAGTCCATTTCATATTGCCAGGTCTCCAATCAATTTAGAAGAACGTTGCCCAGTTAGTATACAACAACAACAAGATTTCAAAGGAGAAAAAAATCAAACATTAGACATTTTCCTATCAATTTTAATTTCTCAATCAGACTCCCGTATCAGTCTTTGACCGGGTATATAGCTTTCACATCATACAAAAGAAGTCAGCATCGCTCTTGGCGTCATCTGCTTGATCTCTCAACCTGTTTCGAAAGGCAAGTTTTGCAGATTGATTAGTTCTTGACGCTGTGTTTAGGTACATTCATTAATTCTAGCCTTCGTTTTGATTAAAATGTGGATACCGGTTAATTCATTGCTCGTATACTAATGGTTAAAATTCAATTTTGTTCGTAACGAGTTTGCCGTTTTTTTCTTCAACTCGTCACTGTGGTAGAATATGCCGCCGTGTTGTTTTTTTCAATCGTGCCTATAGTGTTGTCTTTCTAAATCTCTGGCTAGTCATAACTGTGTTCTGATTGCTGACGAAAATTGACCCCAATGTAAGATTGTACCAAGAGATGAAGTTAAAATGACGAGGGTCCAACGTGTTGACTACATACTGCTTGTTTGTTGCTTTTACTACTTACTGTACAGTATATCGCATCTTCCACTACGCCGACTACGGCAATCACTTCATTGATATTGCTTGCAAATTGAACTTGACTTTCAACAAAATCCTATCATTTTACGCTAGCTGATTCATTATTGGATCCTAATCCTTATGGTTGCACAGAACTTTGAATGAGATTCGTGGAGTAAGCTGCAGAATTTTCGCTGCTCTTGCAAATATGAAATGAAAATGTGTAGTTGTGTACTGCTATAGCACTTTATTGCATAAGCGGCTCCTGAAAAAAAAAGTGATGCTTTTTAATCTAATAATAATTAGCCAAGGCGTTGTGAAGGTTAAGCGCTATGAAGCGTCGCATCAACCTACCCGTTGATGCATCACTGCTCTTGTAAATAGTACCAATCAGAAATTTCATCAATAAAAAACTCATCGAGTTGTGCTGCAGTTATTTCAATAGTGTAACGCATTGGATCTTTCTGCAGGACTTGTTGGCATTCATTTTATTTTATTTGAAAAATTAAATAAACGGCTTAAAATTGTTTGTAAAATAACCTAGCAAACGTGATATGCTGCAGTATCCTTTTCCGTTTCTACATTTATCGCCGATCAAAGCAAATGAAATTTTTGAGTCTTTCAATCTTGATTGAGATAGTGTGTATTCACTTTCGAAGTACAGTACGTCAATGGCAGTTTTCGTGATCTACTGACTCCATTGATTTTCGATGTATGATTTTGATTCATTAAGATGTATCATCGATTACAAATCGGTTGTGTTACAAATATGCAAGTGTTGTAGTGCAATACAGTATCTACGGTAATCCAGCAAATTGAGGACGTCATTTAGAACTACATAAACTGCATTCTCTGACCTGCTCTGACTACAGTATGTAACCCTAGCAAAGGGTTATGATTTGAAATCATTGCCCAGTATCTCTTTGCACTTGACTATCTACTTCTGAAGTCAATTTTGAATCTGCTGCTATTGGTATTTTCTTGGATATTTATAGTTTTCTTGATAAATTTTATTATTTTAACTTTAGGTTATGGTATTGATATAGTTCGATTCTCATGGAATCCAATCAGAAGCATAGTGCAACCGATCCAGTAACCGGTGGGACAGTTGATGATGCGGCTGCTTCAGGTATTATAACCTTGATAATAAAATATTTATTGCGATCATGCTGGAGCCAATTTAGAGGCAGTTTATAGCCTAGGTCAACTTGAGCATGAATAATTAGAGTGTTTATATATTATCTACTCTTCAGTGGATAAGTATGCTGTAGTATCTGTGTCACACATATGTTGCCTAAATGGAAGAGTGGAGAAGGATGCCACTTTGACTGCTGAATTTGAAAAAAATGGACTCTACCCTAGCATCTTGATGCAATACGTTATAATTTGTAGCTAGTAGAAATGACATAGTATAGCGAAAAATAGGCCAAGTAATTCTACAAGTTGTTCATCGTTCGCATGGCTACATGATGCTAAATGTCCTTTTTCATTTAGCGTTATTTTACTTTTACTGCTAACCACCGGCTAGATTGATGAATCTATACCAATTAATCCAGTACCAAAGTAATCTACTCGTACTGTACCACTATCATGAAAGATTTCTTCCTTGGCCAGTGGTTTTGTTGTTGCTCGATAGGGGCCTACTGACACACTCGACCCTGCTGTATTCTTCTCTTTTGTTAACGTTGGCAGTCAGCTCACTTCCTTTATTATCGTCCACCACTGTACGTATCAAGTGTCATTCAGCTTGTGATGATGACCGTACTGTACTGTGAAGCGCACGCAAACTCCATCGTCCAGTCCAATACTGAGGCTGTAACGTTTTGTACTGTACAGTGCAGACTTGGATGGATGAATCGATCGATCGATACCGTAAGGTGAAGCGTTGTCTGCCTCACTATCCCCCCCCCCCCCAAAATATCCTCCAATGTTCACAGTAGCCAGGAACGTCACCCTAGTACAGGCTGTCCTGCCTTACGGTACTGTACCGTTGGAGACGGTTGCAATTTCACCATCAGACGTTTCTACAACCTACACGGCTAATAGAATATTGCGATATGCAGTGTGCCTGTAGCTACGTACGGTGCACATAAAATTCCCATTTTATGATCTAGTTGCCCCATAACTGAATTTCCTCTTTACCTTACGGTATTAGCACGTTAAAATAGGGATTATTCCATTATTTTACTGAAGGACAGCGTGAGCAAAATACACTAGTTGTATCGTGTTGACGTGCATCTATCCTACAAAGATGAGCAAAATCGATTTGTAATCAAAAATGACGTCGGATGTCGTTGGTCTTTCAATCAACGTTTCAATATTAGCACGTTAAATAGGGATAATGCCATTATTTTACTGGAGGACAGTGTGAGCAAAATACACTAGTTGTATCGTGTTGACGTGCATCTATCCTACAAAGATGAGCAAAATACACTAGTTAAATCGTGTTGACGTGCATCTATCCTACTAAGAGGAGCAAAATCGATTTGTAATCAAAAATGACGTCGGATATCGTTAGTCTTTCAATCTATGTTTTCAATATTAGCACGTTAAAACATGGATAATTCCATTATTTAAATGGAGGACAGTGAGAGCAAAATACACTAGTTGTATCGTGTTGACGTGCATCTATCCTACTAAGATGAGCAAAATCGATTTGTAATCAAAAATGACGTCGGATGTCGTTGGTCTTTCAATCGATGTTTGAAATATTCCCACGTTAAAATGGAGATAATTCTATTATTCTACTTGCCATCTGTAGGTCTAGTTATCAGCGATCGATAGCAAATTAATTCAATTTTTTCTCCTAATCAAAAATTCTGAGACTAGTTTGAATAAGACTAACTTTTAATACGAATACAGTGCACGAACTACTGTAGCATCCTTCGTTGGTTCACATTTATTTACTTAAAACAGGACCAGCTTAATTGCTCTCTTGATTTATCTACTTACCTCTATGTCATATAATAAATTGCCTGTGTAGAAAATCGATGAGCGGCCATATAGTCTTGTACACACCAACCTCTCATTGCTTTCTTCGTGTTTAAATATATCAATTCCATTCGCTAGCTGTTGGTACTTATAGGAATCGACAATTTTGCGTCTAAAAGTACGTCGTAATACAGTATTATAAGCTGTTACCATGTCGCCTACAGGTAATAGCTTAAAAGTAATACGATATAGGTCCTTAGTATATTTTCGATTGAACTATGTACCTACTGTATACATGTATTTTTACACTTGGATAAATTAACGATTAGTCAAAAAGTTACTTACTTGATTTATATATGTAGATTTACTCTTCGCCCTGATTATGTTGAGATAATTTATGATACCAACAACAGTATTACAAGATAGAAGGTTTTAGGATACCAGAGGGATTACACTTGAGTAGTAATAGTCATGATATTGGGTTTGTTTGTGTGGCTCTCATTTTATTTTTATTTTCATTATCCATCTTATCACTGTTACATATGCAAACTGTACAGCAGGGTGATAATGATGATGTTTCATTGTAGACTGATATCTTTATGTGCATGATAAAAGCTTTTGTACACTACTGCGCTCGTCAATCATATTATAGTTAAGAGCTGGTATTTCCTATTCGTGATAAATGACGACGTCTTATTGCTTGAATTCTGAAGTCTAGTTTATCTGGATTGAATTGATTGGAGCTAAAATTACTGGGAATATTCTCGAGATAAGAATAGATTTTATTTATCGGTTAGCAGATCAATCGAAAAAAAGAGAGAAAATGTTTCCATAGCTCTGCCAATGCACCACATTGTACTATGATAATAGCACGATTATTATGGATAGTTTCTCATTTTTATCCGATTTTTAACCGGGATATTGTACTGTACGTATATACTGACTGCACTTACGGAATACCACGATACAATGGAAAGTGATTAGAAACGTCATATGAGTGTAAATTCAAAGATACTGTTACGTTTTCAGTGAGAACTCATTCTTATGTCGCTACTCTACCTGAATTTTATTACTACAGTATGTGATTAAATAATATTCATGATTAACTTTGGCTATCCCCAAATTTAACCAACATGAAACGTGGTATAGCGTGGTATTTTTTGGCCTTTACAATTATGTATTGGTAATGTCATTAGTATACTCTTTTTAACAATTATGATGGCTAGTAACATTGTACTATGCCATGTCCTGATGCAGTGTATAGTATACCTCAGTTCATCCATCTTGCTGATCATATAAAGTGCTGTAGACTACCTGCATATGTTTGGTTTTCCTTATAGAAGATGTGACTTGTACTGTATTTTCAGTGCTAACCAAATTAGTTCTATTTACTACGAAAATTTGCTTACATAAGCTACTATAACAACTTTGTGACTCTATCTTTACTGATATGATGTCTTCTCTTTATTATGTACAGTACAATATAATAATACCGAACTGTACAGTACTCTATTTATTTGATCTGTATGCTTATTGAAGTATTTACGTTGTCCATTTTATACTTACGTCATGGGTACATGGCTATATATTCTTGATTGTGAATTTGCGCTATATAATATTACTGTACTGTACACTTTACAGCTCCAAACATCGAGTAGAAACGCGTTATCGGTTATTTTAAGATTTACTGCACTTACGATGTGACAGTAGACACTAGAAATATCCAGTAGTCTATTCCACGGTATAAAGATTATTGTTTCATTCATTAGTGCTGACTTGGTAGGCTGTAAGCATTGCTAATTTTTAAATATGTAAAGATACTGCACTGCTAGTCTTTGACGTTTTATCTAACTGGTAGTCAATAAAATTATAATAACTTTCATTTACGAAGGATGACATCCACGGCACATGGAGGTAGATTATAGCCTATTTTAGATTGCTGTACTGTATCGTGCGAGCATCAATAATAAAAATAGTGCATTATTATTATTATTAAATCCCAATTGTGCTACATTATTCACTTTGCCGTTGTAATAAATACCTTCGTCCAGGTGTGATTGTTGATCTAGGGCAACATTGAGATGTTTACGTTACTATTTTTATTGGATAAAGTTTATGATAGTTCTTATCCTTCCTTTAATTACAATTAACAGTATGCTTATATACTATTTATAATATACTATCGACAATCACATTAATTATTACGTATTAACTGTAAACTCGTATGCATTCTTTTTGCCTGCAGGAGTACATCCAATTCGCAATGTATCATTATCACACGTTTCAAGTACAAATTCAGATTGGTTGCCTTCAGCTGATGACTCTCAAAATTGTTCCGATGCTGGTGTGTCTTCTTTTCCTAACACAGATATGCATAGTTCTGCTTTTCCATCTGAAACTTTAAATGGTAATGCATTATCAGAAAAGTATCGTTCTTCGTCTAAGACAGCGAATACATTAGAAGAAGTTCGTTTACCTTCTAATGTGGATAAAATAAATAGCAAAGAGAAATTAGTAGGTGATGAAGGTACAGGTCTTAATCAAGCTATATCTAGTGCAAGCGACAGTGTTGAAGTTAATACATTAAAATCGCAGAAGAATATTGCAAACGGTAAAGGTGTACGACCTGCTGCTAAACGAACTGTAGATCAGTCGGATGCTAATAGTAGATCGAAACAGCCTCCAGCCAAAAAATCGAAATCCGAAGTGGTACCACGACAACAAGTCCGTCCACGTATAATAACACGCTTACCAAATATGAAATATAAGAAGAAAAAGATGGAATCAAGTGAGGAAAGTTCCAGTGACAATGAATCGAGTGATGATACTGGCGATAGTGATAATAGTGAAGAAGATGATGATGACAATGAAAAAGAAGGTGTAGAAGACGAAATTGAAGAAGAAGAAGATAATGATGATGATGAGGAAGAAGAGGATGATGAGGATGATAATGAAGTAGAAGAAGAGAAAGAAGATAATGATGAACAGACGACGGAAGATGATGAAGAAGAAGAAGACGTAGAAGTAGATGATGATGGTGTGGAGATGGAAGATGAAGAAAATGACGTTGACAGTCAAGATCGTGAAGATGAAAATGAGGAAGGCGACGATGATGAAAATGATGAGGATGAAGAGGAAGAAAGTTCTGACTCGGAAAGTGAAAGTGAGGAAGAAAGTAGTGATGACGACGATACTTCATCAAGTAGTAGTGATGATAGTGAGGAAGATGGTAGCAGTAGTAGTTCAACAACGACATCAACGTCATCCTCTTCATCGGATTCCGATGGCAGTGATGAAACAACATCAAGTAGTGATAGTGATTCATCTTCTACTAGTGATGAGGAGGAGTTGCCACCTGTTAGATCCCGTGGTAGAGGTAAATACAAAGCTAGGGGTCGGCGTGGTCGGGGTAATATGAATTTCTCGCGTACAGGTAGAAGGATTAACGGTGTAAGGAAACTGAAAGGGCCTTCAAAGCGTAAGTTGATTTTGTCTTGTATGTTATGAACGATACTTTCGATTTATTTGATATTCGCTATTTTTTTTTAATAAAGTTATGGTCTATCAAATTATTGACAGGAATCTCAAGTGTGTTTTTATTTCTGGTTTATGTTACTATAGCGACTCCACGTAAGCGCTTACAGAGTGTTGATGAAGATGACATCCAACTACCATTGGATCAAGGGTACTTGAAATACGTTAATGTTTGTTCGATATATGCACATGATTGACTAGCTTACGTTTAAGATAAAATTTCATCATATTTATAGATGGCGTCGTCAAACCAGGTTACGTCGGGTTGGTAGAAATTTAAGAGGAGACGTTTACTATTTTGCACCTTGTGGCAAAAAGCTTCGTATATATCCAGATGTCACAAAGGTAGCAATTTATAATACTATATACGATTTCTTGATCACTCCATCTGGCATCTATATAATATCACTACTGTATTATATTATAGAGCTATAATTATTAATAAAAAACATCACTGTTGACTTAGAAGATAATATAACCTTTTTCTATGCTTCTATATAGTATTTAAGAAAAAATAGCATCTCTGATTTAAATCTGGAGAACTTTAGTTTCAGTACTAAACTATACATTGGAGACTTTCAAATATATAATGAGGTAAGTCATATATAAGGTGTTAAAATCTTCTTTCTGGATTTATTGTCAGTTTATTTTATCAACGATAAAAAGTAACAACCTTAACATTGGTGATATACTAATTCTTTAGGATAGTGGTACCTTTGAACCTATGGATGAAGATGAACTACATCGGCGCAGGCAAGAGGCATCAACTAAGAAGAATCAAAAATTAGAAAAACTTCGAAAAAGAGATGAAAGAAAAAGATTAGCTGCAGGTTTGTAGATATAGATGTAGCCCTGATTTACCAGAACTTTACATTGCCATGTACATATTTATTAGGTTATATCGAATTACAACTTTGTTAGGTCTATAAATAACTTCGGAGAATGATAACACTGAAAATGAAATTGTATTTTATTGTGTTTGTTTAGAAAAGGCGAAAAAGATGCAGGAGGCTAAATTGCAACGAAAAATGGAGAAACAAAGAGCAGCAGCTGATAAACGAGAAGAGAAGAAAGAAAGGGGTAAAATTGAAAACAGACTGGTATTAAGTGTTGAGGCACGTAACTTAAAAAAGTTGTTCATCTTTCCTAATGTAATGCAAAATTGATCTTTTTTAAAATAAGCAATAAAAGCTGCTATGGAAAGGAAAGCTGCACGTGACCAGGCAAAGATGGAAAAGTTACGTGAAAAAATGGCAAGACACGAAAAGATTAAACAAGAAAAAAAGAAAAAAAAAGAAGCGCTGATTCAAGCTCGGAATAAGAAAAAAGAAGATGCGGAGAAGAAAAGATATCAAGAGGCGTTGCAGCGGCAAAAAGAAAGAGAACTAAAGAAGCAACAGGCTAAAATTCTTAAAACTAAGGAAAAAGAAAGACGAAAGCAGCAAATGTTATTAGTCAGATCATTAGAAATACAAAGAAAAGCGGAAGAAAGAAATCGTGTTAAGGAAGAAAAGAAATTACGGAAGCGATTAGTTAAAGAAAGAAAGCAAGAACAAAAACGGTTAGAAATGGCGGTGTTAAGAGATTTAAAAATGCCAGCTGAAGATATGAAGCTATCTCATGATCACGATATTCCAAGCTTGAAAACTGTTCCTGGATTATTGAGTGGGAATTGTTTTGCGGACATGTTATTAGTTATTCAATTTATCCAAACATTTGCTGAACCATTACAATTGGATTCGGATGATTTTACTTCATTACGTGACCTTCAAGAATCAATTCTTTGTAGATCAGATCCTGATGAAGATGTCTATACATATCTATGCCAACAGCTATTTTATAATGCTCTTAAAGATCCTGGTTGTACGGGTCCGCAATCTTATACTGCTTTAGGTACACCGTTAATATCAGTAGAGATTACTAATTCTAATGTATCGGAGTTGTTGCGTCGTTATATGTGGTCAAAGCTTAGTAAAGAACATGAGCTTGTAAAAACGTTGGAAGTTACACCTCTGCAGGCACTATCAGCATCCGATAAGTTAAAAATTTTAGTTTTTCTCGTGAATGAGTTATTATGCAGCAAGCTTATTTGTAAAGAAATTGAAAGTAACATGGAAGAAATATCAAATTTAAGAAGAGATAAATGGATAATTGAAGGGAAAGCGAGAAAGTTACGTGCTGTACATGCTAAACGATTTCCTGCAGTTAACAGCAAATCTACAGAAGCTAAAACTCGTGGAAACAGCCAATTAAACTCTTCTAGAGATGAAAGTGGCTCAGAGGGTAGCAATATGGATGTCGAAGTTGATGTAAACGTCGGAAGTGAGAAGAAAGTACAAAAAGGAAAAGCACGAAACGGCAAGGAAGGAGAGGATGTAGAAGAAGAAGAAGAAGAAGAAGAAGAAGAAGAAGAGGAGGAAGAAGAAGAAGAAGAAGAAGAAGAAGAAGAAGAAGAAGAAGAAGAAGAAGAAGAAGAAGAAGAAGAGGAAGAAGAAGAAGAAGAAGAAGAAGAAGAAGAAGAAGAAGAAGAAGAAGAAGAAGAGGAAGAAGAAGAAGAAGAAGAAGAAGAAGAAGAAGAAGAAGAGGACTCAGCCGATGATTCTGAAAGTGGGGAAGATGAAAATTATATGGATATCGATCAAAATTGTGAAGATTTATCTAAAGAAGACCTAGAAAGAGCTATTGAAAAGCTAGAAAAACAGCAGAAAGTGTATAAATTTAATCTTAGTAAAATACACACTACCCTTAAAGGTTTACTCCTTGGGCAAGATCGCTATCGACGACGATATTGGGTATTCCATAATATACAGGGTATCTTAGTTGAAGGAATGTTAGAAATTGAACATGAAGATGTTGAGGTAGTCGACACAGAAACTGAATGTGAAGTTGCTAACATAAATGAAAATGTTGAACCTGTGACTGAAGTAGAAGACAGAAAGGAAGTTGCTACCGCGATTGATAACACGAAACATTCTACAGAATTAAAAGTTGATCCGAAGAAAGAGACTGTAAACAGAGCCAACAGTGATTGTGATACTAAACGTACCAATAAGATGAATTTGCAAAACCTTGAAAACATGCTTAAACAGAGAGAAGAAGAAGAAAAGCAGAAAACTGAATTAGAAAATGGGCAAAATAAAGATGTGAACCCAGAAGATGAAAATGCTGTATTTCACTGGTTTGACTTATTACCCAGATTACCATGCACACGGGGTTCCATTGTTGCTCCTGTAAAAATAGAAAGTAAGTGTCAAGTTGAAGACGAGATTGAAACGAAAGTGCAAGAAAAATTAGCGAAGTTGCAAGCGCCGAGAACAGCTGATCCAATCTTGAATGACAGTAATGTCGAAGACGAAATTGCGGTTGATATGTCGTTCTTGACGACGCTTACTCGTGAGGCTTTTGTTGAATTGTTGAAGCGTATCCCGGATCATAAGCGTCGAAAAGAGTTGCAAGATTTGCTAATTTTGCCATCTGCAAAAGAAATCAAGGGTATGGATTTAATTTACTAAGTAATTTATTATAGTACCATAGTACTTCTTCTTATTGTAAACTAAAGTAGTAGTGAAACAGATGTTGATGTAACTTGATACATTTTTTGTATCAATTTCATAACCATTAATTGCTAATGCTATCACTGTAAATTATGATATTCCAGCTGCAGTTGCGGCCAAATTAGGATTGGAGGAGAAAATGATAACTGTTGATGATTTAGAAAAACGAAAAGCGCAAAGTATTCCTAATTGTAAGCCTAAATTAGACGAATCGATTAAACGCGTCTATTTTCTATTTTTAAAAGCTATACCTTTCATTGCTTTAGATTTTCAAAATAAATGGTGGCATGTGAAAGACCTGAAAGAAATTAAAACCTTAATTAAGTCACTCAACCCTCGGTATGATTTATAGTGTCTATTTACTACTCTCGCTTATGCTTTGCCATCGTAACTTTAGATTTTCTCAACTTGCTAATTTTAGCGGCGTAAGGGAGCGACAACTTATTAAATCATTGACGAAGTATAGCGAAAATTTTAACGATGTGGATGGTAACGCTGATGCAGGTAGCTTGTCAGCTTTAGAAATCATCGTCGTTATGAAAATGAAATTAATCTTCTATTACTGTAGCACTTATTAATGCTTACATCTTTTGATGGACTCGTTATAAATTATAGCGATAGGACTGATTACGATTGATGGCGAAGACGATATGGAATGTAATTATAGTCATGGAATCGAAGCAGAATTTCCTGAACAGAGGTTCAAAGCTGAGATTGCATTGTTACAGGAAATCGAAAATATGGAGGAGAAGGTGTCTTCGGCTAGCCTGCAAGTTAAGGTGATGATACATGCATTAAACATTCGACTTTGCTAAGATTAAACAAACTTCAGTAACATAATACTCTGATTTAGGGATGGAAAGCTCCATCAAAGGCATCCAAAAGTCTACGTTTTAATAATACTGGTTAGCTTTTAGCAGAGAAATAACCAATTGAATAAGCTTGCTTTTTATCACGCACTTTACTGTACTGATCATATGTTTATGTAATGCCTTCAGATGTTCAGCCCCTGGAAATAGCGCGAGAACGCTTGCAAGCTTTAGAAGCAGCGCTAGAAAGACGCTACGTGAAACCGCCCCTAAAAGAAAGGTAAGATATGAACATCTGTAAAGTGCGGATATGTACTTGTATGATGGACATATATTAACGACATACTTTTTAAGTAGTAAAGCCAATAACCAGAGTAATAGCGGAAGTGTAAATGGTGATGAGCCAGTGGACGACAATAGTGAACGGTAATTGTAAAATCTATCAGTGTATGGATTTTAAGGATACTGATCTGCGATTACTAAATTTTATTTTTTAATTCTCATGATTCGTTGTAGGAGTGATAGTGGAAAATCTGATATCAGTCCAGGACTACATAATTGGCGTGAAGCGGTCGTTTCTGCCACGTCTGCGGCACAATTAACGTTGTGTCAATTGCAACTCCATTCGTCGATAGCTTGGGAAAAATCTGTAATGAAAGTTGTACGTTTTTCTATATCATAAGGCAGCAATGTCTTGCTAACAAAAGGCATATCTAATCTCATAAAGAATACTCTCATTACTTACAGTTTTGTCAGATTTGCCGGAAAGGTGACAACGAGTCGCTCTTATTGTTATGTGATAAGTGTGATTGTGGTACTCATACCTATTGTTGTACAGTAAGTTGTTATAGTTACTCTCAATTTAATAATTTGTAATCAATGATAGTGTGTTTAAGCGGATATTGACGGGTCTGTACCTTTAAACTAGCCAAAGTTAACGTCCGTTCCGGAAGGGGATTGGTTTTGCCCGAAATGTGCTAGCGAGGTATAATACTTGATATAGTTTATTTAGGTATGAAATAATTAAAAATGATATTAATGTGATTCACAATTTCTTTTGTTTCTAGTGTGACAAAGATTACTGCTGTATTTGTGAGATCGATGACAACGAAAAAGCTATTGCTTGTGAAAGATGCAACTCTGTGTATCATTTGGCCTGTCTAGATCCTGTTATAAAACGGTATAATGATTTCATATTAGAGTTAGGTATGCCAAATTGTTATTTTATTAAATTTTGTCAATACCTTGGCTACATATTGCAGATATCCGAAAACTGGTTGGTATTGTCGCGACTGTCGAAAGGTTGTAAATATAATATTTAAGTTAAAATCGTTCGTAATAACTATGGCTGATTTATTTATCTATGTAGTTATAGCAGCATATAATGTAATGTCTATTGTAATATTATTTTTGACAGCGTATTTATAAGAGACAACCTAAGAAAGGATACGTTATGAATGAATCTGATATGGAGGATGAAGATAGTGATACGGAAGATAGCAAATTATCTACCAGAAATTTTGGCGTCTGTAGAATTATTTTAAATGAGTTAGAGCAACATGAAGATGGTTGGCCGTTTAATGAACCAGTTAGCGATAAAGATGTTAGTGAGGCGATAGCAGTATATAAAAATCTTCAATCTTGTTAGTTAAAAAGATACTTATTTTTTCGTAGTGTCCAACGTATCATGAAGTTATATCGAATCCAATGGACTTGCGTACAATGAAGAATAAATTGCGTGATTTGCAGTGAGTTTATTTACACTGTTAATTCTGTTAAGTTAAGGAATCACTGGAAAGTAAATTAACGCGATACATGCGTATGCATTTGTTTTAGGTATTCTTCACACAGTGATTTCCTTGTAGATATCGGTTTAATCTTTAGTAATTGCAAGTTATTTAACGAAGATGATTCTGAGGTATTGTAATTCACTGTACAGTAGTACATAGCCCTGGTTATAGCTTTATTTAGAAAAGAACTAAATTATTGTTTTTGCTTGCCGTACAATTTTCATTCTTAAGGTTGGTATAGCTGGTCAGAACTTATCGAAATTTTTTGAAGAGCGCTGGGCTGAATTATGTAAAGATGTATAATAGTATTACAGCAAAGGATGACACGATGACATAACATGCGATAATGATAGTACTAGCCAATAATAACTATAAATGGTAAATCTGTGTGACAGCTTAAGCTAGAAAGCTGTACTTGGTATGATTTTGCCGTTTTTTACTTTAAATTTTACGGATAATAGTTCAAGCGTATTATTAATATGTTATTTTATTATAAACTACGTATTTGATGTTGCACTAATTGGATGAAGTTGTATTGTATTGTATATCAGCCGCAGTAGAATTTGTGTAATCTGTATAATTGTAGCCATCTATTAATAGAGAATACGCTATTGCTGTATGTTCGCTTTACTAGTTTATCAAACCTTTTATTCTATAATTTGATAATATCTATAATCCTGTCCGATATACGAAACGGCGAATAATTTATTAATGCGATTCATGTTTGTTTAAATCGAATGTGAAATGCAAGATTGTACCAATTTTCTTGCTCTTAAAAATCCCTAAAAATATTTGACAAATTTTTTACAAGCAAGTCGAACAAGTCATATATGGTATATGGTTATTTCTAAAATTTCGCAAACACCTTATGGTAACATAAAATACTGCTAATAGTTTAAACTGTTATCGTAGTAGCCAACAAAGGACTACTCTAGAGTAGCTTGCATAATCCCTTATGCTTTATGATGATAGCTTGTGATAGTGGTTCACTTTTGATGGGTAATTATTATATTTGCAGTTGTGCTTGTTATGCGAAGTACGCGTATATTTGCTGGCTTTACCTACGACGTAGACTTTTCTTAGCGTACAGGAAATTATGCATAACTTATATCCGGTGTAATATTATTTGTATTTTCACCCGGATGTACGTATTTTCATCTAGTCATTTAAATCCTATCATTTGTGCAAGGTACGAAATTATAAAGTAGGAAGGATATTTCATTTTGTTCTTTTGTGTATAGTATTTTTTTGTTCTAACTCTTAAATTACTGTTATGGTGCACAAACGATTTCGTTATTGCTGTTGTATCATACAAGTCGTTAATCAAATCGAATTTGTTCTTTATGGTGCAGACGACTAAAAATAAACATTTGGCCGTGACATATTTAATTATTGTACTGTAGCGAAGATATTGAACTAGTTGTATATACTACGCCTGCATACTGTACTGTATATTAAATTAAACTAAATACGATGTTAGCAATAGAGGCAAGGAAATCCTCATTTGCCGCGCACAGCAGTAAATTTTAATTATAACTCGAACATTTTTTCAATTCGATTACTCTATATTTGTGTATCAGTTAAAAGAAAATCCTTTCATGATGATCAAAGTAAGTTTAGGCACAACTGGATATTCAGTGAACCTGCGTGTATGATTGATTGACATATACTGTACAATGATGGACATCTCACAATTTTAAGTAGACGTCAGGGGTAAATTTATCACCATAAAAGAAAATGATAGCTACTAAAAGATAAGTTGAAGTTAAAAATTTATTGAAAATCGTGGCTACAGATTAGTAAGTTATTATTAACACTAGGATCATGATAGTTAATTCTCTTCATCTTCGGAATCTGATTCTGAAAAATATGAAGTAGAAAAATTTAAGAACTATTCTAGCGAAAAATGTAAGAGTAGAATCATAATGCAATGTAATAACCTTCTTCAGCATTTTTTAACCATTCAACCATATCTTTCATCTGTTGTAAGAACACACTTTTCCCTTTCGGTGAATGCGCTTCGTTATACCATTTTAAAATGGTATCTTCACTTAGAACATCAGCTGAGGTAAAAATTAGTAACTAGTTTTAGTTGAGTTAAAAGTGCATAGTTATTCTCATTAATGTTTACCAAAGAATTGAACGATACCTTTATAGAAACGCAGCACGATTTTATGAAAAACTTTAAGGAAGTTCATGTTATCATAACAAAAGTCCTGTTATCAAATTTATGAGAATGGGGAAGATTAATCACAGATATCTATCTATATTACAATTATTGTACTGTATAGTCAGTCTATTCAGTGTTTACATTTACCTGAACGCGGACAATAAGCGTTAACTCTGATCTTCCCTTCGTAGAAAATGCTTCGAATAACGGTGTGTAAGGCTATAAATAAGGAAACAATGCACAGTAGTCATGTAGTTATATCTGAGATCAATCAAACAGTTGTCAATAAGAGAAGATTTTGTTAATAAAATTACTCTCAAATGTCGCAAAGATTGCTCAGCAATCAAATCTTCTTTTTTACTCCATTCCATAGCTCCCATAACTGTATCCCAGATCTGTGCGGATAAGATAGTACGATATTCTATTAAAATTTTGTTGTAAATGCCACAACTAAATACGAAAAAATAACTAGAAATTTTATACCTTTCTAATCACAGTGACATAAAAATGAATACTTACGATAACAACAACATTGTGTTCTTTAAGAGAGTATGATTTCATATCTTCTTTAGTGTTCGCTATCATCTACATGGCATTAAAATAACATATAGCAAATATTTTAAATAATGCGTCCCCAATGAAATAACTCTACTACGCCACAAATACTAGATAGCTATAAATTACGCACTTCTTTAACATTTGACCCACTTTCCATTTGTTCTTGTAAATTCTTTTGCAACTTCTTCTTTGATACCGCAATTTGACGATGGCGCTATCAAGTAGATTTAATTTAAGCAGTAAGTGAATAAAGAAATCTAATAATACGGTAACTAATTCTGCAAGGTATAGCAGAATTATTTAGATGTCTCTAATATCTGAGTATTACTTCAAAATCAACAAGTTGTTCGAGTCCGACTCCATTAAAGTATCCTTCGAAATGCTCCATTGATCGTTTGTTGAACGGAAATAACTCCTGTAATTGAAAATTTAAATTTTATAGGTGAAAAATAAAGGGAAGGAAAGAAATCTACTTACAAGCAATTTACTATCTTGGTGTGATTTTTTTAATGCCGAACTGATATTAGATATGTCTCTTTCTTTTAGCCATGAAGTAAACATTAACGTTGCAAATTCCAACGATAGGCCTGCAAAATGAAGGTACTATAGTTACAAGTATTATAGTTTCTTAAATATCAAATCTAATATAAATTAAATTCTTAACTTAAACCAGATACCAAGTTTAAAATTAAGCCCTATATGATAACTTACCATCTCGAACAAGAATATCATTGGTAAATAAGCTAGTAAAAACACTCGGTGTTACTATCCCTACGTTGTACAATTAAATAAACAATTATTACAATGGTTGCCTTTATTACGATGGTAAGTTAAACAATAGTAATAATTCATGAATACTGTAGCACCGCAACCATGTCTAATTATAAGATAAGCAGAAAGGTTATACGCGTAAAGCCAAGCTTTACCATTAGCTAGAAGGTGTCCTGTTATGATGGCTAATTTTTTTCGTTGCGGTTCAGTAAAATTCTTGATAAAACCAATAACTTTGGTAGTCTCTTCTTCCAGACTCTTCTTTAGGTATAAGTAACGTCTTAATAACTTGTTGAATATCTGATAAAAATAAAACGCGAGTTAGTTTAAAATTATATTCTATCTGCCACATGATTTTATGACAGATTCATTGCCATATCATCGTCATGTTTGTTAACGTACCTGGAGGAAAGCTCTTAATCCTTCATGGCTTTCTTCAGCTTCGAATACACAAATGTTTGTATAGATCGAACCTTTCGATTTATCCCCTTCATCTTGTAGTGTACCACCGGGCGCTGCAAATTTAACAGTACAGAAATCAGGTATGAATATGATGACAGAAGACGGCTACTTATTTAGATTTTTAAAATAATTAAACATACTATGCTTATATTATATCAAGATATGGTCATATTATTGACGACGATGTATATCAAGTATTAAGAATTACCTAGAACACCACCAGCAAATAAGATATCAAAAAGTGTTTCTGCATATCGTCGATAGTCTAATTTGCCGCCAGCACCATCCAGAAAACGTTCCACCTGATCAAAGTCAGATTCGCATTCGTTTAGACCGGTAATTATAGCGTCGCGAAATGTACTAGGATCAAATTTCTCTTTTTCATCTGTAAATAGTGATAAAAGACATGACGAAGTTATTATTAAAATTTATACTATAAATTACCGAAAAATCGCGGAAAATTTATAAAATGAACCATTGATAACGTTATAGCCCCTGTAACATTAGTGGATCAGTGCATATATCACGGGTCAAGTATGAATGTCAAATGTATGTATGCGTACATACATTTGACATTTATATTTCTATAAGTTGAAGAATATTAATGTAATGAATGAGTATGCCAGTCACTGGTCCACCATGAAATCGTTAGTATATTCATATTTAACAGTATTGAAATTTAACGTACATTTATTCGCTATCATACAGTTTAATCGTTAACTAGTGAAAATGATCAGTTATATATCCTGCATGTTTACTTGCCTCTTTTTCGTGCTTTAATGCGCACGCCCGTTAAGGAAGGTTTTGGTTGCTTCTGACTCATAAACTAAGCTGACTTGAAAAAACAATCAAGAGTTAATATATCCAGAAGCTGCGATCACATTCAAAATAGTAATTTAGGCCACAGAATATCGATTACTATTTTCTTTGATGCATGTATAAATACACATATGCAACTTGTATGGTTTCGATTATTTGTTGTAGATAATTCAGAGACTCAGTAGAAGTTAATAAATTTATGTTGGAATATAAGAACACGTGCTCTATATTACACACTTATTGTACCTACTATAAATTGGTGTCGAATCAAGAGCGTAAAATATACCCTTAAGCCATATTAAACGTGGTTAAATTTTGTGCCCGTAGTATAAGAAAGGATCGCTTTTTAATTTGTAATATATCATGATAATTTTTTAAGATACATTTTTGCTAATACACAAAGGTATTGAAGACATACTGTACAATGTATATTGATGGCAAAAGCATGCGAAGTACTGTAAATTGTTCGTTAGAAAAATGATGACAGATTCATTTTGTTGATAATTTAAGTTAGGATTAGATACAGTAGGTGTCAAGACTTTCACAAATTGTCATAAGTTAGAAAGTAGAAAGTTTAAATATTGGTCACCCTTGATATTGGCAAACGGAATTAGTTATTTGAACGACAGCATCTACTACGTTAGAGCATCGGAGAAGGTCACGAGGAGCATAACCCATTAAAAATAATTTTTAGCCTTATAGCAAGATCTGTCAAAATAGTTCAGAATTTGATTTCTAATTCATTTGCATAGTAATTTGTTTCAGATTCAAAGTTAGTTAATTTATACAAACTGTACGAGCGCAACTACTGATAAAAGTGATTAGATGAAAGGAGGAGGTAATCAAATCCAATACTGTAGCCGAGTTTAGTATTGCAGTGAACATCTTCAATTTTGTCAACGAAAAAATTAAAAATTTGCGTATGTACAGTATGTCTTTCTTAATTCTGCTAGCTTGAAATTGGTACAAGAGACTAAACTTTGAGTGCTAGCTCCGGTAGTAGACTGATAATAGCCTATAGGTAGTTTTGTTTCATCTAGTAACAATAATTAATTAGACAACCATTATACTGTAGTACAGCATTGAAACTACTTTTATTACCCTAAAAAAACAGATCACTGCAGTCCGTGAACCGTGTAGTAATGTATTCTATGAGGATTCATTTGTATTTTCACAGAATTGAACACTGTACAGCTGAAAATTTTATTATTATTACAGCATTGAAACTACTTTTATTACCCTAAAAAAAACAGATCATTGCAGTCCGTGAACCGTGCAGTAATGTGTTCTATGAGGATTCATTTGTATTTTCATAGAATTGAATACTGTACAGCTGAAAATTTTATTATTATTACAGCATTGAAACTACTTTTATTACCCTAAAAAAACAGATCACTGTAGTACTGTGTTCTATGAGGATTCATTTGTATTTTCATAGAATTGAATACTGTACAGTTGAAAATTTTATTATTATTGTTCAATTTGGTGTTTATTCTGAATTACTTTTACCTGTCAAAAATCTTGAAGCTATTATTTAAAGTTACAGTTTTAACATTACAGTTAAAGTTTCGGGCAGCTTGAAAATTGATTCAATGTGCTCATAAACATATACGGAAAGATCAATGATGAGGGTAATGACTGCTTTCATCATTGTAGAAAGTAACATCGCTCATTCCTTTCATGTTTCAAATAGTTGCAAATAATGACACAGAGATGATAGCATCCAAAATAACACTTTTCTTCAATAGTCTACTACCTGAATTTTTCTACAATCTATAGTTGAATAGGTCATTGCAATGCTCTTCCACGTTTACTTAGTTTACACGTATATCAATCTGCGGATGTAATTAGATTAGCATGATTTAGGAGTATAGTACCGTAAAATAACTACAATATCGAAACTATAGATCAAGATCGAATGGCATCATCCACTCATCTCTCATGTACACTGTGCAGTATGTGTCAATGAATAAACACCATTTCGATGCTATACTGAGTATGATGCCGACAGAAATAATGATGGCTGCTACATTGATCAATTTCTATCCATTGATCTTTCTGGTAGTCTAGCTCTGTTCAACATGGAAACTACACGTGTTGATATGGGTACAATTGTCAAACAGTGATGGTGTTGTCACTACTGTAACGTCACTCTTGTATTGGTACCTTTACAGCTATAGTATCAAATTTGCCAGGGTAGCCATCATCAAGTGCGCTGAATCGATCTTTATGGTGGGTTTAAAGTTGTAAGAGTAAATTATGACCATTTTACTAATTGTACGAGTTTAAAAAGAATTATTCTGGCAGTAATCAAGTGGCGAAGCTGATTTCATTTGGTGCTGTATTGGCTTTTTTTTTTAACAAGGAAAGGCGAGTTAGCAGTAAATCTACCAAAGGCAGACAGTTGGCTCTATTCCAGTCTATAGCGTGTGAGCGAGTTTCAACAGTCGCTAGCAAAGGCAATTTGGTTCTTGTTATGGATAGTCATGCTTTGGAAAGAGTTGGATAAAGTAAGATAACGAAGGAATAAAGTGAAAACATGTTTTCTAATCCTTTACTACTACACACTACAGGATATTCTTGCACTTGTCCTATCGCGTCTACACTGTAAGCGATTTGATTTGGACATTTCACTGACGCTTGAAAGATGGAGAGTGAAAATAGTACGGATTTCATGGCATAAGTGAAGCCATTTTAGCGTATTTTTATCACTCAATCAGTATTTTAACTTTAAGTTTAGAAATTCAATGTAGAGCATACTCTCAATCCAACAAATTTAATGGATTACATTGGGTTGAACATTGGCTCAATGACAGTCCAAAAATTGCAAAAGAAAAATTTTACCTTTCTTCTTCTTGCACAAATCGGTCGGTACCAACGTACTGTATGAAGTGAGTGATTGAGGATAGAAAGGCTTGGTGGTGTAGTCGTTGATAGGGTTCGTCTTTCACTGCACCGTGGTGTACTGACCGGTACTGTCGAGTGAAGTGTGGTGCAGCACACACAGTAGTGTGACGGTGCAGTACAGTACAGTACAGTACAATAGGCAATCTACAGTACACAAAGGACTACAGTGTATAGTCTACAGTACTCTGCTGTAGACTCTGCATGAACAGGGAACAGGAGTAACTGTACCATACTAACTACGGTATTTTACTACGAAGTTAACTGGCTAAGTACTGTATTGGTCAATAACCGGTATCCAACGGCTGACACTGGTATGATTGTGTTCTGATCGGATTCAATCTCACAGGATGGATGACTCACTAGACAAAAGAAGAAAGTCATTTCTATCCGATTACTACTGTGTACTACTGTCACACTACTACTGAGTGTGTAGTGTTCATAGAGGGTCTCTCGTGTGCACTTGCGCACTAAATGTGCACAAAGATTTGGACACACGAGTTGTACTGTACAGTACAACTCGTACAGTATGTAAAATCTTTGCTTCCCCTTGCTGTACTTACAGACTGTAATGTGTATATGGGGAAATTCGTAGCTTTAGCTATGAACTGGACTATTCATGATTTGAAAAGTGTGTTGTGTTTTAAAATTGAAAAGTTCAGATTGGAGTAGTTCAAACTCAAACGAATCGCTTGAATGAATGCAGTTGCACAGTATGATAGTATGGTGCACTGTGCTGAGTTTTGTTGGATAGATTTTATGGAGAGTATTGCTCCATGATTGCAGTCGGGTTACCGCGATAACGTGTGGTAGTGACAGCATGCATGCAGACTCGAAACCAGTGTACTTTTGCCGTATTACAATCTCTACAGTATACTGTAATCATGATGAAAGCGAGATTACTTTTACTGCATTAAGTGAACGATCTCCTTTCTGCTAGTGCTGGATGACCAGCTCGGATAGAGGAGACAACTGCAATTTTTCACATCAGGTTCCACCATTTGGCTTGGCAAGCGTGCTGCAGTTTCGCGCCATACTACAGCCTACGAGCAGCAATCACGTGCACGAGGCTTGAACCAGTACCATACCGTAATGAGTAAGTACTGTACTGTACAGTCTGCGCTAAATGCGCTGATTGTAGAGTGAAACTGAACTGACTGTGTCGCACTGAGTGACTGCACCTTCAGTTCAACTGGACTACTAGTTAGATCACATGATTCGATTCCAAGTGGACCAACTCGAGTCCGATATTCAAAGAGATCAGAGAGAGTTGATTTGATTTCGTATCCATGATACAATGTCTAGGAAAGAAATGCCTCCCGCTATCGTTAATAATTCACTTGCTAATAGTCCAATTGTCAAGTTAATGAGTCAAAATTTTAAAATCCGAGGTACTGCTTGTTGATAGTCTATCATGCGCATACCCCTTTTTGTAGCTGGTACTCCTTGGCGCATCCAACGTACACCTGTAGTGGTCAATTCTTACAGTAGTATTCTGAAAATTCAATGTGCCCATCTGAAATTCTCCATCTGTTACTTGCTGTAGCCTTGAAAAATTGTTTCTTTTAGCGAGTAGGAATTGCTCAATACTGGATTAAATCAGTAGTTTAAAAAGGGCTTTCAAGACATTCGTATCCATTTCTAAATTTCCTTTTAATGCTATACAGGAATTATTCCTCATAGGACGGAAAACAGTCTTACTTAATGTTATTAATTGTAATAATAATAATTATTATTAATTATAGGATCAATGCGTCTCTATATTAAAATGGATCACTAGATCTTAGACCACTACATCAAGTATCTAGTGGTCTAAGATATTGCAATCATATCTACTTGTCTATAGCATTCTGTATTGCAAATTTTAATGAAGAATAGACGCGTACATTCCATTTTTTTATTTTTGAATACTACTGTACAGTTATGACGCGTACAGCTGCTAGAGGTGGCATAATTACACTAGTATACATGTATTACAAATGAAGTAATTTCTAACCTACTCGCCTACCATTGCCTAGATCTATTTTGCATGTATGGTATATTGCTTAGACCAAGGACTTTGAAGTTGGTTCCACTTTTAATAATCTAATGTACGCGTACATTTTAAACATTCATTTAGCAGTTAGTGTAATGTAGCCATTGGACAAGTTGCAACTCCTGCACAATTTACACGTAATAGTTTGTTCTTTTTGAACAGGAAATAAGCTCATCAGTTAGTAACTATTGAATTGGATTTTTTCTCTTTTTTCACCATTTTTTATAGTTACTGCCGCAACTTTGGAAAATACGTGCATATTCTCCACGGCTTCTCTTGCTTTCATAATCTTTGAAGCAAATAAATTGCATTCTTCCGGACAAGGAAATGTCGCATTAGTTGATAGCCAAATTGTTACTTTGTTAGTATTATTATTACGAATGATAATTGTATCAATTAATGGCAAATCATGTCTATGTAATTGCTCTAACAAGCCATAATCTCTCTCACACTCTTTCAACTCTTATATACGCTTCGTAAATAACATGAGATATTCTGCATAGGTAAATAGGCAAAGAAATCATCATAATTGATCAAACAACCATTCTCGTACATAAATAGGATACATAGAATAAGCAGCAACTAGTTGATAAAATACTTACAAATAATCCAATTTATTATTGGTGAATAGGTATGAGTTATAATTAATAGGTGGAATCGTATAATGCAGTATATTGATATACCCGTAGGATCGATAGATTTAGCAAACAATTGAAGAACGCCTACATGATTATACTGACTGGAAATCAGTTGAAGCAAACAGAAATGCAAGCCATAAATCAATTACAACATCGGTAAGTAGGAATATATAAACCATTAATTAATTATTTATCAACTAACGAGAAGAATGGTGCAGCTGACACTTCCTTTATGAAATATCGAATTATTTACTTCTGACTTTCATAGTCACAGCACTATAAGTAAGGCTTTGGCACAGTTTACAGCCTCTATTCTTATCTCTTAAAGATATGTATATATTCTATTCCATACCTTTTGACAGATTTCTAACTTCTGAAATGAAGATGATGTTATTGCAATATGACTTAGATTGTATACGAAATATGAACTACATGGTTCAGGTAAATAGATTTCGTAATTTATCCTAAACCTTGAGTGGATCACTGCTGAAATCTCCAAGGGTTAGAAAGAAAATAAATGAATTTCTTTCTATATATCAGCCAAATATAAAGCAAGTAATGTTATGCTTACTTGCCTATTTGATGGTATTTTATAACATACCGTTAAACTAGTATCTACGTACAATTTCTGCTTCTTAACATGATATGAATGATGGCCGTTTACAAAATAGAATTGTAGGCTTGTGCTTCTGATTTTGTGAACTATATCACTTAATTTCAAAGCATTTATCCTTGTTGTTGAACGCGTGTAGAGATTAACCTTTATACAACATAATTATGTCATGGATATGTGACGAAAATTCAGCATTTTTTTAAGAAAATGATATCACAATAATGGACTGTCTTGAACCATTAGAATACCATCAACAGGACTTTAACCGAAAACTGTATAATCCAATCCTTAAATCGTAGTGAAGATATGGAAACTGTATACCAAATTTTGTCATCAGTTGGACTGAACGATTATGATATCCTTATTTACCTGTGTGATGGTATTATAAATTAGTGTACTGTACTATGTTACTGATGATCTCTACATAGTTATATAGATATTGTAATTTTTGTGCATAAGTTGCTAGTTTACTGTATACTAAATTTATGTCAGTGTTTGACTTCAATTTAATGCGTTATTCCTTGATTTACTATCTACAAAGTCATCAAGTCCTAATTCATTATGGTACGATAGCCAGTGTTGCTTTGGCTAATACTCAACAATTGATGGACTGCAACTTAAGCTTTGAAACTGCCAGCAAAGTTATTTCGTTTTTCTCTGATTAAAACATTGATAAGTTTATTCATTTATTTAGTTGTCCGTTAATATTTATTCAACAAAGATAGTTGTTAATCATGCTGGAATAGAACCGAACAAAGGTGTTACTGATTATTACTGAAACAAAATATAAACCAATTTGCTGCTTCTTGTAGTGTACTCGCAATGCATAGACTGAATCAGTACAGTCGCCTATAATTAAAAATGTAATCGCTGAAATAATCAATCCATTTGTATAAGTTAATAAATAATAAATAAATATAGTTATATATGGTTATATCGCTCGAGACTAGAGATTTCATCATCCCATTAATCAGTCACAAAATCCTGTGTCGGATAGAAGAAATTTTGTACACAGATACACTGTAAATTCTATAACATTAGAAATTATTCTACATAAATTTACGAGCGCTCATCATAACCATTATCACGGCAAATTAAGTCATAATTGATTCAAGATAAATTTTTCAAAGTGATTAAAATAAAAGCTATACAGTTAAAGAGTAAGATAGCAAAAATTAGAAAAAATTTGAACCATTTATAGATAATTAATTTACATTAAAGATTTGCTTACGCACATTGAAATAATTACAACAGTAAAAGATGATGTCCAAAATAGAGCTCGGAAGATCACCAATTGTAATTTGTGAAGCGCTTTTTGAACGACATTAAATACAAAAAGGTAACATGATATTAAAAACAAGAAACTACTTCTATACAATGTGAATCAACACAATTTCTTAATCCATTAGATGTCATAACTACAATAATAAAATAAATGTTAGGAAATCTCGAATCCTTTTTGAATAGTTTATTGTATCTCAGTCCAATTTCAGGCCGGCACGTTTATCAAATTTTTTATAGAAGGATGCTAGTTGCAAACGAGAATATAAGGCTTTCCGAACGGAAACTGTAATTTGGGTTACCAAGCAGAAAGCTGTAGCTCCCTCAAATAGAAGATTGTAACAGAAAGTCAATGTGACATTTTTCAACCAGTCGAATTGACCAAATTCTCCAAGTAGATCAAATTTGGTAATGCCTAGTTAATTTGAAGACGTCAAAAATTGCATAAAAGCGTATCCTAAATGCAAGCTATTACTACTCGCTTGAATGTTTCCAATATTTAATCAGATTCAAATTTTACCTAAAATTTTTGATAGTAGCGGCAGAGCAGAGCTTAGTATGAGCAAGACGATACAGTTTGCAATGATCTATTAAAATCCAGGACGCCGCATTGAGATATGTATACGTTATTTACATGTGATCGCATAGCATTCATTTAAAAAACATCGTAATAAATGCATAACTTACAATTGGCATAGACGAATCCTTTTTCTGAGGAATCATTTGATTGAAAGGAAAGATATTATACAAGCCAACCAATGATGCAGCCATGATATAGCTTAGCAAATTTATTAAGACAAATTAAATCTTAATATATTTTATATATTTTAAAAGCATTATGAACAAAATATTGGATAATTTTATAACTATTTATTAGAAATCGGATACAATATTATCAGCATTTGTAAAAAGACGCCAATGAATCCAAGTTTAGAGTAAGAAACTTCCCCAATAGTGTACTGCATGTGTAAAGTTTATAAAAAAAACAGTTTTCGATTATCTTGCATACTCAGTTGGGCAAGTTAGTTGAGATACTTATTATCGTAACTGTTGATTTAAAATCACCTTAGGTTTGTTTCCTACCGTCTCGGTACGAAGGACTAATTCGAGACAATGTAAACCTACCATTAACATTGATATTGCCTATAAAGAAGAAATCCAACAGGAATTATAATAATATAGTTGTCATATGTGAACTGCTATTTAGAAAGTCAATAATCAATTACTGTTAGAACTAATAAAATAAGTAGGCAGAAAGGGTAAACTAGGTTTCTTTGTAGAGGTGATGCTTCTTGTTTCCTTTCTGTTTATTTACAATAAAATTTAATAACGTATATAAGTACTTTCTACACTTATAATAGTTGATATCGGAGCAATTGCATTTCTTATCATATCTATGTTTTGTACTACCGAGTTCCATGCGATATTTTTGAGCAAGTTTGAATTCTTCTTCTAGTTCTGTTCGTAGGCCATCCGTAGCAGCTATTGATAATAGAGTTGGGTATATATTGTTTAACTAGACACTGTATAAACTACGTAAAGACATTGATGAAAACTTTATTCACGATGAAGCAGTTAGCGTACTTGAGTGTTTTCTACTTAGCGTCTCTTCTTTCAATTTCGCAATGTAAATTTCCTCATTTAGATTTTGAAAAAACTATTGAAACAAATTATGGTGGTTTATGTGAACGCCACGATCAACAACTCCTGTGCGAGTGCATATTACTTTCTTTTTAGAAATACCTGCGGCTTGACTACTAGCTGACCAAGGACGGAAAACATTTTACTTAGTCCAAGAGGGGTACAGACTAAAAGTAATCATTTTTAAGCGAGTATCATTGTTAGCAAATATATACATAGAGATTGAATGACACTTTAAAAACGCTTTGGTGTATTTAATTCGAATACCTAAAAGGGTCATCACACCTAGCGAAGCCAGCCCAGAATACAGGTGGGGTAGATAACCCCAAATATCTAAAAGTCGTATTAGAAAAGATTTGGCATATTTCGTCTAATTAAAAGGATTTTTGTGTCAGTATGATAATTGAACAGTGATATTAAGTTATTCAATACAAATATGTAAACTGGACTAGTTCAGCTAAAAAGTAAGTTACCTGGAATATAATGTGATTCACTTTTACTATTCCAACCAAATGTAGATAAAATCACCCAAACAAATGAGAGCAGCATTCCCGTAAGCAAGATTAGGATGATGAATGCCTCTAAAGCTCTGGCTTTCAAGCCCTATTAAAATACTCAATATTAGAATTTTACTCGACAGTATAAGACACTTTGCAATTATTGATGGTAAACCTTTCTAGAACCGCTAAATCCCTCAGATTCAGTGAAAAAGTAAGCGAACGGCATAAGAAATAGTAAGGAAGTATTGGATGCAAAAAAAATTTTTTTCCATAATCCTATTTTAGTGAAGTAATAGCGTATCAGTAACATGCGTGATTGTTCTGTGTGTTAAACATTAGAAAAGCAGAAGTACCCACATGCCTTTTAATAATGATTATTGTTTACTGTCAATACTGTAATAGTTATTATCATAATTACAGGATAGGAAATAGATATTAAGAGCTACAATACTAGGGAAGTGCAATTTACTTATCATACCATAAATTAACGAAGTATTCAACCACTTCACGTAGTAACTATTTGGTAAAGCCAGTAGTACTTCGTTGCTCAATATTGTGACTGGCAATAAGAGAACAGCACCAATAGCAGTCGATAATGTGAACGTGCATAGCCATAGCCTTAAATACAATTAATCAATAAAATTGAATGTTAATCTTCAAAGCAACTCTATCTACAGTATATAGGATGTCATTACAAATAATATTTGCATCGTAAGTCTAATCTTCTGTTGTTTGCATAATAAAGTCTAATGAAGTTGTAATGTCAACATTGGCGAAATGACGGCTAACATACACGTTGGTAGACTATTTCATTCTATCTGATCCAATTTTTCGTATCATTATTCATGCGTGTGGTTATGATATTAAGAACTACACAGTAATTATTTCTTTCATATTAACATATTAAAAGAGATATCTAAAATGTTGCTAGATGATATATTAGAATACTAATTGATAAAATAAAATAGTGCAAGGCTAAACATTAATTGAACGTCATATAATAACATGGTGAAACAAAAAATTTTAATTGCTTCTTTTATCAGTCTTACGCGATGCGATTGACAACAGCATCTTCGTTATCTGCCAAGAAAGAATATATCAAAAGAAAATCAATTGGTAAAATATCCGTAAAAAGAATTACTGGTTGTAAACAAAAGAGTACTAGCTATTAATTCTCCAAACAGAATAGAAGTTAATCTAGTTATAACTTATACGTATTATGTAACAGGCTGGCTACATTCTAAGGAAATATCTAGTGGACATTTACTAAAGTCTGCGATACATATCATTGGCAATTTGATACAATTTAAAGTATCTTCAAATAAATTGAATTACCAAGAATATCTTCGGTAGGCTCTCTTTTTCTAAAATGGGTTACGATAGCATAAGAAAGGACATAGATGATCAAGAATAGCAAAAGGGAAATCTGTGTAGTAATAAGATGAAATTGAAATTATTAGTTAATAAGGTAGTTACGATGCATACGTGTAAAGAATCAAGATAATATTGATTCTAATTATTAAAATTGAAGTCAAAGAAAGAAAAATTAGCAGCTGCAGTAGTAGTGGATAGACAGTACTGTACGTAGTCGATTTCACATGAGCCCAATGCTCCATTTATCTCTTTTGGATGTGTGTTTTTATAACTACAATATAGCTCTTATTTTCAAGTTTGTAGTAGAACATAGGTAGCGATTGATACATTATTATTATTATTATTAGTGTTACCGAGAGAAAAATAAGCTTTCTACATATACGATACAATATGCCTCCATGACTATATTTCAGTGTTACAGAAAACTGGCATCATCTTTTGGAGGCTGATGGCTATACGAGTATTTAAGCAGCAGTATACAATGCATTTCCTCTTACCACATATTCACGAATTAAGTTATAAAATTGCTCTTGATCGACATCAACTTCGGATTCCATATCATCATGAAGTAACGAGTTTGGTAACTGTAAAGAGAAATAAATAAGAAGACCGAACGAATTAAGAAGGGTATTGATGCAGTCTATATAATTAATGCACTATATTGAGATGTGTGGATGGTCGAAATGATGACCATGAGCGATTATTTGCTCATTATAAGATTATGCCAATGCTTGCTATGCAACTGAATTGTTTAGCATTCAGGTAGTGATTAGTGCAGCATGTTCAACATACATGAGAAGTATCTCAATAGCAAGTACTGTATGAAAGACTTGCAACTAGGCGTGCAATCCGTGCCATCCTTTCAACACTAACTTAATAATATTGAACAATAACAAAAATAATAATCCTTGATTGCTCTTTCTTGGCTACAGCAATTGTTGTAATTATTCAGGTTGACCATTGAATATAGGCAGAAATTTGAAAATAATTGAACAATATTGACCAACTATGCTATAATAGTTTGAAAAAATGACGATAAAAATAAATTATAGCTGTCCCCATTTGCATTATTTTATCAGAAATCAAGTTTGATCGAATGAACAAGTCCTTGGCAAAAGAAAGCAATCGCTTGGACTGTCGTTGGAGAAAGTGATCAACGAGTGGATGTCAAGTTCATTTTTTTTCTTTTCCAACATGTGACTATCATCATCGATCAATTATGGATGGAATGGGCAACCATGCTATTGGAAAGAGGCATTTTTGAAGCATATAGGAGTGGAAATGAGCCTTTTTTGCCGTCATGAAGAATAATGAATGTAATGATGAAGAAAAAGAATAATAATGATAATAATAATAATGATTTATGATCTTCAATGTGAATATTGGCGCACATTCCGTCCATGACGAAGTCGACCAAGGTAAAATTATGCGTAATACCTACGTAGAAGAAGGGAAATTTTCACTGTCTAGGCAACGTTGATGAAAGCTCGATCTCTGCCTGTGTAGAGTGATCGAGAAAAACCAGTTGCAAAGTGAATTATTACAAATAATTCCGGCCGGTTGCCATGTCAATAGGCTCCACTTGCAGTTGCGACTTCATCTTGCTTATGATGCTGACGCGTAGATAGGCCGTCAACGTTGGTAGCAATGAAAGCCAGTGATTGGCTATTGTTTTCGACGCTTTCCAAGAGTCATTATTAGGGATTGCAACCGGTGCCAAACTGGGCACCCGGGTACCCCCTTTCAAACCATCACTCTATCCAAATTGGCCCGGGGTATTTTACCCGCGTGTGGAAACACCAGGTGCAATCCCTAGTCAGTACAGTCGATATCAAGCGTAGTGTATCGGGTCTTGACTCACTCACTCTTCAACTTCATACTGGTAGGGGGCGTCGAGTTTGTACTAGTGTCCGTACAACTGGTTGACCAGTTTAGTACAGTTACTACAGTAGGGGTCCAGCTGTCTGTCGGTGGCTAGCTAGCTGTGTGCAGTGTCCACCACCAACAATAACAATTTGGCAGTAGAGAGTTGAAGATGGAAAGATGGGATGAGTTAAGAGCTTTGGGGATCAGAATCAGATGTAATCTACGAGTCGCTAAAGCTATTTCTTATAATTCGTCAGTGGTTTGATTTTTATGAGCTATAACATACAATAATCAACGATCACCTCAGTGTTCCAGCTCAGGTGAACTCGTACTGAAAATAGGGATGGTGTATCAATGATTCACTACAATACAGCGACCTTTATTGGTACATTTTTGTGTCGGGATCCCCAGAAGTTTGAAAACAGAGACTAGCAAAAGGGAGACGGGCGTCAAAAATGGCCCTTTCTATACTCCAGTTAGGCTGCTGAACCCAACCCTTGTAATGCACTTGCATTGTTAGCCAAAGCCTGCCAGGTTGATTTTCTACAATACAACGTATAACAACAGTACTATAATACAGTAAAACGACCATCCAATAGTCAGTTGTACCAAGAGAATAAATGGACTAGGCACTACTCAAAGTGCTTAGGCTTGAGGACGGTGGCGGGCCGGGCCAGGCCGATCCGATACCGTACCGTTCTCATGTACAGTGTACAGTGTCCGCTGTACAGTACATAGTACTGCTTATCTTGATGCAGGATACTGTACACACTGTACTGTACAGTATGGACTACTACTATCGATGCACATAATTTAGTAGTCGCTGGTTTGACACTATCTGTTGACTTACAGTATGAACTTATGTCGTAAAACGGCAAAGACCTTAAAAAGGATCTCTAGCGTACAGTCATGGACTACTGCGTTCAATCTTGCCGGTAAGATTCAGATTTACTCGGCTAAAAAGAGAGAAGGTATGGTATAGTACAGTACTGTACAGTAGAGAGTAACTGTACAGTGGACAGTATACTGTAGGATCATTAACAAATCTTGCATCACCTTTTGTCTTAGTACCTTACACAGTACAGTGTACGTACTGTACTGTACTGTAGTCAGAATCAGCTACCGTATTGTACGGTATCATGCCCATTCTGATCGGGAGATTGCGTAATACAAAGATTGCTGTTGAATGTGGTAAATGTGCTCGCCAAGCCCTTGTGGGACCAGTTGCTAGTACAGCTTCGGCTGCAGCCAGACAATTTAGTCGACAACTTCAGCAAAAGCATCTAGTAGTACTCTCTGATGCTCAGAATAATGATAGTCAATTAAGGCGGATAGTACAGTAATCGTTATGATTCAAGAATTCAACGGAATACACTGGAATTCAATCATTACAAAGTAACCATTTCAATATCATATCAATCAATATAGGACGAGAAATGAGCAGTTGGTTGATCTCCTTCTCCAAGCATGGCATGCGCTTGTGTAGATCAATGCCCAACGAATATCAGGTATGTCTGAAAGGAGAACTTTTTAGTTACCCTCATATTCTATCTTGAGTAGACCACAACTGTACTTTGATTGGAAAGAATTTTACTAGCAGTGAAGGTCTTGCATCTGCGACCATTCAAAAAATTACAGTTGTACAGTACATAGTATCGGTCCGTGTTGCACTGTTATCTACTATTCGAATACATCAATCCGTACGTATAGGTAGGTATAGCAGCTATCTTTGCGTTGTACAATCAATCAATCAATTATGATGATTGTGGCGAGCTGTGATTCAATCACAGCATAGAGTAACAACGATTGTAGACTATTCTCGTATTTCGTTATTCCCTTCGATCCCTTATTGAATTTATTGAGTATCAGCTTGTACAAGAACAGTCGTTAGAGTTATGATTAGTATAGAGGATCGATCATTATATGTGCACCACACAACATACGTGTACTCAATGGCCTGGTGTAATTGTTAAAATAATTACAATCAAACGATCAAGTCTTGTCTTCATATTCTTTTTCTATTCAATCTGTACAGAGCCACTATGGTCTAGCATGTTATGTCTTTAGCCGTACACTTGTAAATCGGTAAGTCTAGTAAAATGAATAAGAGACTCATGTTATGTTGCCCTCTCTGATGACAGCCACTGTAAAGTTGGATCAAAAAGTAGTGTGTCAATTAAATGGCGTTATGATGGGATACAAACGTAGATAGACACAAAAGCAAGTCAATCAGGAAATAAAGTCATCCAGGATTTATATTGTATATATACCAGTATGATTAATATCAAGTACTGTTGTATCAAAAATCCCCACTACTTGTACAAATTACTTGTGGCACTCTATTCAGTGAAGGATGGCATGACACTCGAGTTTCTAGGATCTGTGATTGTCACAATTATATCTTCTAGATATAATCTTACCAACTATACGCGTATATCAATTACAGATTGAGCAGCAATGCTCGAAAATATCAACAGCCGGACACTGGCTTTAATAGAGATTTAACAACTTTATTAACTAATATTCGTAAGGTTTGTACAAAAATATCCATTTGCATGAGTACTATGCTTACGTATTATATTGCTTTTATTACTCTTGTATTGAAATTCGAATGGAAACTTAACTGCAGTTGTGTTATCCTAGGAATTAGTGACTATGTTACCTCAACTGCGGGAAGTCAGTAACTATCTATTTGATGAACGTGGTAAACAAATTCGTCCAATGCTAGTTTATTTGACTGCAAGAGCTTGCAACTATCATACCGATCCAAAAAAAGAGAGGTAAAACGCTTCATAAAAGCTACCTTAAACTTTCCAGATCGAATCTATAAACTAGTTTCAACGGCACAGATCATTGAATGCATACGAGTATGTAGAGGATATACAAATGAATCGTGGGAACGATCATTTGTATGCTAGATTCAGTTTACAGAATATTTTACTCTGAATGGATAACAAAAATAAAGCTTGCAGTGATTGCTTGTACAATGAAGGAATAGAGCTATAATTGCTGTAGTAGTTTAGCAAATGAGTAATATAAGTGTAATAGTTGACAATGTTCTTTACTGCAATAATCATGTGTAATTTCTGACATTATACGCCTGCATATAATCTAGTGGACAAGTTGGTAAACGCTAATGACGTATATTTATTTATATTTTGGGGACAAGACCATTATAAATTTACTGTCTTTTCAGGAATGTATCATCACTGTAGTGTGTTTGTAGCATTACACTTTAGGCTACTGCAACAAGTAAATCATATCTACCAATTTGTGCTCTAAACTATAGCAAACTATGATGATACCAGTGAGATGCTAATATACTGTACATCTTATTTTATGATCATTCCAGTAAATTGACAGAAGGGCAGAGTGCTATTGGTGTAATTTCAGAAATGATTCATACAGCCAGTTTAATTCATGATGATGTCATCGATGCCGCCCATATTAGAAGAGGCAAACCAACCATCAATTCGGTATGGGGTCAAAAAAAGGTAAATACAGCTTTTCCCTTATAATGTATCGTAGTATTCTCCTTTGCTGATCGTTGATTTACTATATTAGACCTGTATTCAAGATCAAGCCTTTCTACTCCGCATAGTATTTTCAGATTACAACGATTTTTATCATTACTTCCTATTATTTCATATTATAGGCTATTTTAACCGGTGACTACATCTTATCAAGAGCTACTGTTGCCTTATCAAAGCTACGCAACGAAAGGGTTGTTATAGTACTATCACAAGTACTAGACGATCTTGTGCAAGGTTATAAAATAGCTATCACTCTGACATTTGAAATTAATTACTGGGATAGAATAGACGTGATGGTCTAAATTAATTCTTATATACGCGTACAATAACGATCGGTTTAGGTGAATTCATGCAGTTAGGATCTAAAGAGGATCGCGGCGAACGATTTAATCATTATATTAAAAAGACCTTTAGAAAAACCGCTAGTTTGATGGCTTGTAGTTGTAAAGCTGTAAGTTGGATTAATTAATCAATCAATTTATTGAGAATAATTTGGTTGAATTGCTGCATTAATCCTGTAGTAGGATATGATTATAAATTTAAGGCATTGCACTTAACGCATTGATGGCTGGTTGGTTCATAGATTATCATATTATGATTGCGTTCGCAGGTTGCCATACTAGCCGACCCCCTAAATCAATTCTTACATGATGTTGCTTTCAATTTTGGAATGCATTTTGGTATATCATTTCAGGTGAATATTTTTGATTCTTAAAATGTGATTTTAGATCATTTCAGATCTACCATTCTAATTTCAACACTGGACTTATTGGTGTACATTAAATTTATTAGTTAATAGACGATTTATTAGATTTTATCGCATCTGATGATGTTATGGGCAAGCCAACATCGACAGATCTCCGATTAGGATTAGCGACTGCTCCTGTGCTATATGCATGCGATCGGGTACTTTTAACTATTAGTATAATTTAATTATTTTTATGTCGTTGCTATTTCTTGTGCGACTGTTGATATTTGATTTTTGGTCGGTCAATATTGAAAAGTTAATTTTGGGGGAAAATTTTTAAATTATAGTTTCCAGAACTAGATGCTATGATTATGAGACGTTTTACTCAAAGCGGTGACGTACAGAGAGCTCGTGAAATAGTTGATCAGGTATTAATTAATTTATTTTGCATCTATCATAGGTAATACGGTGTCTGCTTTATGTGCATATTGTAATTAGGTAGATGTTAACGAAGGATCGCTCTAAATGCCTCGTAATATTAACTGTTTTCATTGAATGTTCTTATGTACAGAGCGATGGTATGGATCAAACTAAACGTCTAGCTTGCTTCCATCGTGATGAAGCAATCCGATTTATATCTCAATTAGGAGAATCAATGGAAAGAAATGCTTTAATTCAATTGTCCGACGACGTAGTTACCAGACATAAATAAAATATTTTATCATCTTTACCAATAAATTATTATGTATGAATGTATGAATTAATGTTTTAGATTGGCTAATGTACATAGATGGCTAATGTTATTATATGTGGAGTTGCTAGCCTGGATTGATAATAGACTTAATCAAGGTACCTTGGTACCTTCTTATGCGACGATTAAAAATTTACTTGGAGATCTTTTAATGAATCGCAGAAACCGAATCATTTGCTAAAAAAATTACCAAGCTTTAAGTTCCTCATTTCAGTTTCTCTCGGTTGTCAGCTTGTATGAATTATTAACGCGTCCGCTGTTACGATTGTCGTAAATCGATTGTTATAGCATTTTATTTAGTTCAATCTAGCAGTTACCGTATGGCAATAGTAATTAGGTTAAAATACTTTTGATTTTCACGGATAAGATACTGCAAAATTTTACTATTATAACTGAACAGAAAAGTCTATCATCAAATAATTCATATAATACACATTGGAATTATAATTTTGCTCAAGAAACAAATTGGTTGGCTTTAAACAGGTTTCTTGATATTATTGGATTATGTATGCCACACAGCTGAAAAAGTAGCCTGCGATCGGGTAGCAATAACCAGGTTGACGTGATAATACTAATGTCAATAACATCAACAGAACTGCTGATTGCAGAAAGAATATTATACCCCTAGATAGACGCAGTCATCGACCGTCTAGCTGGCGGCAGCCATGGTCATATGTGATTGATCGTTACCACTGGCAGTAGAATCGGGATTACCGAAGTTAGGTACAATCTTTCCACATATTCGCCAGGGCGAATTAGGCTTTGCGAGATGTCTCTCAAAAACGACATACTCCGTCGGCTGTTTATAACGATCTTCACTTCCAGTCAATAAACGGTTATATTGATCGTAAACTGCTAAAATCTATGCGTTTTGTATCGAATAAAATAGAGAATTAATCTTAAATTAGAATAAGATCCAAATTATTTCATTAAATCCGACACACTTGCATGTGTAGTACCACGTCTAAATATGGATTGTACATTTAATTCACCAACCTGTTTTAATTGTAACTTAACAGTGATTTGGGCAAACGTATTGGTCTTATCTTCCAAGGGTATAACTCTAATGTTAATAATACGTGGTGCAGAAGCAGTTCCTAAGCATTGCCACTTTATCTGTCTGTTCTTGAATGCACTCCTCAATTCCTTGTAAAGACAAGATGATATTATTGATACAGTCGGAAATGAATAATTTCTTATGGAAGAAATGTTTAATTTCTAAACTTACATGAAATGCTATTTCTGTTGTTAATGTATGTAATCTGGTTTTATCTTGGCTGGAGTATTAAGTATAAAACAAGTAAATTGATTACGCAACTTTTTTATTATGAGGTGAATAAAATGTGGTTACTTTATTAAAGTAAATACCTGGCTAAAGCTTCATTTGTGGCAATATATATTTTCTCAGCTTGCAGTTTAAAATCAGAGATATTGAAGGGTTTAGCCTTTCTTTTAATAACAGCCACGCTTTATACATCAAGATTGATCAAGAAATTGATATTAGCTGTGAATTAACATGAATTACTCAACCTTATGAATAATGATATTCATTCTAGTATAGATAACGGAAAGCATAAATGGAATTTATAATATGCAAAACGTACCAGTAGGTCGATTTTAGAAATGATTTAAATGCCTGCCATCTCTGCTTCAAGCCCTTTTAGCATTAAGAATTGAAAAGTACGCGTATGATTACTTACGCTTTTTACCAGGCATAACATGAGTACATTTAGTTATCAATACTGTCTACGTTACGAAAATTTGGCGTATTACAACATAAATTGCAGTGCTCTAATTGAGCGAAGGTCTTAGATGAATTAGTCAAGTATTCTATCTGATTTCTAATACAGACCGTTGGTGATAGGAAAAAGTTTTTCTTAGATAGAGGGATATAAGGATCAATAATTTGACCTAGTTATTAAAATAGGAGGCATACAGACAAGGAAATGCGCGTTATTAGCGAAGCAACAATATTAATATTGTATAAACTAATTTCCTTTAAGATGTATGAATTGATGATAGGTGGATCAGTTCTGAATCATAAAAACAATTAAAATAGCCTATGTCTATTCAATTCACCTAAGGTACTTATGACAAGAGGTCTTTTCTTGAGATTTCTTCTCGATTTACTTAGGCCACTGCGAAGGAATGCATCATCGATCATCTCCATTTGCTTGGCTTTGGCTTTGCGATTCTTATCAGAAACTGATGGATCTTTTTTAGTGTAAGCTGAAGATACTTTACTTCGATTTGGCAGTACCGTTGCAATTGCTAAGAACTGAGTTTGAGATGCCTTGGAAGCTGATGCTACAACGACCCCTCTTCTACTTTGTAATCGTAAAATAGTCTGCAAATTGAAAACGACAAAATACGATCTATTTAACTCCATTACTAACGAGAAATGTCCAAGTGCTTACTTCAATTTTGAGTCATGATTGAAAATTGAAGACCAGTAATCCTACTATTCTAGATAAGTACGAACATTCTAGTTGATGACAGTCATTTTAATACCTGCAATCTCGTAAATGTCGCCATTGATGTGGTTAATTTCAACCTTTTTCTTAGCTTGTATAAGTTAAATTAGAAGGATTCTGCAATCCAACTTAGCAGCAACGCATAAGTCAAGCCTGATCGTCGGCAGCACACTTTCCGTTTTGACTGTACCATCTGTACGCTGTCAGTCTACTCCGTACTGTCTGTACCCATGACTTGACGGTACCGTACCGTTACGTGTGAGGTTGATACTGGTACAGTACTGTACTGTACTGTACAGTACTGTAGTACAGTACAGGGTGTAGAAATTCGATCTAGATTTAAAAAAAACAGATAAAATGATCAAATCTTTAAGCAGATATACAGTTTTATGGGTTTTATTCGAAAATAAATCATAAAAATATTCACTGACTTACCTAAAAAGAAATTCTACACCTTGTATGTACAAAAGGCTACAGTACATAGAAAAGTAATACTGTACAGAATGAGCTTCGTACTGTACTATACATTGCCGTAAAATGGCGATTTTTAGAAGAATTAAGGGTACACTGTTCATCGTCCAAAAAAAACAGTGGAAGGCTAGTATTTCACTAAAATAAACTGCATAAACAAATTCACCAGACCTTCTTCTTTCTAAACGTTTAAAATTTTGAGAATTTTACTACAAAAATCTTCATAAAAGTATGCACCTATTTCTGTAGAAAGAAATTCTACACACTAGAGATTGAATTATACAAGTTATCCTAGCTCGACTACTGTAATCGATAATTATAATGAAATACATAAATTAGTCTATTTTCTTGTTCTGTAGCTCATAATAATTATAATTGTTCTGCTTATACGTATCGCCACGGATAACAAAAGCTTTTCAATCCGTTTACACTTGTCATCATTATGTATATCGTCGATATACGTACGCCTATCTATAAGCGTACGGTATATATTCTTGTGACAAGGATACATCAGACGCACTCGTATTTCCCTGGTCTTCTTTTATTGTAAAGTATTCTTCACGATCATTACTTCGTGATAACTATAAACCTTTTACTCAAACTTCACATCAAGGCAAATATAGACCGTCTCCTTACGCGTAAGCAATAAATTAATCATGATTAAACTTTTATTTCTTTGTGCATTAAATTAAGATTCAATACTGTTAACACGTTTCTTATGCAACTCTATTTGCGCAAACCATGAAACACCGGTCATATCATCCGAGGCTGATAACATACTCGTATTACTACTTTATGTCGAAATTAAAGAGCCTACTGTCACCATAGAACACTAATTAATATTATCCAATTAATACAGTACATAGTCTTATTATATCATATGCAAACACTCACCATAATAGGTATTAATCTAACTCTAGAAATATACATCTGTTATATTATCTAAACATAGTATATGTTGCAGCTATTTCTAGCATAAACAGAACCATTTCTATAGGATCTCTGGTGGATTGAGTCAAGGACTACTAGAAGAAGATCTAAGATCTATCAGTCATTAACTAAGTCCTACCTCTATGGTAGCACTGGCAGGCAGTACTGTTACAAATTTCAATTCAAAATCAGAACAGAATTAAAATTACAACCAGGGCTAAACACGATAAGTCTACTGTCAGCTTTGTCCTTCCCAACATCTACCTATCGTTAGGGGGAGCAGAAACACCGCTAGTCTCTCCTAGACATATACTGAACACAAATTTTATTAAAATGTTGTCTAATTTTTAGTAAATCTACGTAAAATATTACTTATATTAAATTCTCAGTTCAAAGACAATATTGTAAATTTAACTATAAAACAATAGATAACGTCATCGATAATGCTATTCTCCAAAAATATCAAAGGATGTTATCAGATAAAAATAATAATATAGGTATTAGTTAGCAAAATCAATTCGCGATAATGATCTATACAGGTTTTTGGAGTATTGAGACCACCGTAGAAATATAAGAAAATGTCTACGGAAACTACTAAAGAAAAATTTCTTTCTCTCTCTATCTTGATTACCGGTAGTTCGTGTCAGCGGCATGCTCTAAGAGTATGTCAGCTCAATGCTACAAGCTGAAAATACGTCTATTATTACAGTCTTCAGATTGGGAATCTGTTACCAAATGAAACTAAATTAAGCGATGACTAAAAATGAGAACAATACCCGTAATTAAACCAATTTTTTCTTCCATTATTCAACACCGTAATAGAATAACACACAATACAGGAAACTGCCAAATTAGAAACATTGGAAATGATCATTTACGTAAAATTTAATTTTGGTGACTCAATTTACGATAGTAGCCACTCATTGATTTTTGATTTAAACTACAGTATAGAATCTGCTATATAGAGATTAAAGTTAAAATACTCCTGGAATTCTCAAAATATTCTAGTATAGCTATGATTGAACAGAAGGCCTATTGAAATTATAAATTTACTAGAGACTATTTTAAGGGATAAAAGACAATGGCATGATAAAGGCCCTCCAAAATATTATAACAAGAACTACGATGACTTGTAAAATTTTACTTTATTACAAGATTAATTCGTCTAGTAATATCAAGAACTATCTATTTTCGATGGAGTTAATTATAATAGTTGTAGGATTACTTTTAGCAAATGTGCCATATCTTGCCGATTAAATCACAAATTATTTTGATGTTAAGCTAATTTTAGGACAAAAAAGTGATACATTTAGACAGGTTGGGTCGTAATCATAATACGTTACAGGATATCGGATAAATTAAATTTCTTATCTTTAGATTATGTAAAAATTTCATCATTGCTTATATTGTATCCATATTAATCAACCGCGGATTCTTATACTAGCTTGTTATACAGGCACTTTCTTTTCTCTTTCTCAGCCTAGGAAATGGATTAATGTAATAAATTTTAAAATCATTAGACAAAATTATTCTTAAACTCTGCAAAATTACCATGGATAAATACTTCTCTACTTGTTGTCACGGTAGTATTGCCGTTGATTAGCTATAATAAAACTTACTTTCATATTAAGTGTAGACTTAATGGATAAAATCTTATTAATGCTAACCAACTCTTAAGTTAGGAATAGATAGATTAAAATAGTAGTTGCGAACTAGTTTAACCAGAGTTTATTGTTTTCCTTGATGATACTAAATACTAAAAGCATAATTTTTAAATTTAAATGAAATGTTCCAGTACGGCAGCCTTATATAAGTTTACTAAATTATCCAGGTGTTGATTAATTTTCATTCTAAAGCAGAAGTTTAAGATGTTAGACCGTACTTTTGACGTTGGAAGTCAATGAAGGTTTAGTAGGATTAATTACGTAGTTTTGATTATCATCTAACTAACTGCTAATTTGTATCGGCCAAAAATTTATCGTCTAGTTATTCCTGGAGTTTTAAAGCACCTCACACCACATAATTTGATTTGTGTTACATATTAAATCGATTTTCGGCTGTCTATGATAGCAGAGCTAGATATGATGTATACTGTAAGTAAATAAGACCAATTCCATTGATGGCTAAATATGTTAATATTATAATTATCGATAGGCGATTATAAGAGGTATTTTATGATAGAGCTTATACTATTCCGTAAATGTAACGTATTCAGATATATGAGCTACGCAAGGAGGAAGGAGTATTAAGTACATTTTAAAATGTTTAAAACTTGGATAATCAAGATGTGCGTAAAGAAATTGAGGCTTTATGTTAAAAAAGCCGAAGGCACAAGATATGTCATAATTCTTTACTTTAGGGTATTATTCATACTCACTTCGTTTAGTAAAGAATAAGTTTTATAGTTCCAGTACCGGAAATGAGCTTGAAAATAATCAAGTCATTATATGATATTCAATCATTCAGCTACAATTTACGAAATATTCGCAATTGTAACCTCTCAATTATGCAGCTAAAATTGTAAATTACTAGATGTAAGAGAACTATTCTAAAAATAAAATTTTTGGATTTAATAAAAGCGACGTCGATACGCATTAACAAGATTTTTATAATAACTTATATTAATAGATAAACAATTTTAACGGATTAAATGACAGCTAAAGTCTATCACGAAAAAAGTACAGTCAAATACATTATTAAAACTACATCTGTAATCCTTATCCATTATCATATTGTTCAAAAAGTAATTACTATGAACTCGACAGACTTCGTGTGAACATATAGTTCTAGATGTTATAACTTGTTTTATTATAATTTCCTGGTGAACGTATTCATCTATGATTTTAGTTGACATTACTTAATATAATTTAATTTATATAATGTATAATTCACAGTACGTATATTTTTCAGGTGCTATTACAGTTGTCTTTGTAACAATTTGATCAATACATGTATGGCATCGTTCAAGTTTTAATCATACTGTATAATGATGCCTTTCTACAACGAGACAGCCAACGTTATATAAAATATAATTAATTTGTGATACTGATACCATTGAAATAAAATAATTATCATTAAAATATTTTATTTTTGATTTGGAAAGCTTGAAGAAATTCAAATACTGTTATCTACCTATAGATCATACATTTAACGCTCCATTTGCGCCTACAATATCCAAGCGAAACACTTGGAAATAAATCCTTAAGAAGGCTAGTGAAGATAAATCTTGCTGTGGAACCAATCACCTAGAAATAAAAAAAGATACAACCATGTTTTTCCGGTTTTCATAATTAATGAATAGTATGCGTATCTATTCATCGATTTGAATTCAATTAGCTTAGTCATTAACATCTATTCTTGCTTAGAAAAATTTTGATTAAAAATTTTCAATTCACCTCAAACTTCAATTTCGGAAGAAAGCTGGATTTAATTTTCGAATAGATCAATCAAATTTCTCGTTCTTTATTGTATAGTGTAAAAACGGTATATGAATGTAAGATAAACGTACCGGTTTGGCCAATGATTTGAAGTAGATGACTTAAGAAAACAAGAAATCAAAATCTCATTTGGTATCGAAAAATAATTTTTCCTGAGAGTTACTTGATCCAAATTAAAACTTAAGTTAGGCGATCAGCCTATCAAGCCTACTTCGAAAGGATA